AAAAAAAAATATCTATAAATCGATAATTTTTTTGATAATTGATGGAGTTCTGAGGTAATAAAAGTATGTACAACAGAATTGATAATAACCTTCTATTTGATATAAAGTTTGTAGAAAATGCTTTAAAACTGATATATATTAAAGATAATTTTATTATAGCGAATAAGTAATACTATATATTCTAATAAAAATATAAATAAAATTATGTACTCACGGACAAAACTTTATAAAACACTATATACAATAGTGGAATACGTGAAGCACTTGAATAGCCCGTTTATTGTAGACGTTTCGATATTTATACACTCATGTTGTCTATGGCCATGGCTATGGTACAGAACAAAATGGCTTCTTGCACATTAACCGAGTCATGTTGTATGAATTTTGTTTGATACGTACCTTTAGTAGGTATCTTCAAACTCATTATTTTATCACCCACCTTTTTCAGATCGAGTAGTCTCACGAGTACCGATTGTGCTTATAAAAAAAGTATAAAATACTATCGATTTGTCTCTACTTCGCGCTGGTGTAATGAAACATGATCATTTTTATATAAAATACAAATAAAATATGGAGGTTGACCTGACAAGGTATATTACTAGCAATGGAGCTGTTAGCCCACTTACAATTCCTTAACATTACTAACAATCCCTTTCTCCCCTATATAGATAAAATGTCTCTATTCAAATTTACCAAATTATATTTAATTAAAAAATATTGCCAAAAATTGATTAATTACTGATAACGTCGAAAAATCGTTTTAATTCGATTTAACGAAAAAATTTACATGCCAAACGTCTTATGACGAATTTTGACACTTTTTGCCAACAAAACTTAATACATTCCTAAGATATTTATTGTTTTATATGTATCTGTGTATGTCCTGATTATAAACATTGCTATTCATAGTTTAGTTCTGGAACTTCTCTGGTTTAATTTTAATACACTACTCGGTAGATAATATATTCCAGTATGGACGGTACGTGCTATGTGACTGCACAGGGTGTTTGTTTGGTTTACAATTTTTATTTGTTTACCAATTCTACCATTATATTATAATAAGTCGTCAAAATCACTATTTATTCGTATCTACCTACTTACATTTTTTCTTAGCATTTAGTTCTCATTAAAAAAAAAAAACATGAAAGTAATTTTAGTTATCGTGATTCTATAGTAGGAGTAATTTGCAAGTGGCCATTCGTGTTTTTATGGATCCATATTAAAAGATACAAAAAACCATTATGGTGCGATTTTATCAGTCTGCCTTTCATTACAAACAGTTTTACATATTATTGGCCCGTATATATTGCAATGGAAATATTAAAATAAAAAAAAAACTTTTTTACTATGAGGTCCAAAACAGATATTCAAAATTAAATTTCTAAATGCTGAAATGTTAATTTAAAATACAATAATAATAATTCGATATAATGTTCTTATACGATAATATTCTACTTCTACATATGTATATTCTCAAAATTACTATTCTCATGTTTCGTACCGATTGATTTGTGTTATGTATGTTGGTATTGTGATAAATATGACTTCTTAGCAGTTTTCTGTCTCATGGTGTTTCTGTGTATTCTAAATACGGCGAGCATTCTCAGTAAACTGAGTATGTTGTATACACAGTTTTTGTTTTGCTGTTTGCTGATCAAAATATTATTATTAATTACTTTTTAACGTAAACAGAACAAAAAACTTCAGAGATATTATATGAACGGAACCCTCGGCGAGTGAGTTCATCTGACACTTGACCGGTTTTATTCTTTTTTTTTTGTTTTATCTGACGTGGCGCACGCCACCGGGTTTTACTCATTATAGACAATTGTTTAGTTCTGAGTGACTACTACAAAAAAATTGGTCAGTAAAAGTAATTGCCCTATTTAAAAATATTAACATCATTTAATTAGTAGCACATTATTTATTATACTTTATCATAAATTTTTATAAGTCTAATTTTTTCATTCACTAAAAATTCCTTTAGTAAAATTCATAGATAATTAGCCAAGATCGGCAGCTTATACATGCTTATTTTTAAGCAGAGTGTACTGCCCTCTACCGAGATAATATTGCATTTTTAAAATTATGCGCAAACACAAGTAATACCACAAAGCGTCTCCAGATGCCGTTACTTATTTTACAAGTACATATAAACAGCGCTGTTATGAGTATATATTATATATGATATAATTATATGAAACTACGAAATTATCTCAATATAATATAATAATCATAATTCTTAGTAAATTATATATTTACGGTACTGTTCATGTCTATAGGCAACAGTTACCATTTTCCATCAGGTGGGTCGTCAATTGTTTGGCATTCTAAGTTGCATAAAAAAAATTCTTGATAGCCATGTTCTTTATCTAGTCAGAATAAATGATGTATTTACTAAAGAAGACCAAAGGGTAAGCTAGAGGTGTAATTTTGTATAATATTCATAGTATAAATAAAAATCTATGTGTTAGACTAAGTATTAAAATTCTGTAGTATTATTATCATTAACGTAAGTGGCTCTGGACCGTTCCTTATGGACAGATAATGGCTGAGATGATGATGATGATGATTATTTTTACCATTAAACAGTTCCCATGAATCAGTATATGTATAAAATAATGTGCTAAGTTAGGATATAACCTACCCATGTACCAAATTTCATTCAAATCCGTTTAATTAATTAACAAACATGGATGGTTGACCATCCATCGTAACAAAGTTTCATATTTATTCCATTAATTGAATTATATAAATGGAAGAAGTAACTTCATCAAAAATACTGACTAATTCAAGATGAATTAATCATGCACGGTGCTTTCGAGGGGGGCCGCGTGGAAGTCGACCAGATGCTAATAGCTCAATGTGCTGAATTTATTATTACAACATCTACAGGATGAAATTAAAATCATTAATAATATTTTTTAAAGAAAGGTCTACTTGCTAATGAACTACACATCACTACTGTTTTTTTTTTATGTGTCATAATGGAATGGTAATCCCGCCCGCGTTGTTGGTATGCACAGGCAGGGCACCAGTGAGGGATGATAGGTGAGGACCAAGCATGTCAATTAGCCCATCGTGACGACTTCAACAAGAATAAGCCACGATGATTTTAAAGGAGAATCACGTGGAGGTCGACTTAATATAATATATTGCTAACAATGAGGCTCTTAAACGATTGCCTAATATTAATATTGATATTAACACGACCTTAAACAAATTTAAATCCACTTTGTATAGATTCTTTAGTTTAATTTAATCAGCTTAATAACAGCATGGCATGTATCATTGCACATATGTATAGATTATAAGTGTACAAATCTTTCAAATCCAAAGTATTACTGTAGTCTAACTATTTATTGTATGACTAGTATTGTAGTTTATGTAAATTTTCATCCTAATAATAATATATTATGAATACGCGTGTCGTGACGGCCTTTAATTGAAGCAGCATTTTATAATGTAACCTTATTAGAATGTATTTTAAGTAAATATGTAATGTATGCTTTGTTGGTTGTCCTTAAATAAATAAATAAATTACTAAAAATTTCTTCCCCCCTACTCCCCTACTCATATAACTACGGAGTGCTACACTGAGCACTTTTTCCAAAGAAACATGAGTCGATAACATTACATGTTCTGGGAGGAAAAGGGATTGTTAATAATGGGGATTAGCAACCCTATTACAAACAAAATATCCTATCAGGTTGATCTCCTCGCGGTTCCCCCTGGAAACCATCGTAATTGATTCATTAGTGAATTTGTCACGAGGGGCTAACTGATCTGCTACATCTTCACCTATCATTCTTAACTAGTGCCCTGCCTATGCATATCGATAACGCAAGCGGGATTACCATTTCATTATCATTAATTTAAAAAAAAATTACATGTACTTATATACATTTGACTATATCGTCGAAAAACAGCAAAAAATTTTGAGCTAACGTCCAGCTGTCAAGTTAATAGGAGTCATACTTCAGACACGTCTATATCTAAGTTCGTTAAATTTTTTTTATGGATAATAATGGAATGATGGGAGGAAGGAATTGTTAGTAATGCGGACTATCAGTCCCATTGCTAACAATATGTCCTATAAGATCGACCTCCACGTGGTCCTCCCTGGAAACCATCGTTCTGAATTCCTGGTGTAGGTATTCATCACGATGGGCCAACTGACCTGTCTTTTTATTTTCACCAATCACATCTTACTGGTGCCCTGCCAGTGTATACCGTTACCGCAGGCGGGTTATCATCAATTGAAAAAAAAATGGAATGATAACGCCACTTGCGATATTGGTATTCGCTGGCAAAGTAGAGTACGGGATATACATATATGGAGTACGGGATGATAGGTCTGTTGGCCTATTATAACGAACTCACCAGAAATCAGTAGTAGTTTAAAGGAAAGAACACACGTAGGACGACCTGTCGGAATATATTTCTAATAACGCACACTGTGGGGAAAGGGATTGTTAGTAATGGGATCTAACTGTCCATTGCTAACAATACTATATTTCATCAACTACTAATACTATAGATATGAAATTTGGAATATTTCCAAATATATACAATATTTGAAAGTATAATATAGCCCAATATATTAAAATAAAAAACAATTAAAATCATTACAATTACTAAAACCTTTACAAACATAATTATTATGATCCAGTTCATAACTACAGTTACGGCCTAAAAGAAAGAAATAAAGAAATTCCTATTTCAATAACAATAATTATTATTGTTAACTATTTTATAAAAGAATATCTCATATAATGTTATATTCTTTGTTGCGGTTAGAAATATAATAGGTAAATACAATTAGAGGCAGTGTAAGTAAAGGTGAACTCTGTATCTAGATAACATGAGACTTTATATTAAAATAAATTTTAATATAAAGAAAACAGAAATCTATTTATCTAGAAGGTTCTGAAATACTGATTGTATTTCAGAACCCTCGGCTTATAAATTCAATCTACATGTGACCGGCTTTAATGTAAATGGAACAATACCATCAGTAAAGTCCCTACGAATCGTTGCAAAATTATTTTAATTAATGCATGCATTTAACGTTCCTCTGAGAATGAGTAACTATGTTCATGACGTAGGTAGAAGTAAATATTTATAACTTGTGCAACTGATAAAGAGCAGTTGGTTCAGGAGTACATACGTAAATATGGACAGTATTCCAGGGTACAGGCTGAGGAGAGAACCACGCGTTAGTCAGAGTCAGCCAGTCGGCTTCCAAATATCGCGTGAATCACACGGTTCGTACTCACTCACCTCACTAGCAGGATACCACCGCCGTTGAATCTACATCTTATCTCTTATCATTATAAAATGATACATACGAATTACCTCACGAGTGCTGTGATAGCGAATAACGATAAACGTTGCGATCTAATAGACTGATTTTATATACATTATATGGCACTTTAACCATGAGTTATTTTATAAACGCAACAAGTGAATAAAGAACTGTTTTGGTGAATTAAAAGTGTTGTAGATTTATAAACAAATTAAATATTTATTTGAGTAAATACTTACAGTGGTGATTGACAATGGTGCAATTAATGTTAGTAATTATATCGGCGTTTTCAGTCATATCTCATGTAAGGTGCAACCCTTGCAGCGAAGTAGAGAGCATAGATATCACAAATGGTGTGTTATATGACAATGGTTCCATCTTTCACAATGGGGTAGAATACAAAAGCGGTACTTGGTACCAATCTGACCCGTCAGTTCGTCTAGGATGCCCTTGTATTGGCCGAATATGCCTGTGGAAGTGTTGTGGTGCGAACGAAATGTATCAGAACAAACAATGTACCGAGTCTGATTTGGAAGTGGTTAACCCCTTCAGTCCGACGGTTTACAAAGGGCGGGAGGCGTTGGATGTGAGTGCACACGTGCATTTCTTCTACATGTACAGCACTCTATGTGATGAGAAATACCTCGTCGATACAAGTTCCAGCCACGAGGAGTTATTCCTTCAAGAGGTAATAAATCAATGTTATTTTGTCGAAATACGGCTTCTTACTTATAGATTCTTATCGTCAGAAATTAACATATGAGAAAACTTAAAAGCATCGCAGTATATTCTGTACTGCCTACGGTATTCATATTTCCTTCACATTTATTTATTTAATTGTATTGAGGGTAGCTTACAAGCAACAATTTCTTTAGATAACACAGGTTATATTTTACGTAGTGTGAAAAATCTGTCAAAAAATCTCTATTCCTTTGTTATTTGAAGCAAGCAGGTATTGTTTGATATATAAGTTATTATCCTTGACATAATTTTATTCGGTAATAATATTTGTCTCCGTCAAACATATACATAAATAAACAACTGTTATCTATTTAAAAAAATAGTATTATCGTGTTTATCAAACAATTCCTTACAATCTGTATACGAATAGATTGAGAGATTTTACCTTCTAGGTCGTAGCAAACACTGAATTTATATACATATGTGTTATTAAAATTTATTAATATATTTAACAAGTCTACAGTAGTCTAATATATATATTATTTATTTATTTAAACTTCAATGCACAATTAAATAATATAAGTAACTGTACATATGGCTGACTTAATACCTAATGGTGTTCCCTACCAGTCAACCATGAGGCAAGCAGAAAATAAAAGAGGCGGTGCTTTTACTACTAAAATATGTATAAATATTGTTACTACATATTAAGTACATGCATCCATATACTTACATACATATATGTGTATATCTATTAACAGAAATATTTAAAATGTGGAAGTTCATTAAGATGTTTAATATGATTTGAAAAGTACACAAATCACACACAGATACGTACACAACCAATATTTTTTATATTAATTCACATAGCCAAAGCAGCGGGATATAGCTAGTGTTTAAAAAAATAAATATTTTTGTTTAAACATAAAGAAATCTATTAAATAAAAGGTGTAAACAATGTATAAAGCAAATGAAACTACATATATGCTTTCTTAAATATGTATATCAGTCAGAAATTTTACTATACAGGTGACGAATACATTATTTTCCTTTAAGTCTTCCTTATCGTGTATTTCTTCGAAGAGGGGCCATTTTTTTAAGTAAACTGATAATATTTTACCATTCATAACTTTATCAGAATTAGGATGCAAGAATGTAAGTGCCTATTTCATGAGGTAAATTGTGGACACATAGGGACGCTACATTCTAAATACTATCAAGTAATGAAAAGTTTAAATAATTTATTAATTTAGTATTAATTTCTAATCATAAATAAAGATGTTAAATTATTTTTTTTATCAACAATAAGAAATATTTTCAACTGTGACAAATTTGTATGAGAGTAAATCTACATTTTTTTTTATGCAACTTACAATCTACTCATTGTACAAATAACTACCAAAATCGGTTAACAATTGGAGGAAATATATAACTTTTAAAAAACATAGGTACAGAATTTAATCAAAAGTATACAGAATATATAGAAAACCTACATATACTACCAGTAATATTGAACATTTTACCAAAAGATTCATGCAATAAAAAACTTTGAAGTAGGTATGTTGCTTATGGGAAAATGTCCACTCGCAGTATCCGTTATTTCTCATCCCCGTGCAAAATTTCTAAACCCTATTTTAACGAATATCTACGTAATGGAGAAATATTTAAATATTAGTTCAAAATTTTAAGTTTGTATATGATTAGTCAGTGATAAATACAATGCAGATACCAAAAGATATAAAAGTATTATTTCCTATATCAGTCACTCAGGGAAAACTATTATTTTATAATGTAATTATAACAAACAATAATGTCGTATTCAATTAATTAATAATTTGACCTGAAGAAATTAAATATATACCTACTTACATAACGACACAGTATAAGTATCCTTTTCTATCAGACGGGTCGTATGCTTGTTTGCCACCATAGGAAATATCGATATAGATAGCGAAATTCTTTATATACTTATTTCAGATTATTATAATACTAACTGTACCCCACAGCTTTACCAAAATGAATCATTACATATGTATACTATGTTTTAAGATATGACATAAGCCGTTCAATCAAATCCGTTCAGTAGATTTCACATGACAGAGTAACAAACATCCATCTATCCTCACAAACTTTCTTATGTATAATAGTAATAAGATGAGTAACACTTGCATATTCTTAAATTTTAAACAACATTGGTACCTATTATTTCCATCGAAGCTTAAATTAAACAGAACAACAAGCACTTTACGCGTGTTGAAAGGATGAACGAGTGATAGACTTCGGTGATAGACGATTGTGTATAATCGGATCCGTACGGGAGCAGTGACTCGAATAGCGTGCCCATTCGTAAAAATTACCAAGTAACAACTAATAACAACTTTTTTAAAATAAATCAATTTGTAAGCTTTTTTTTTTTATTTAAACTTTAACATGGACAGTAAAATTACCTATTCCACCTTTCGGAAAGCAGGAACCCAATGGCTAATATATTATGAAAATGTGTCACTAAACGAATGGAAAGGGGTACCTACACGAAATGTTTTAATTAGGTAATTAGGAATATAATAAAATACTTTTAATTTACAATAGAACTGTGCTGACCGACCAACAATAGGTATCGCGGTGTGTTGTTAGCGTCAGGTGCATTTAACTTTGATTATGAAGAAACATGCGATCACCGCCCAAGCAGGGTAAAACCATATAAAACCTAACTTTTATTTATTTGATTAGTACGTATATTCAAGTATTTTGTATTAGTTTTTATTCAATATTTAATATGTATTTGATTTATTATGCTTAAATAAGAATTTAGGTAAATATATTAAATTGAAGAAAAAACAGCCTGAATTACTCACACGTCAAACTACAGAATCTATACATTTAATATGTAATAGATTCTAAGTATAATAATAAAGATGCGATGTTAATGATGAAATTAGCAAGGGGTCTGATCGATTGCCCATCCTTGTTAAGCAAAATTTCCCTAAAAGTTCCTAATACTAACTCGCGTCACTTTAGACTTTTTAATATTCCACTGACTCGCATCCAGTACAGAAGCAATTGCTTCATAATACGAGCTTCCACTATTTTAAATGGTGTATATAGTAGCGATAACAAAATGGATATACAATATTTTTATAGTAGCAGCAGTTATATAAGAGAAACCGCAGCAAATTACTCGTTAATTGATTGTAACGACGTTTAGCCTGTATTTTTACATTTATTAATTATCTAGACTATAAATAATTCAATTTTCGTTAATTATGTGTATATATATAGTTAATTATTATGTTATTACAGCTGTAAAATTCCTTAAAATAATAAATTAAATTAAATATTACTTATTTTACTAAATTTATAATTTTATTTAAATTATTTTTAATTTAGAACATATATAATAACTATCATAATAAAATAATAGCATATAGAACACATATGTACACATAGAGACATAGATACATTCTAAACCATTAGTTGCAACAAAAATAAGTACTTTTTGTTTTATTAAAATCGTTTAATTAATTTCTACAAGTACCAGTATTTTGTTGTGTAAGTTTACTTTAGTACGAATTGGCAAATAGAGTTGTGTAGTTACCGACATCAAATGTTTTCTATGGTCAACCCTAAGTTAACATTCCGTTGGCCATTAACTGGAACAAAACACCGCTTTTGTAAATGGTGCTGTTAACTCTGACTCATAAAAGATAAGTAAACATGAGCCTAATTAACTTCGTCAGAGTATTTCGAGATTTGTATCTTTTTCTACTAAATTGGTAAATACTAATGTATTTACCAATTTAGTAGAAAAACATACATCTTTATCTATATTGTAGTACATTGAAATTCTTTTTTGTGAACAATAGATAATAAATATTATTTATCATAAATGTGCCTGTTTCCTGCAGCGTCAACGCTTAACTGCAGTTATCTATCCATCTGCTAAGCGTGACAACTACCGGCAAAACCCCCCTTTTGGGGGAATCATATGTTTAACAGTGGATAATAGACGGCTTATATGATGATGATTTGCCTGTTTCCAGCAATAAATTCGATTTACGTGAAATTTGTAATAACTTATTAGTTAATAGCAAGTTATATAGACTTTCGAGCACACAATGCACCACAAAGAATAATGGCTGCCTAAATCGTCACAAAATTAGAAGAAACGCGACAGTAAATCCTATAGATTGCAAAATGGATTATCCAAATCTGTTCAGTATTTGCGTTGAAGTAATCCAGTAACACGGCAAAAAAATATACTCCTCTACACATCCTCCTTTTGCAAACCGCTAAAAATTAAAGCAATTCCTATAAATATCTTGAGGAAAATTAAGGATTGAATATTAAAGAATAAATATTACGCAAATCCATTTGCAATAAGTAGCTACAGGACCTACATTTTGTTCCATAATAATTAAAGACTGATCCAACAAAAAAAAAACGATTTCCATTGCGACAAAACCAGTTATTTTGATTCAAAAAGTAAACTACTGAATTAATTTTAATATAAATTCTATGGGACCAATCTGTAAGTTTATCTTTTCATATAAAAGTATTTTCCAAATTAGTCTAGATCTGACGGTGTTACGAGGTAACAAGCATAAAAAAACGTCACTGAATTGAGAACTTCCTTCTTTTTGAAGTAAATTGAAAATTACTACTTCACACAAGATAAAACAAATGCATGAATTGTAACGTCTTGTTGTCATATTTCATTAAAATATTTCAATTTAGAACATGGCATTATGTGTAAAAGTTGATTTTGGTTCATAACAAGCAGTGTATGCTATACAATAATTTAAGATTGTTGTTCATAAAAAAAATACAATTCCAAATATGGCAGAACTAGTTATTTTGATTTATAAACTTAACTACTGAACCGATTTTGATAAAATTTCTATAGAATCAATCTGTAAGTATATCCTTTCAAATAAAAAAAAAAAACTTTCTGAATCCCTTTACAACTAACGGAGTTAACGGTACAATTAACGGAACTAACGGTAACAAACATAAAAAATGAACCGAATTGAGAACACTCTTTTTTTTAAGTCGGTTGAAAAAATGAGGCTATAATCATCACAATAGGGGGGAAAGGGATTGTTAGTGATGGAGACTGAGAATCCCATTGCTAGCAATATACCCAACCAGGTCGACCTCCTCGCGGTTCTCCCTGGAAACTATCATGGTTAATTCCTGATGAATTCATCATGATGGGCTAACTGGCCTGTTTTCATTCTCATCTATCACTCACCCTTCACTTATATACATATCACCTTTCATTGGTACTCCGCCAGCGTATCCCGTTAGCGCAGGTGGGGTTACCATTCCATTTACACCCATAAAAAAAATCATCACAATTGTAATATGGGAATAAAACAAGAATAAATACCTACATAATATTTCAAAAGGAATTTTCAAAGTTTGAATTCGTTTTTATATTAGTAACTTGAAAAAATTGAAAACAAATGCTTGAAAAGTTCCTTATTTAGAAGTCGTTTAAAACATTGTTTTTAAAATCCCTATGAAAACTTTCAAAGTCTATACTTTTTATACTCAAACTCGTATGCCTACATGTCTTCATTTTTTACAATAATTAAAAAATAATATTGTTGATCACAATAACAATATGTGTCACACATACTTCGACTCTATTTCAAGGTTGCCAGATCCTTGAGAATCGTGCATTTGTTAGTTCAGGCGTTCTCAGAAAAACCATATGTTTGCTTACCAAACCGAGTTTGTCGCGGGAAACAGGTCGTGGTCGCGACCGTATATGTTTAAAAATAAGCCCTCACTCACTCATCGGAGAGGGTAACAGTAATCAACACTTCATCACGTGGCTATAAATAATATACATAATTGAGGACCTTTGTGACGCAATGGTTCCTACCATTTTTTTAAGAGATGATAATAATATGGTAACCAGATTTGCGGGGGGAAGGAATTGTTAGTAATGGGGAGGTTAGTCCCATTGCTATTAATATACCCTATCAGGTCGACCTCCACGAGGTTCCCCCTGGAATCTATCGTGGCTAATTTATCGTTGAATTTGTCACGATGGGCTGACCTGCCTTTTCATCCTCACCTATCTATCACCTCTTCCTGGTACCCCGCCAATGTATACCGATAGCGTATACCCATTATAAAAAAACCCGACTTGCGCTATTGGTTTACACTGATGAGTTACCAATAAAGGATAATTATACTTATAAATTAATTTAGCAAGAAACAATAATACTTTGGTATTGAATTTCAGAAGAATTAAAGTGTTTTTGTTAAATATTCTTCAATATTAATGTTCGATATTGCTAAATATTTTTCAGTATTTTAGCACTACTGCAAAACTCTTCTTGTTATTAATTTTCTTTTTATGATTTTATTGTACTGTTACGGGGTGGGTCAGATGAGACTTTTTAAAAAGAAAATTATTTTATTTAACACGAGTGTTTATTATAAAAATTAGTAAAGTATCTTGTTCGTCTGAGGTTCAAATCCGGTCTGAATTAAAATATATCGAAAAATCGCTGGAAATGGATGGTATGACACATACATTATTGTTAACCGTTGACTGTTTCGAAAATGCAGTTCAGCACTTTTATATTAGTATGTTGTACATAACCACGGCTATGTAACAGTACCCAGAATGTACCTGTAGGCAACAGCTTTGATATATTGTCAAAAACTGTTTTTATATCTATTAAAACAAATTTAAATTCTGAGCTGACTCGAACCAAAACCAGTGTATACGTTACTGTAGTAAGAGTTGCATTCTTAGCTGAAAGTAAATATAAAATAAAGCCATGCAAAATAAATACTAAAGCTCTGAGTAACAACAAAATATATTTATAAAAATAAATATTGTGTACCTGCGTGTATATACTACGAGTAGCATGGTTGCAAAACATTACAGTTCGAAGTACATTTGGAATTCCTACTCTTCTCAAAATTTACAAATAAGTATTTAAATAAAACTACGCGTTTTAAAACACTTTATTGTTTCTATAGTGGAATGCTAACAAACATAGGTACCTATTGGGTCCAATACAGTGGATTGTGTATTGTTTATTATTCTAATAACTATTTATTATTCCTCGCTTGCTGGTTCCATGAGAATTACCATATGTCTTAAAACCATGATACAAGATTTTTTAATATAACATTTAAAATGCTCTCAGCTATAGTTATTTAATATTATATTATACACAGATATATAAAATTTGATCAATAAGTATGTTGAAATATATAGTTTGAAATATAATGATCATTGGTGAAATATTTTGGAATTATTTTTTTTATTTGTTAAATAGATAATTTTCTCAATTGATTATCAATTCGACTACATATTTATATATTTTTCAACCGATATTGATGATTATTTTTCTTAATTCTAAAGTTATAAATAAGTACAAACAAATAAACAGTGCTATACATCACTATTTATAGGTCTCGGCATAGAATAGGCCACCCCTTCCTTTCCCGTGGGTGTCGTAAGGCGAGGAGGGCGAGGGACGGACAACAGCGTCCCTCTTAAAACATCTCTAAAGCCTAACTGTGGTTGCCAATCCGCAACTACTGGCAAAACCCCCAAGTGGGAGGCTTATGTTTAACAGTGGACAGTTAAGTCTGATATGATGATAATGATAAAACAAACAGTTATATGTTTTTATAGTGCTACTTTTAACGCTGTTAGCTCAGTGTTAACATACGTTTAATGTATATTAATAGGGTTTAATGATATTTAATTAAATTAATTCAAAGTCTACTCATAACTCAATTAGCATTTCCTTTGTTGTTAAGAGTCACAATAAATCTATAATTGAATCTATTACAAATAAAGAACTAAAATAATGAATAATAATAATAAGATAACTTTGTACCTAAAGATCAAATAAATAAATAACCTAATAAAATAAATAAACACAATAACAAAATTTACAAAAGATTTTTAATGTATACATTTTTTTTTTCAGAACGGCACTCTTGTCGAAGTAGTACAAGGCAGACCACAATGGTTAAATAACCAAGAGTACTGCATCGATATGATGATGGAGAACTCCACGGAGACCCTGAGAATGGTGGCCACAGTTTGCTACCCGGAAGAACCCATCATAGATGATAGTAAAATTCTTTACGTCGGATACGCCGTGGGTGAGAATTTGCTTCTTATGTTTTCTTTTTTGTTTTCAATAGATTTATCTTTTCCAACATGAAATGGCTAACAAACTAACAGCCCGTCTGATGAAAACTGGTTACCATCGCCTGCAGAGAAACATACACAGTGTCGTGATGTCCATGGCATCCCTCATGCATGAGGACTATGTTTCACACACAATTATAATTTCACTGCTATTTTCCACCCTTCAAACCTGTAGGCATATTTAAGAGTGGGCTGTACTGTGGCCATCCCAGAATTGTCTGGTGCCAAACCCACGATGCCAATAAAGTTCCGCAAAAACATATCTAGACTATTTCCAAAAAGAGGAAGTTCTATATTCGCCTGTTCCTTTCTTGTGATATCTTCGTCTATTTCTAAATGGTTTTATAGTTATTTTATTTTGATTAATAAGTCATTGTTATTGATTAAGGTCACTGTTTTTGTGGAACAAAATGTATTTAAATGACTAATACGAGTAGATTGAAAAAATCCTTTGCGACATCTCGATCTAATAAGATTCGAACCCACATCTCTCTGTTGTCCGAGCTGAGTGTGTTCCCCACTACACCACGGATAAATTTCGAAAATTTCAAATCTAATGAGTTCGAGATATCGGAAGGTATATTTAAACCTATTATTAATTTAACAATTTCAAATAAGCAGCTTTAAAAATATTTTTAAAATCTTATTTTCGACCTACATTTATTTATCCTTTGTTGTTAATATTTTTTTCACAATCTTTGTTTAGGTAATATTATCAATATAATGAAGTGTCATATCACGGATGATAAAAATCTGTTTTGAGTGCCCGATAATACATTTTTTCTTTGTTTATATCTTAAATTGACATGTATATTTTGTATATTTTGTGTATTATTCCTTAAAATAAAGTTGTCAGTTGTCAGTTTAATTTGGTTTCTAAACTAAAGACTTAGATTATAATTTATTTTGGCGGTTATCTAACACAAGTAAATCCGTTAGTCCACACAAGTATTGAGCGAGAACGGCTCTTATCTGATAACGGTAATGGATAAACGATAACGAAACAAAATACATTAAAACTCATTAGTTTTACACTTGATGAATACTATTATTCTGAGTAAATTCGAGCCGCGAGGGCTATCATATTCATGTTAATTTTACTATCGCTTCAATATCCTGCCTCTTAAGTTAATGGATCAATAAATTTTTATTAGTCCCATTACATGTTTGGTGTTGGCAAAATATTTTGTGTTTCCTCGTAACAAACGTATTAATCATAGAGCAAAACATAATAAAATTTACTACAGTATTCAGACGTAGGTAGTTACCAAACCGCCTGCCAAGCGTGGCAACTACTAACTAAACTCCCTTATGGGGAGGCCTATGTTCAGCAGTGGACAGTTAATGGTTGATATGATAATGATGATTCAGAAGTAGTCGATATAATAAAAACTGACGGAAACATTATGTAGGTACTTGTTTATTAGAGATATTTGCTGCAAACTTTTCTCTGTATTAAGACAATACACTTATTACGCTGTATCATCAGTGGTTCTTTGAAATTGCTGAGTAATGCAAAACATACCCGTTTTGCCATACTATGGCAAAATGGGTTATGTGTATTGATCCACAAAAAAAACGATCATGACAAAATAAATATTGACTAGTAATCTTTTAATAATTCAAAAATAATAAATAACGCCTATAAATGACGAGATGGTCCGTAGATATAGCATTTAAAATATTTAAATTTAGAATGTGGAATCTTTATGTTCGCAATCACAAATGGGGTTTTAATCCGCAAAGAAAAACAGGCTCCAACAGGAATAAACTCAATCGATTGCAAATAGAATGATCGAAATCGGTCCCGATTGATGAAGACGTCTTATACGTACATACAAAAAATACGAATTACTTTTACAATTCAAGCATAGAATACCAGATGTAACGTAATCAATCTCCTTACAATCTTATTTTGGTCAGTAAGTACCAAAACTAGCTGTACCGTGTGATACAACTAGTGCTGCACAGCGCGGCTTTGCCTGCGTTAATCTTTATATAAAGTGTGTTATGTTTTAAATTAGGATATAACGTATCTGTGTACCAAATTTTATTCAAATCCATTTGATAGTACTTGCATGAGAGAGTAACAAACATTTACTCTCTCATGCAAACATTACACTAAGCATGTTTTCATTTTCAGGACTTCTATTATCCGTTCCATTCCTGATCGCAACTTTTGTTGTGTACGCGTTCATTCCTGAGCTACGAAACCTACATGGTATGTGCTTGATGGCGTATTGCTCAGGTCTTATTGTGGCCTACATATTCCTGGCATACCTGAAGATTCAGTCTGGTCAAATGAGGATAGCTATGACAGGATGTGTAATTATTGGTAAGTATTTATTTAATTATTCAATACTCATCCGACATTAGATGGAAAAGAAAAAAAGGAACAAAAAAATATAGACGAATTGAGAACCTCTTTTTTTTAAATCGATTGAATGGTATTATATCTTCGAATGTCTTATAAGACAATGCTAGTCTTAAAAAATTATTTACGTTACATCAAATAACATCATTTTATACTTATCTCATATCTTATAATAATTTTCAGTCTTTAATGTAAATTATAAATTTATGTTACTACTGCGTTCATGTTTACGTCGATAAGTTTATATAGAAATCTCGAGTTTCCAAAACTATCCACTAGAGGTGCAACAATAAAATTTTCCTAAGAATAAGAACTTTTCTTATTTAAATATATTTAATTACAAACAATTTTGATAAGTATTTTTTATGATACTAACGTTTGTTTGGAATGGAACTTCAGCTAATAAGAACGAGCAAGATACTCAACTGTCGCATTTTTTAACAAAAGTTGATATTACAATTAGAATGAATTAGTGTCAATACAGACTAGCAAACAGTGTATCAATAAAATAACTCATACGCTGTTTGTTTGGACTTGATTAGTGTAATAAATTAAATAACTTTTTGGACTAATCAAGTCCATTACTGTAAATATTATAATTGAATTGTATGTCAATCAAAATATAATCGGATATCTGTCACATTTAATTCGTAATATGAATAATAATTTTACATAAATAATTTAATGCATGACCATTTAGAGTCAAGCACTTTTGTCTTGTAAACAATCGTTTAATATTTATTATTTTTATTATATCAAATATTAACTGTCCACTGCTGAACCTAGGCCTTCCCCATAAGGGCAACTTTACCAGCAGTTTTCACCCTTGGCTTGGGTTGGCAACAACAGTTAGACTTTAGTGATATTTTAAGAGAGACACTGCTGCCCATCCCTCGACCGTTTAGTTGCCTCATATGACATACATGGGAAATAAAGGGGTGGCCCATTCTATGCCGAGACCACACAGCTTATAGAAGGCGTATAAGCTGTTTATATTAATTAAATGATTTTATACAAAGTTATCAATATAACCGTTAACACTGGAGTAACTTCGTAGGCATATGATGATAATGATAGAAAAGGAAGGTGCTTTCTAGATTTCCTTGATATTTAGTTCCCGGTTTTTCGACTAGTGTAAAGAACCTGAAATTCTCGGGATTGTTGGTACCTGTATTTCCCGGTTCTATCCCTGTATATTTTTTGGTAGCAATTTATCATCAGTATAAACTGCTCCTCGAACAAGTGGTATAATCGTTATCGCTAGTGTTTCTGTGAGATAGAATGAGACGACGACGTGCACTGTCTTGTTCTTTCTTATGTAAGCGCTGACCGAAGCGATTCTATCTATAGATTGGTTTGTACTTTATCTAATAGACTAGTATTATGTATTTTCATCCGACATCAAAAAAGGAGGAGGTTGTCATTAAGGTTGTATTTTTTAAATGTTTGTTACCTCATACGAGTAACTCCGTCATTTATAAACCAATTTGAAAAATTATTGCTTTTTATCTGATGGGATTTACTTTTATATTGGTCCCATAGAAATGTTATAAAAATCGGTTCAATAGTTTACTTTTTACAAGAAAATAACTGAAGTCGGTGATTTTTGTGACACAAAATCTTTAATACTTCACGATATAATCGTTTTACATTATTGTCATATATAGTACGTACATGGTATTTAAATCACCATTTTTTCTATTACACCCTGTTACACCTAATCAACTGTCATGTCAACATGTGCCACGCCCACAACCATTATCACCCCCCCCCCCTCACCTTATTCCCCCATACTTTCACATCGCTATTACGCTGAACTAAACGCCAACGAAACGCATTCTACAAAATTAATTAGCTGTGATATTAGTTAATTCAATTAGGAAGTATTTTTCCGGGTGTGGTATGAAATGGATGACATGGATATGTCATAACATATATTTAGGTATTTTCATTAATTACTACTACAATTAGCAACAATTTATAATAATGGCTCATTTATATTATAATAATAAGAAATGAAAAAAAATTCCTCTGACATTTTTTTTTCGTTTTCTATCTCTATAGCTCTACTACTTTTATTTGGTACTAGCGACTCGCCCCGATTTCGCACGGGTGCACATTACATCAAATCACATTAGAAATCTCTTAAATTATCAGTGTTTCTCTACTATATTATGCATGTATTATAAATATATACCTTCCTCTTGAATCACTATCCATTAAAAAAGACCCGCTTCAAAATCCGTTGCGTAGTTTTAAAGATTTAAGCATACATAGGGATATCGTATTATATAAAATTTTAAAAAAGTATATAGACAAATAGAAACTCACTAATCTTCTTAAAAAAAAACGTTTAATGACTTATTACAGAAACAACAAAGTGAAACCTTATGACATTGATGCAGAACTCGAATTATTCCTGTCCAATATGCTCTTGGCAAATTTTTTCATATTGACTTGACCAGTCTCGCGCGAGTCAAGATATTATTATTAATTCACCAGTTTATGATTAGTGCTGTTTTAAGTATTCGGATTCTAAGATATTCTCTGCGAAATGTTTAGTCTAATTTTACTCAACGTCAGTTATAGGCGATATATAAACGAATATGAATGGGCTATAAAGCAGGCCACCCACACATTCCTTGTACAGTTTCGTCTCACTACGGGTTAATAGGTTAAATTGTCGATTTCACATTATACCTTGTTGATCTACTTATTACTAGAGTCACCGTCTTATATATTGTTCTATTTCCTATTTAATTTAAGGACTTTTATTATAAAACAACATTGACAATTTTATGACAAAAAATACCTATATACAACTATTTAAGATTTTTTTTATAGTCTTATCTCCCCTTCTTTACTATATTTATAAATAAAATAAAAAACTAAATCTTTTTATGAAATATACAATCTCACTGTTTGCATTATGAGGTAAATAACATTATATTTTTTCTTATTTTTTCTTTTATATCCATAAATTATTACATATTTATAATTAAACAATTCACATAAGAAATCAGCATTTTCTTTAGTACCTATTTGCAATATTTATGAGCTGTATGGTGCCATCAACTCGTTTGACATTCACCGTTGCATAAAAAAATAAAATTTAATTACAAATTCAAGTACATATATATAGGCGAGATTACTCCTTACAGGAATTTCTTCCAGCAAAATAGTCTGGTTATTAGAAAAGATAAATAGTGGTATGTAAAAATAAATGATTTTTAGAATCGACATGGAATTTTGCATGAATTAACGGAGAATATAGGCTTTGCAGCATGATCCCGGCATAGAATGGGCCATCCTATCTTTTCCTATGGGTGTCGTAAGATACAACTAAGAGAACTTAAAGGTCAAGAGATGGGCAATAGCATTCCTCTTAAAACATCACCAAAGCTTAACTGCGATTGCTAACCTGCCTGCCAAGCGTGGTTACTACTGGCAACCTCCCCCCCCCCCCCTCCCTATGTGGAAGGTTAATGATGATAATCTTTTTATTCCTCTTCATCATTAGGAGAGTTAAAAAACCAAAGTTCCACGAATCATAATTACAATTAATTTGCTTAAATGTATCCCATTAGAATCCACAAAGTAGGTAATTCGCTAAGAACTTGTCATGTACATAAATTTATTATTAGGCCTTTCCCAGAAAATTGCCAATTTAATTGATATGACTACGTTAGCCAATACTTTGAAGGATCCAAGAAATATCGACGTTGATAGTCAATATTTATTATTGAAGGAATCAAGTGGTAAATGAATATTCATATAAAAAGTTTGTAAACAAAACAGTTAGGCTTTAGAGATGTTTTAAGAGAGATGCTGCTGCCCATCCCTTGTCCTCGCTTAGTCGTCTTTTACGACACTTACGGGAAAGGAAAAGGTGTTCTATTCTATGCCGAGACCACACGGCCATTATTAAAACAATAAATAATAATTCTAATTACGTGACAGTATAAAATAATTCACAATTAACAATGACAATGAGATGGTAATCATGATTATGGAGATTATTATAAATGTTTTAGAGTTGTAATTTGTTCATATATTCAGTCTATATGTAATTAAATAACATTGTACTATAAAATATTACTGTACAATAACAAAAAAACAGTAAAATTTCTTATCAACTTTCTCGTAATTCGTATAGGCACTTATACAAACAAAAAGACAAATATTGTGGGATCACAACACGTAATATTTTTTTGTTTTCAACTATAACTATGTCCGCAATTTCGTCGGTTTGATTAAGAATATTGATTAACCGGCATAATAATAACCTGTGTGTTCCTTTATATTAAATAATAGTATTATTAGTATTTCTAATTTCATAATACTCGAACTAAACTGAAATTGAGCTTTATAGATAACAAAAATAATAAAAATAAAAAAAAAAAAAACAATAAACATCCATAGACTTTTAATTGCTCTTTTTTTTCTTTATTCTTAACTGTACAAATGTAGAGCTTAATACCGTATGGCATTCTCTACCAACTAATGATTAGTTACAAATAAAAAGTATTTAACTTGTATGTATACTGTAATAATATAACATATATTATACAAAAAAATGCACTTATCAATAGATTTTAATATAATAATAAATATCGAACCAAGTAATATTGTAAATATATACAAAATACGTATATTATGTACTTTATTTATCAATATTGCTACGATAAAGTGGTATACAAATAATTAAAAATCCCTTAAATATTATCTATTTACAAACCTAAAAGGTCAGCAATCATAAATAGTCACCTTGAACTATATATTAAACCTATAAGAGACAAATAGCCCATATACTTTGGGAAAATTGTATTTATATAATAAACACGATAAGTAGGGCATATAAATGAAAGGCCGCCGTCCGTTTCGTAAATATACCTATTACAATCAACAGTAATGAACCGACGAAATGTGACGAAAATTATAACTTAGCCATCATACGAGACTCGTATATATATGTACTTCATTCTTTGGATTCAGACATGATTCTTTTGTATAGTAATATCAGTATCTATTAACTAAACTATCACAATATTTTTTTTTATTTTCTTTTCTATTTTAAATGCTTTTTTTTTATAATATAATCTCATATTGACTACATGTTAGGAGGCTCATATTGTCTTAAAATATCTAGAGCTCTTTAGGATATTCATAGAAAATAAATTCAACATATAACTGTCATCATTTGCTTCCTAGCAGTAATATACTCTTAATATAATTTTATTATTTTGTTATAGATTTTTTTTTTCATAATCAAATGTCGACAGTTGACCTTCATTATATTAATACAAAATAGTTTACTAAAAAGTAGATTTTGTTTCAGAAAAAGAAACACGGATTTAAATGGTGATGAAGCTAATTATTTTGATTTAAAACTAAACTACCGAATCGAATATGACAAAATTTCTATGAGACCAATCTAAAAATATAAGAAAAAAATAGCTAAAAAGTAAAAGTATAAAACAGGAATACATATTAAAAATATCCGCTCAGCAAGCTATACATTATTCCATCGTTTTTATTATGAAACGATAGATAAAAAGCTAAACGAGCCAATAATAGCGTGCCATTCCTTATAAATAGGTACTCTATTTAAATTTAACCTCGTACTTATAAAGATTGATTCAATTTCCGAAATAATATTACGTATTCAGATCCAATTGTTTGCACCGCGTTGGACACACTTCGTTTGTTTTCTTTATTTCTTTATCTTATTATTGATCTCGTATCCCGCGAGAAATCTGACTTCTGTAAACCTTTGATTTTTACTTTATTCATATACAAACCATACGTGAATAAGCTATTTAAAATATTCTTTCAACACATTTGACATTTGTTTGGATAATTAAAATGTTTGACCATTCATGTTTAACATTTTAATTTACGATTAGATATTTGGCAATTTACTAAATAATATCGAGTTTATTTATATAGAAATATTAATAAAATATGAAATTCATATATCAAAAATTATTAAGTGATTAAAAAATTATCCGATGTCATCCCTCACTTGTACTCTGCATATACCGATTCCGCGGAGCTTCCATTTCATTACCATTTAAAAAAAAAAGTTACGATACCTATAAAAAAAACTTTTAATACTTTTATAAACTAGCGACCCGCCCTTAATTCGCACAGGTAGATAGTATAGGGATCTGTATGTTTTAAAAAATATTTCTGTCCGATGATATAGCTTTATGTAAGTGAAATCATTCTTCAAATCGATTAAGAATTTTTTGAATTTTTCCATTACAAACAAAAAATTAAATCTTTTCTTTCTACAATAATTGTTTGTAGATAAATTCCCACATTTCTGAAAACCAATAGATTTTATCAAACGAGATATATTCTGTTCAACAAGAGCAAGATGCAAATATTAATGTGCAATTTGTTTCCAGCTTTCATCGTATACTACGCATTCCAGTCGAGCTTTTTCTGGCTTAACGTCATGTGCTTCGATATCTGGAGGACGTTCAGGTATTTAAACAATTGTTTACATTATTTTTTTTAATATGGTTTTATAATAATGATGCTTCATTTTTTTTTACTGCAGTTTAAACTAAAACGAATTGTAGAAGATACATAGGTAGTGTAAAGAAGGTAGTTTATTTAAGTAATCACTCCGTGCATAATGTGGTTTGTATATAAATAAATAATCTTAGACATTATCATATAACGCCATCCAGTCCCTAACTAAACGGCTTCAGCTGTAAAAGTACTTATAGATTTTTTTTTTTTCAAATAAACACATTATGCATAAAAACACCCGTATGATTACGATACCTTATATATTCATGAATATAAATGTTTATATTGTTCAGATTCACGAACATTGAAAAGTTAGTGTTTTAAACCACACATCGCCAAGGTTGTCATAATAATATAGTCATAATTATCTAGCAGGCACAAAAACGGCAATTTCTTTTTTTTTCTTATTTCTTATTTAGAATCTAAATGATTCTTCATTATCTATGCAAGATGGGTTGTAAAATTGGTAACTTCTAGATCATTAATTCCTAATTTGCAACACGTATGTAGGTGTTTTAATGATAACCGTAGACTCCAAATTTACGAGGATTTGTAAACATACTTATATTTATGATTCCTCTAGGTATAAAAGGTATATAATAATAGTAATTTGTTCATGATTAATATTGCCTTTATTATTCCATTGATTAGCGATTACCTATTCTCTCTATTTCATTAATGTTCAGTTTAAATTCCCTACAAATACAGACAATGGAATCAATTTTGAGGCGCTAACAGTGATTCCTAACCATTTGTAATTAAGGACCATTTGACTAAATTTCTGTCTTGCCATGGAACATCAACTGTTTGAACTCCAAACAATTCACACAGCAATACGTGTACATTTACTGCATAATCTCGATAGATTTTGTTTTATCTATTCTATGAATAAATGTAATATACGCGTCTTACATTTATTGTTCAAATTGTAGCACAGCGCGCGTTGTGTTGACTCGTTATCATGGACGTGTCCATAATCTGTACCCTTATAAAACTATAATATTAGTTAAGAAACTAAAGTTATGTTTTTTACGAATAAATCTCATTTCATTCATTTCAATCTTTTTGGCTTGAATGGTTTTGAGAACAACTTTATATGCTTCGAAATGCCATCAGTGTTTCTCGGACCATCGGTTAAGAAGCACTACTCTAAATCTTTCTATAAAATTAAAATTACGATTTGATATCTCAATGAAATATTTAATCTAAGGGTCAATATGAACTAAATTTCTAATAGATTTAAGTCAGTATTATTATAAGTTTAGTTTATGATGATCCATGAAACTATCACATTAAAATGTTAGATTAAGAAATAGGTTTAGACATGTGGTGCCTCAGAATCGATTTCACTATCTACTATTATGTGCATAGCCTTTATAATTTATCTGTGTTTGTTAAATATTGAATGCATTAAAATCTAAAATTTGTTAAAAGTTATTTATTTAAAAGCAATCTAGCAGTAATAAAAGAAAATATTTAAAAAAATTATATATAAATTGTAGAACAATTTTCTTTCTCTATTTATATTACATGCCAGCAATAATAAAAAAAATTTTAGACTCCCAATTTTTTTTTCAAATTTTTATTTATTTCAAAGTTTGTATATTTTTACATTGTGACTGAATTGCAGATCGGTCATACCCTCGCCAGCAGATTGCAGTATGCGCCTGTAGGTCCATACCACAAGCTTGCATTCGTGTTACCTGTCTCTAACCTTAGACAAATAACTCTCTTTAGAATAGAGTTATTTATCTAAGAATCTAACACAAGGAAATTTAATACAAACGAGTACATAAATTCCTTGATTTAACGTTGAAATGCTCATGTGAATAAAAATTAACTTCGGTGTCGTGAAATTTTAGTTGACGTTGTATTTAACCTTCATTTTTACTTCGATGTATCTAACATTTTATCTCACGTTTAAAGAGATATACCTTGTTTGTTAAAAATTTCAAATTTATAAATAAATTCAAACTAAATTTCAATTATTTGATTACAGAATTGCGTGTAACAATTTTATTTAAATAGCAAAATTACAATCTACATGTAAAATTCTTAGTATAGCACGACCGTGACATTTAGGTAACGCGACAATATTAAAACTTTTATAAGTAACTTACAGTCCCATGAAAATGCATAGAGTCAAGCAACGCCTTTGCTATGAAACATTATTTTTATACTCTTCAAATATATATTCAAGAACTTAGGTTTGCATTATAATTAACATTTTCTAATCAACTTTACACAAACGCAATTAGGTATAAGAACCATCAACGATACAGACAGACTGACATATCACTATCAATAAAAACTAATATATGTTGGCATATAAAATGAATATTAATTACTGAAGACTTAATTATATTACAACACATTATAATTTCGTTTATAATTAAGAAAATTCACACACTATAAAAAAAATAAGATTTACAAACTAATATATAAGAACATTAAATCCGACTCGTATACAACAGTCATTCATACTCTGTATGAATGTATGTATGAGTGAACAGATATCAATGAAAATGTAATTAACCTATAATTAAAATATAACAAAGGAGTACTTATTATGACGCAAATTATATGACGTCAATATCTTTTAATGTATTACTCTCATAGTTTGTTATTAGATATCCTACTATTTCTTTCAATGTATATGGGCGTATATTTATTTAGATATATACTTAGTTACGCTTATAGGGCTGAACGAATTTGAATAAATTTAAACCTATATTAACACATAAGATTCTTTTCGTCTTAATTCGCATGACATAGTTTGCAGTATATAATATCTACGTCAGTAGAGTTCTATTTGAAAATTAAAGTGACATAAGTAGGTGTTTTCATAAGAAAAGATATTATTCTGATTAAAAATAATAAATATTTACGGTAAATAGTTTCTGCCATAGCCATGTTCATATAAAATATTCAAACAACTACAATAATAACACATCTTATTAAAATTTAATACTCTTAATATAGCGTCAGGTAGAAATTCTATGCAACTAAATAACTTAGAACTAAGTAACTTAGAATAAATTATGGGCAACAAACACAATGTACTAACTAATAATAATGTAATACGGCTACAGTGTTTTTCTTTTCTCCTTTATCCAAAGGTATTTGAAAGTGATTACTTTAGGGATAAGACAGCCTTTTACACTTTAAGTATAATATAATATTTTTATTATTCTTTAAATGGGGCAATAGAATGTAAATAAATTTATTTGAAAAAGGAGTGTATGTAGTAGGTCCACTGTTACATGATTGTAGTAATGTTTAATCACTAGTCGTTAAGTTCAAATCATATAAAAATTTATACTCGTACCTTATAGTGCTAACAAATAGCCCATTAATATCCCATTGGTCTTGTCACAGCTCACACTCTGCCCATGAATGGACATAAGCATTGACAATAATTATTAACCATCACGTTGGTTGGCATAGTGACTTGACTACCTTTTTATTTTGCTATATTATAGGTAGGTACATTCAGATTATATATATATATATATATATATATATATATATTTACGAAAATATGACAGACTCCACAATTTGCATGAAAAGATTGATGAATGAATAAATTATGAATGTGGGAAGGTCCCTGAATGGGAGCACTAGCATTTGGCGTTCTCTTGTTTTGCCTACGCTAATGAGATGGCGGCGTATCTTTCAATTCAGTGAAATATAGTATATATAGGGAATAATACCTACACTAATTATATTTATGCTCGCACATCTTTTTGCAAACAGTATTATGATCGATTTTGTTTTATTACTAGTTATAATCCTCAAAATATTATAAAAAAATATGCGAACAAAGCTTTAATAGGTACACTTGTATATAGTAAACAGGTATAAGTACTTATTTTACATAAGAAAACCAAAATATTTTATATAATATACTACCAAGGCGTCTCTAATATAGTGGTAATAGGACAATAATTATCTTACAAAGATATAGCAACGATATGTTCCAACAGTGGGTAATTAATGAATTGTCGTGATGCTAATGATAGATTTAAGGTAGATATAACTTGTAAAACGTCTCTTTCTTGTGCTTTGTTTTCCAAAAGACCAAACCTAATTAACCAATAATTTTATATATTTTTATTTATTTATGTTTAATCTTATTTTTTCTTGCTACCTTTTGGAATAAGACTCGGCAAGATGATATCCTCTCAAAAATCGCAAAGGTAAGACTATAAACCATGTTGATTTATTAAGAAACTCTCATAGAAATAATCATTATTAATAACGACATTTCAACTATTTAAATTTATTACTGTGTGCCGACATATAAGTACCATTCAAAATTTATTATTAAATCTAGTGACGTCGTTGATCATTAATACTAACTAGATAATGCCCCACGACCTAAAATAGAATTCAAATGTGGCAGCCACTGTCTGATCACGTTTTATTATACTATTGAAAATTAAAACTATCTAAAACTTAAATTATTTCGAACATAAATTTTATTCACAAATGATATAGCACAGTTTTTATTACGTATTGTTGTCCAAATAAAGCAAACAAATTCAAAATAAGTATTTACTTTTCAAAAGGCACGTTTTCAAAAGATTCATTCTGTCGTTATTAACACTTACTAGTCATCTAGTAGTCTCGGCCGCTCTGTCCGTTTTATGATACTACAAATTAATTTCCACAAACTAAAAAATACAAAAGTATGGGCTTTATTATTGGTGTTATTTCCAAACAGATGAAAATAATAAAGTAATATATTTTAACAGTACCTGTTGAAATTGATCAAAATTGGTTTCAGTACTACATTTCGTAAATTATTTGATTAAATCAAATTGATGTAATCAAATAATTAAATAGTATGTATGGTGATAATAGGTGGTACATGCTCTTTTGATGTCAACCCTCCGAAATTGGGGGGAAAGGGATTGTTAGTAATGGAGACTGAGAATCCCATTGCTAGCAATATACCCAACCAGGTCGACCTCTTCGCGGTTCCCTCTGGAAACTATCATGGTTAATTCCTGATGAATTCATCATGATGGGCTAACTGGCCTGTTTTAATTCTCATCTATCACCTTTCACTGGTGCTCCGCCAGCGTATCCCGTTAGCGCAGGCGGGGTTACCATACCATTTTGACTCATCAAAAAAAAACCCTCCGAAATTAAATACTAAAACCATATTTGAAGTAAATAAAAATTTTTGTTAAAAAGGCGTTATAATCTAAGTATAAAGGTTAATCTAAGTATAATCTTAGTATACAGGTTGGTTGTTAATTGAAATGTAACCTAATGACCTTCTTTGTTTATATTCAACCTAAGTCTATAAAAAAGAAATGACACGTTTAGGTTATACAGGTAATACACGCTGTTTCCATGAAATCGACGGTTTACAATAGCTTACGTGAACGCTCAAAAATTAGTGCTGGCTGAGCGTGTTGAAATACAATATAATACTTATACTAGCACATAACGACTCGATTTTATATCGCGACTCAAATATTATTACTTCGATGGTACTAAATTCAAATTTGGCCAATATATAAACTTTGCTTACTTAATTCACTATTTGTTTCATAGAAATTAAAATATTATCATATAATCAACACGATAAATATAATCTACCAAACAATTATGGACTCACCTTTACCCATATTGAAATGCAATTGATGAAAAAAAAAAGTTGATTTTTGCCTAGCTTTTCACTACAGTGATACTTTCATTGAAATCCTAAGATACAGTTGCCCTTTCCTTATACAGACTTACACACATGAACATAATTTTTTATTTCTAATAATGATAGCTTAACTTAATTGCTTTAATTGTGTCTTTGTTTAAAAAAACATTTTTTTTTTAATTATCTTCCTTATTGCCTATTACCTTTGACGACTAGTTCAGTGTCCTAATATGAATGATACGCTGATACATCGTAAATACCCTAGCTACTAAAACATTATATTTAACTATCCATATTACAGTTCGCATCCATAACACTAAAATGTCAACCTGCCTGAATGTCTACCATTGTATGTCGTAGTACTTCTAAATTTATATTTAGATCTATATTTTAAACAATAATGTAATTATAAAAACAACTTAATTAAACACAACGATTACGTGACATTTATTATTTAATAGCTTGTCGTCAAAACCGATTAGCGACAATTTTTTAGGTAGAACTAGTATAACCTATGATCAAAGCTACGAAGCTACGAAACAAAAGCTACGAAGTCATTATTCTCACATATATATGTATAATATATCTATAGGCATATACCATATGTACATGTGATGATTTTTTCGTAAATTTCAGATATTGGTTTGGTTCTGTAACAATCAGTATGATAGATATTCATAAATAGCTAGTTCTTATTGGAAATATCAATAATTTAGAGAGTTCTTTATTGATTGACTGGCCTGTAAGAAAACTAATAAAAAATATTGTGAATTTTTATAATTTTATCTTCTCTGATATTAAAATTTAAATATGTTAAATTTGACTTTCGAACACAATTTATTCAATAATTTAAACTGCTTTGTATAATTTTCTTGTAATATATGTATTATATATCTTTTTTGATTTTTTAAACATAGTGGCTACCGAGGCAGCAGTACATCAAAGCGCCGGGAAACAAGACGTTTCACCATATACAGTGCATACGCATGGGGTATTCCGCTTCTATTGACTGCAGTTACCATCGGCATGCAATACGCTAACTTGCCACCCAGCGTTATCAAGCCAGGCTTTGGAGACCGGAGGTGTTGGTTCGACAGTACGTATGTCTTTAGTGCCATATAAGGGTCGATTCTGAGGCGCAATTTTTATAAATCTGTCTCTGAAATTAAAATTTCGAATGAATATCACGGCGAAATCCTTATTTCAAGGACAAATATAAAGTAAATTTCTAATAGACTGGAGTTGAAATTTATAATATATATAAATTTAATTTGTAATGGTTCACAAAACAGTAATTTTATCTAATTTTGCGAGACAATCATTTTAAATTTTTTTATGAAATAAGTTTAAATAAATGGCACTTCAGAATCTACCCCATTGAGTAAATACACCTATTATATGTGATAGTAAGTCTACATTTTGAGATGTAGTAACGCCCTGTAAATATACCATTACCACTGGTCAGTTGTTTAGAATTATTTTGTTTAACTCCACTACCATTAGTATATGTGTGACTATCAACACTCGATAATTGACCACCACTATTACTACCAGAAGCTCCACAACCTTCCATATTAGCCATCATCTCCGATTGCCATTTCATTCATGCACATTTTGTGAAACGTGTTTCACCACTAAACAAGGCATCTTCAGGTAAATTATTAGATCGCTGCTCGGAGCCTAGTTTTAACCGTTCGTTTCGCAGTTTGAGCGCCGAACAGTACTTACTATGGACTTATTGAACTTACTTTACTTACTTTTACCCTATCTTTAAAATTTTAATCACATATATGTATATCTCATATCTTATATGTGCAAAAATTATATTCTTTTGTAATACTTTTATGTAAGTACATACAGTTCTTTTGTCTGCTCAATAAGCTGTCATAATATTTATTCGAGTTGCTCTATAATTTGTGGTTTATCTTGTAATATATTTACATCGCACAAAGATAAATATTTCTCGTACTCATTGGAATCGGAACAAGACAAACAGTATGGATATAGTAATAATATATCTTATTTATCTGTTAGTTTGTATTAGACACATACTTGTGACATGTAACACTTGTTAAAGTTGTTTACAAGCTATTTCAAATCGTCAATTTTTATGTTGAAAAGAATCCGTAAGAAATTCAAGAGTTACCCTTTTAATTCTCTGTTAAAAAATTGTATTTACTTAAACTTACCATGTCTAAAATGGCATGGTCTAATAACATGGTACTGGACTAATACCATGCACGTTTGTCATCTAAGTAAACGTTTAATAAATAGGCTTTGCTAAAAAGAGTTTCCTAATGGCAATTTTAAATGTATTATTATACTTATAATCGTCACTACTAGTAGATAAAATATTATGAAATTAATTATAATAATTACACTTTAGTTTACATAATGTTATTTCTGTGAGAGTGAGACTATGTGCCAAGCATTTGTAAAAAAGAAATTAAGTAGGCAATCAGAAACACAATCTTACCTACAATTCTTCTACGTAGATATATCTTGATCTAACAATGTTAAAACGTCCGAGGTATACCTACACGTGTCTCTTTACCTCTGAATAAATAATTTTACAAAGTAAATCCAACATCAATTAGTTAAATGAACTACTATGTACCTCTATATTAAAGAGGAATTATTTATCGTTTCACAGTTCTATTGCAACATTTATAATAATTTTGTAAAGGTAATTTATTGTCTGGTAATTTATGATTTATCTTTTATATTAATATTACTGACGACTAAATATTAAAAAAGTTCACTAAAATTAGACAAAAATCATAGTTGTTGAAAACCACCCAAAGTGGCCCATATCTACTTCTCGATAGTGTATTTTATTATTAAATATTTAACGTTCTTTGCGGAACATAGGCCTTCTCCATAAGGAAAGTGTTGCCATTAGTTGCCACGCTTGGCAGCAGGATTAACAACCGCAGTTAGCCATTGGTGATATTTTAAAAGGGACGCTGCTGCCCATCCCTCGGCTATTAAATTCCCTTAGTTGCCTCTTACGATACCCGAAAGGAGAGGATGGCCCATTCTATACCGAGACCACAGGCCATTGCCATCGTTAGTGTAATTCATTTAATCAACAGAATTAATTAAATTTAATGATTATTATGAAGATGATTTAATAATCACTATATGACGTCATTAAAATAATTGATATTTCTTATTACGATTACAACGGTTATATTATATATTTAAAAACTACACACATCTATTCTAATATACCTGCAGTAGACTGTAGCATAAATAATATCTGTCTACCTCATAAAGGAACTGATATGTACATTAATAATTTGATATTTCATTAAGAAGAGCAGAATTGATTAAGCAAGCTCCTCTATCTCTATTTTCAGCCGGTATCCGCAATTAGACGTGTTTGCCTCTAACTTGCTGGAGTTTCGTCGGATGACCACAGACTGTTTGTGTTCAGAGATATAGATGTTATTTCTATCCATGTTATGTTGTAATTTAAATCCAATTAATATAATTCCATTTATTAACACATGTTTTATTGTACTGATGCTTTCCTGTGTGAGCGTAATGAAAAACTGTAAAGCTCACTCAGTTGATTAAATTAAATAAATAAATATTGTTTTTCAACATCTTCAGATTGGCTGAGTGAGCTGATATACTTCTTCGCACCAGTCCTAGTGCTGGTTGTATGCAACATAGTGTTCTTTTCGGTGACAGCTCATCGTATACGCTCCATCAAACAGGAGACTTCAATTTTAAAGGGATCCAAGTCAACATCAAAAGACAAAATGAAGAATGACAAACAGAGGTAAGTTTGTGATATAGACACCAACAAGTAACCTAATCGCCGCCGGCATAGAATGGGAAAGGAAGGAGTGCCTTTCTTTCCCGTGGGTATCTAAAGAAGCGACTACGGAAACTCGATGGTCGAGCGGGCAAAACAGCATCCCTCTTAAAACATCACTAAAATCTAACTGCGGTTGTTAACTTGCCCGCGAAGCGTGGCAACTTATGGGCAAAACTCTCCTTATGAGGAAGACCTATGTTCAGCATTTTTTTATATATGATTTATATGAAACCTGATTATATGAAAACTGAGCCAGGAAACTTTGCCCTAGTGATAGAACCACCTTTTATATCTACCTTTTTTTTTATTATTTTTAATTGTCATAATATGTTTTCAACTAACTTCTAAAAGCTTCCGTCTTTTTTTTAAACTCCGTATAGTATAGAAACTTTATCAAAATCGGTTCACTAATTAGTTTTTAAATTAAAATAACTGGTTTCGTCACAATTGAATTCAGTTATTTGTGGAACAATATCCTTAATTATATGAAAGTTAAAAAAATAAATAATGAATCTTAATATATAAATATTCAGAGTTACTATATTTCTTCACGCCAGACTCTGAAACTGCCGACTTAATATTAAGGAAATGTAACTATGCATCGTTTGCCATATCTAAAGATAAATTTTATTCCCAAGAAACAATAGACCCGGTAGATGGCAGTAGGCGCAAAACAACATTTGCAGGGCCAAATAGTTTATTATAAACTAGCGGCCCGTCCCGGCGGCGCACGGGTGGACATATTTACATTTTAATAAGTGGCCGTTAGGGCTGCACACACGACGGAAGCTTAAAAATTGAGTAACTTCTCCCGTTTTCCCAACATTTCCCTTCACTGCTCTGCTTCTATTGATCGTAGCGTGATGAATAGTATACTATAACCTGCCCAGGAGTACGAAGAATAATTGTACCAAGTTTCGTTAAAATCCGTCGAGTAGTTGTTGTTTCTGTAACGAACATACAGACAGACAGACAAAAATTTTACTGATTGCATTTTTGGCATCAGTATCGATCACTAATCACCCCCCAATAGTTATTTTGGAACAGAATTGACAGAATTGACCTCTCTACAGATTTATTATAAGTATAGATATAGATATGTATATGTAACTTACTAAAATAATATAGCTTTATGCAATGCAACCATGCAACGTGAAAGTCTAAAAATTAATATACCTATGCCTGTGCATGTATGGATTGGGTTTAGTGCAAAGATCTCTTTCAGAAAAGAGATCTCTTTTTTAGTTATAAGTTCACCTTTGCTTACATTAGTTCTATAATTGTTATTACTTACCTAAGTTCAAAGAATAAATACATGTACACCTTTTGTTCCTCAGATTTTCCTTATACCTGAAGTTGTTTGTCGTGATGGGTATAAATTGGTCTGTGGAACTGATCAGTTTCGCCGTCGGTGGCTCCAACTTGTATTGGGTGATAGTCGATATCTCAAACATAATGCTTGGTTTCTTCATATTTATGATCTTTGTTTGGAAGAAGAAAGTGCGCAACTTGATTGTCAGAAGGTATGTCCTTTTTGCTTAATTTTATGGATTAAAATTTTAGAAAAGTTATATATATATATATATATATATATATATATATATATATATATATATATATATATATATATATATATATATATATATATATATTATAGTGTGTATATATATATATATATATGTTTCTATATAATAATATAATATATATACAAAATGAGAATGTTTTGCTTCAAAAATTATATGTTACTAATATACTCGTAATAATGTATAAATGTATAATATATGTATAATCATTCAAATTTTTATAAAAATATTTGAAAGATTGTTACTCAGTAATTATTAAAATTCTGAACGAATTTGAATAAAATTTGATACATATAGGTACATACAAAATTATACATTAATACCTAGATAAAACATTTATCATAATTCGAGCGGACAAAACGACGGGTTACAATTAGTAATGAATGATTCATACAATCAGTTGTTTGACAAGTGAATAATAATAATGTCTACAGGAGCTAGTGAAACATTATTTCATGTCAAGGAACGTAACTTTTATTGATCGTGGTAGGTAGTTGGATTGCAGGCAGCCGTTTATCAAGCATCATAGTTGCATACATTATATCATAGTTACATAGGCGTCTTATATCACACTGAAAACGTAAACTTGAGCTAAATCAAATACTATGTATATACATAGAAAATATAAACACATTTTGTCGGTATTTCACATATAAAAAAAAAAACTACATATTTAACCATTTGATTACACGTGCTTCAGTGAATACCTAATGGGACTTCCACTCAGTTATATACTGTGGTATTCGATAATACCACAGTGCTGATTTTAAGTGGAAACACCGAACATGAGACAGTTGTTTCCTGACATGAAATAATGTTTCACAAATTCTTGTACATATATTTATTTTAAAATCAATTTAAATGCATGAGTTTTCATATATATTGCTAAAACCAATTGTACATTATAAAACACTAGCTGATCCGGTAAACATTAGTCTGCTTATAAATTAGAGATAGAGACACCCTGCAGCGGTATATTATATACTTTACGACCTATTCTCATACCTACCAAATAGGGGGAAGGGATTGTTAGTAACCTATAATAGACCTCCACGCGGTTCCCCCTGGAAACTATCGTGACTAATTTATCGTTGAATTCGTCAGGATGGTCTAACTGACCTGCCTCTTCATCCTCACCTATCACCTCTCACTGATACCCCGCCAGTGTATACCGATAGCGCATACAGGGTTACCATGCCATTTTCACCCATTAAAAAAATACCTATTAAATATATGGTACATGAAATATTTCATAAAAATCCGAGCCGTTTCGAAGGTGCGCGACTACAAATAACGAGATTTTTTATATATTAGATTATCTCGTGTCTTAAAATATTATTTTGTAAGGGAACTAAAAATTGGAAATTAAATAAGCTATAAATAGCTATTTTCAATTTACATTGAGTTTTATGAACAAAGAACCTAGTGTCTCTTTGTATAAAAATTCAAGATTATGACAATGAAGATAGTGTTTTAATTCTTGTCAATCCAAAGACCAACAGACATAGATTAATAATTCCGGATTTACTTCTAACAAAATATTAATAATATATTACGAGAGATAGGTTATGACAGTAGGTTTAAAATACTCATTAGCAGGTATTTTACCAATATAAGACAATAAAATTATTTGTCATATAGGATAAATATATTTTATTATAAGTCAAGACAATTGTCTTTTAATGAGATAATTTTTCGAAAATAAAAATATAGTATCAGTCACAAAATAGTGCCTTTAGTAGGTATTCAACATATATACTTAGCTCTATAAATGTATGTATGTATTATGTCTATGCATCAGGTCTCTTACGGGGTAGACAGAAAGAAATAAATGCCATAAGCTCCTTGCATGATTTGTTTTATTCTTCCTAATAACATGTCTTGTGCAATATAGGTATTTAACATAACATAATGTTACCTACAATAGTAATGTTTTATACCTATTTCTTAGGTACCGTAGCATCCGTGGTCTACCTCACATACCGACAGACTCCAGAAAGAGTGGCAACATGACCAGCACTGCTATCACAGAAGAAAGCAGACTGTCTTCCGACGACCCTGGCGTGCGGTTAAAAGATTTACACTGAATGAAAGGTACTCAATCCTTCCTGCTATTATATTATAAACCAACTTCTGTTTTTGGGATAAAATAAATGTGGATATGTATTACACCAAATATTAATTTCGGCCTTGGGAACTAAATATAAAAACTGCATTCAATAACATGGCCAAACCTACAGACAAACAAATAAAGCGACAAAATTACAAAAAAAATATTGTTTTTGCTTCTATAGTTCTAATAAAACTCTTTCTAAATATCTCCTTTGTTCAAACATTATCCGGTTACAATTTTACAATACTTAAGTACATGTATAACAAAATTACAATAGTTTGTAAAAATGTTTGTTACTTAATACCACTTAAATGGTTGAATGAATAAAATTTTACCCACTTTTTTTAAATTTTACACATTTTAGATTAATACATAGAGTACTTTTTAATGCACATGAGCAAAGCCGGGAATTACAGTGAGTAATAACTATAAAATAGTTACTCACTCATACTAGGAAAATTTGGATAAAGTTTGATAGGTGAATTGTGTGGTAAAATTGGGGATTTCCTTTGATGAGTAACTCGAAGGTCTACCATGAAGTGAAATTGCAAATTTTTAGATTTAATTTCGTATTTTCGGAAAACATTTCATGGTAGGTCCTCTGACTACGAACATCAACTTAACAATTTATAAAATATTCATTTCCTATATTTTAAATAATGACTGTATGTTTTTTTTTTCTTATTCCAGATTACGTATCACGTCATGTTCATACAAAAGAATCCTCATCAATAAATGTACGGCACCGATGTTGTCAAAATTTGCTAGTCAGTTTCACAACAAATGCTTTTATTATTATCTTTAGCCTGTAGTTATTTTAAAATACTTTTCATAAAATTAAGATCATTGTTAAAATTTACGCACATTTACTTTGTATTTCATGAAATTATTATCGGTATTGACTATTTAGCAAATATTTTTCACTATAATTATAATATTTGTGTACTTTTATAAATAGTAGAAACAGGTACAAAAAAAAAACATTATTTTTTTAATATCATGAAGAAAAAATGTATATATATATATATATATATATATATATATATATATATATATATATATATATATATATATATATATTCTCAGTACGGGACACAGTTATATTATGCCTAGAGTGGGTTGTAAAAAAAATATATTACGATCGCGTTCACATAAAAATTTTTTTTATTTATATTATTAGAAAAACGCTTGCATTTTCTACAAAAAAGAATATAAATTTCATAGATATAGTATATAAAGTTCTACCAAATATCAAAGTTAAGATAACATTAAACTTTTTAGCTTGTCAAGATTGTGTTTAATATCAAAGCGTCAGTAACAAATAAATAAAGGTGGCAATAACTCGTGAACCATATATATTGTCGACATAAACTTGAACGCGGTTTGTCACTTAATAATTTGTAGAACTGACACAAACCACTCTGAGTTATTGCATTTTTCTATTGTTGCAGTTATTAAATGTAAATTAATACCTAGGTGCTTGTAAACGTATGATATTGTCTCTCTATGTGTTTAATTATAGGCTAGAATATATTTTTTTTTAGTGTACAACTATATAAAATTTTTATGTATTAGTTATATAAACGATTTTCTATTGTATAATAAATATAAGTGATGAATGATGTTCGTAATAAAATTAATTAAGTACGTAATCTATTAAATACCTCAGTGAACCTATAAAATAGAAAATGTAAACATATATATTAATTTTAATTAAAATTGTTTATCTACATCTCTCCTTGTCTCCCACTACTTCTAAAACTACAGCAGAGGATATCTGTCATGACTGGTGAGACAGAATTCCACTGCATACTCCGCGAATTCCCTGCAATCACACGATCTGCAGCTTTGCACCTACCATATGCATACGCAATATGTAGGTCTAAGTGATGACCGCGTAAGTCGAATTAGTGTAAATCAGGGTTTAATTCCTTGTCTTTTAGCTCTTAGCTATGCATATTTCGCAAAAGATGTTCAAATACGTACATTAGCTTAACAATAGTGTGGACAAAATGATTAATCTACAGTTGTCTGGCGTTCAAACAATCGAATCGACGAGATATGAAAATCGCGTAATTCCTAGTTCACGTAAATTGAGGTAGCGTAAGTCAAGGTCAACATCTTGATCCGCCAGCTGGCGGGCACGCAAGCAATAAAAAATAAAAAAATCAGGACATAAAAATCATTTTCACAAGTAAAAACAAATTTACCTAACCTATCTTTACAGCTGACCACTTCGTCATAAATAACCATAATAGTATTAACATTATTTTCGTAAAATCCATAAAAATTCAGAAGTAGTAACTTTGTAGATATATTTTACAAATGTCTACTATTACAACAGACTTTAATTATTTGGAGTTAGTACAACCTCTTTTATCTTCCATTTTGGTTATCCAATTTTTTATTTTAAGCCTAACCTAATGAATATCAATAAATCCTAAAAGCATACACACTGATTCTTTAAAAACTATTTAAGGCTTGATTACAAGACCTTTAAAGTCAATCTAGATAAGCTTTACCTTGTATTTACAATAATCTTATGACTATTGTAAAATTTTTACAATTTCAATTTAGCATACTTTTCTTAAATTTGCATCTTTTCATATATCTATCGTTGGTTAAAAGCACGTCATTAATAGTATACAAAAAATACCTAGTTAATTTTACTTAAAATGCAATATCAATGTTTTTAAATTGTAATAAGACATTATAATTTGGTGTTACCAAGATATATGAACTTTGTAAGTACACTATAATACATAGATAAGGTATATTAAGATAGACATATATGGACCTAACTGTACCTGAATTTTGTATTTTTGTTCATATTTTAAGAAGACAATCAGTTACAATAAAGTTAGTCCAATTAAACTGGGTTTTATATAAAATACCTTTATTCCTTTCTTTCATTATGATAATACTTTGTTATTAAAAACTATCAATACGACAGATATTAACAAGAGTCAAAATTAAATATAACACCTATTTATCTAACTCGACTTCCCCGTGTGATCCCGGCATAGAATAGGCCACCCCTTCATTTCCCGTAGGTGTCGTAATTAATGGTCAAGGGATGGGCAGCAGCGTCTCTCTCAAAGCATGTCTAAAAGCCTAAATGCGGTTGTCAACCCGCCTATCAAGCATGACAACTACTAGCAAAACTCCCCTTATGGGGAAGACTTATTTTCATCAGTGGACAGATAATGGCTGAAATGATCATCCTTTAAAAATACTATTGCGTATGCATGTTGACATGGACAGTAGCATAGATAATGTATTACAGTATTAGACAGAAGGTACCATCGACAACACAGCACTCCTTGTACGTTGACATCCATAAGGAATTAAAATCTTATATCATCATGCTTACTCTGTAATTTCAAGGTAATTTCACTAATATTAAATAAATGATGTTTTTTTTATAATAATGGTATATTGAAATAAACAAATTATGTATACGACTTGCATAAAGTGTCACTTTCAACCAGATGAATATAAAAAAATCCTACTAACATTATAAATGTGAAAATTTTTAAGATGTTTGTATGTTTGCTATTCAAACATAAGTAAACGGCTGAATAAATTTGATTCGTATTTAAAACATGAGTAGGTTATATTCTAATTTAACAGATAGGACATTTAATACACGACAAAGGAAATGGCTAGTGCTACCTTTCTGCTTGCTAAATATATTAAAAAAATTATATAATTACCATAAATTAATGATAGTATTCAAATACTTAATACCTCAAATAAATTACACTGTAAATAGTGACATCTGTTGAACATATTTCAATATACCTAATACTATATGATGGATAAAAAACCAGCTGTAAATATTAACTTGTACAGAAAGCAATATGTGACAGTTTGTTTGACTAAAGAGTCACTTGTTTCCCGGTAGATGGAGTCATGAATTATTTTAAATTGTTCTTATTGTTAATTTAAAATACACTCCATTACTTTAAACTTGCCATGTGGTCCAGCATAGAATGGACCACCCCTTCCTTTACCGTGGGTATCGTAAGAGGCGACTTAATTGTCGAGGAATGGGTAGCAGCGTCTCTCTTAAAATCTCACTAAAAGCCTTATTGCGGTTGCCAATCCGCTAACCAAACGTAGCAATGGGGAAGGCCTATGTTCAACAGCGTACAGTTGATACGATGATAATGACACTTCACGAACTTTTAAATAACGAACTAAATAGATATTATTACTGTTACTACTATAATAATTCCTTGAAAATAAAAATTGCTTATCTTTGTATAGTAGAGAAAGCATAACACTAAGCGTTATGTTTGATAACGACAAGAGCACAGTATATTCTGGGACATCAGCAACATCATAGGCAGAGTTACCAATCTCACTCATTTTAACATCCATTAAAAAAAACCTACGTATCTTGATGATAAGAAGATAAACGAAGCTTTTATTATATATTATATATATTCTTGGAAGCATTAATCCAATCTCACAATTGAAACGCGCTACGACAGAACCCACGCAGATTGCTCGTTGACTTTGTTAATATAGGTTAACTAATAATTCATAGGAATACAAACACGAAGGCATTACTTTTGCTGTTGCTGACACAAAATTTTACTTTAACTCTTCAAATATGTTCAGTATATTATTTATTTATTATTATACCAGAGGGAGACTTTGTACAAAAGTCGTTTGCTTGGGTACCTCTGTCCCATTCGTGTTTCAACCGTGAAGTAGTTGTGTTAGCATGGCTGTGTTTCGGTTTGAAGGGTGGGATATGGCGTGAATTTACAGGGTACGGAGGAATAACACCTGAGTCCTCAGGAATGGCAACGTATGGCGGGTATCAAAGGGCGAAACAGTATACTCTGTTATATCCATGGTACTGCTCATGTCTATAGGCGACGGTTACCACTTTCCATCAGGTGAGCCGTCAGCTTGTTTGCCATTCTAATTTGTATAAAAAAATTAATTATTTATAAAATAAATAAATAAATTTTAATATAAATATGTAACAAATAATGCTATTATCATTATTAGCCCACTGCAGTCAATTTACCGCTTGACATAGACTTCTACCAATACAAACTAAGCTGAACAGATTATTGAGTTAGTACCAGCCAACACACACATGTCCACATCGGGCGGAATAGATTGTTATTAATAGGGAGGTTAATCCCTATTGCTATCAATATACCCTATCAGGTCGACCTCCATGCGGTTCCCCCTAGAAACCATCCTGACTAATTTATCGTTGAATTCGTCACGATGGGCTAATTGATCTGCCTTTGCATTCCCACCAATCATCCCTCACTGGTACCCCGTCTCGGTATACAAATAGCACAGACGAGATTGCCATTCCATTATCATCCATTAAAAAAACCACACGCATGTCATCGTTCTAATTAGCTGCAAGCATTGCACAAATTCGAGGCCACACCTCCAGAATACTTCGTTTCGGATTTAATGCCTCAATGATAAATTTTAAGCATAACTCTTTCGACAGCTAGCCGAGCAACTGTAGGCTTTGCAATCATATATCATGGTAAGTAGAACGCTGATGGTTCAATTCATTTAAATTTATAATAGAGGCAATGACAAGACTCAACGCCGATTCCTAAAAGCTGCTCATCGTCATTATCATAACCATTATCTATCCACTGTTGAACATAGCCCACTCCCATAGACTATAAGGAATGGTCCTAAGCCACCTGCATCTATTGACTCCCTGCAATACATTTTAGGCCGTCGCTACATCTAGTGGGAGATCATCCTATACTACATTTCCCTGTATGGGGTCTCCACACAAGAATCTTTCTTGCCAAACTAAAAGTTGCTCAATCCAACTATTACAGCAATTACACTTACTAACAAAATAAAGAAGTAAGCAAGAAATTAACGGAAACTTAAGCATTGAATCATATAATAGGTGCTTATTTACCTTTTTTGAATATTTTTCCTCCTGAGTTTAGTAGGTATGTGCCTAGTTATTTCATTCATATCTTATAATTGTGCTTTATTACTTTGTGCCACTACAAATTATATATAAATAATAAAATAATATCAACTTTTGCAGCTACCTATTATTACTTTATTTTTATAATATTTCAATTAATATATTATTAACAACCCTTACTAATATTATAATGTAAAAATTTCTCTTTTTTTTTGGCATGAAATTTTATCATCATATAATTTTATATAAAAAGTATAGTAGTCATAGTATTCGGCATGAAGAATAACTCTAGAGAAGGTATATCTCAATTTATCTGTATCATGGACTTGAATAATGTGTAAGTCATATACAATTTCGTTGACTTCTAGTTCTTTTTATCATTTAATCTTCCTACATTCTCCTATTTGCAGATTTTTTATTAATATATCAATTATTATATAAATAGTTGTTATGTTTCCGTCTATTATTGTACGCATACTGCCCGCTAATAATTAATGCTCCTTTCCACTCAAGGTTTGCTGGAAGAGAACTCTTACAGAGTTAAGCTCGCCTGTTGTACATCTTTATTATATATATATATATATATATATATATATATATATATATATATATATATATATATATATATATATATATTATATTATATGTTGTAATTTTTTCTGTGTACAATAAAGAATAAATAAATAAATAAATAGTTTTTTTCTTAAAATAGGACCAATGAATATTTCATATTTAATCTCATAATTGCACAATGTTGCTGCTACTATTGATATCGCATGCATGCAACAAAACTACATCGACACGTTTTTTTTATTCCTACAATTTTTTTAAAATAATCATAAAATTTTTAATAATAATAGGTATCATTATTAATAATATTATTATTATAAATGTTTATAAAGACTTTTTAGTATTTGTATTTAAATATATATGTATAATGTAATGTAAAATATACTGCTCTTAGTATAAAACCAGGTCAGCGACCAGGCCAAACGACTAAAAAACTTAAAAAAGAAAAAAGATCTTACTTCTTTTACGAATTATTATAGATTAATAGTTATTTAAGATCTTTACCACTTAGTAGTCCTTAGTCAAATTTTGATGCCACTAAGTGTCTCAAAAGGAATAATAAGTTATCGGGAATCCGCACTGTTTACTCTAAAGGTGACGCTTCTTATTAAACCTTTGGACCTCGGCGCTCCCTTCGCCTATTATTATATAGAGACCGCGTTTCATTCAAATACAATAATACTCCATGAATTAAATTACGTTTATTTATCTTCCGTATGTCTGTATTATTACACATAATATGTTATAACATTATAACATGCTATTGCATGTTAGATGTTATTTACAAATATTACACTGCATTGCAATTAGGTCTTACAATTCGTAAATTACCCGAGTCTGTTGTTTGAACCTTCAAAGATTCATGATAAATCCCTTTTACTCAATATTGGCAACACTGGCTCTTATACTATTGCGGCAACGTTTCGCATTTTACGAGTTACTGTTAGCTTAGTAATGACACCAATGGTGCGCGGAGCGGGTTTTTTCTCGACATCTTAGCAACTTGCAAATTACCATTCGTATTTTCCTGTTACCTTATATTAAAGTAGTAACTTATTTTATACAATTATAATGGTGTTTTCTGAAGATGACAATAGTTTTGATTACACGAGTCGATCTCGTGAAAGTATAAATAAAAAATTTGAAGATAATCGACGTGTTAAATTAAATAAAACAAAAGTCAACCATAACAAAGAAAATGAAGAACATGACACTGAATCTTTACTTTTAGAAAAAGTTAATCCAAGCATAGTTCCTACAAAAAGGTAAGTGAATCTAAAATTATATCATACGGAGAAGCCAGTAATTTTTAAATAGTCTTATTTCTATAAGCAAAATTAGATTACATACACACTCCATTTGTGCGTAAATTTTGACTACATTACCTAACGGCCAGTAAAAATGTGCTTAATAATAATAAAAAAATACCTAATAGTTTATAATAATATTCAGTATACCGTTAGTTGTTAAATAAATTGTAATCTATCAATTTATTTAAATGTTTTACTTTCAATTTTAAATAGTTAACAGTTATTAATACTGCACTAAAGTACTTTCAAAATAACAACAAACAATAAAAAAACATTAAGTTTAACTATTGGTCTTAAGATTATAACGCTTAGCATTATTACTTGTATTGTAATTATAGTAAAATGAGATACCTATCTATTATCTTATGAATTATTAATTTCTGTCAATTCGTAAACTGTAAAATATAATTATTTGCATTCAAAATAATGTATTTGAACTGAACGGATTCTTATCACAATTATTTATTTATTTGTGTACGCCCATATTTCGAGGCTATTGCATAACATTATTAATTGTAAAGACAGCGGCGAAAATCTAAAAAGTTTCATAATAATTTATCCGTATAGTCTATTCTTCTGACTATTTCAATCAAAAATAAAAATAAGCCGTGAAAAAGTCTGTACAGTCGCCTTGACCGTCATTTACCTAGCAATAGTATTTACGTACAGGTCTATTAATATTTCGCCAGTCAATGTGATCAACTTTTAGACATTATGAAATGCTTTTAGGTTTTTATATTGAAAAATATATGAGCATGTAGTTTGGTTCCCTTTTCATTAAATTCTATTATAACGCACATTTTATTTTAATAGAACTTATTGAAAAAATACCAAGTTTTACGAAATTATCATAAAAAAACAAATTAGTGCCGTTAAAAATCAGAGCCATGTTCAAACTTCAACCATTTTAATGCTTTTTTTCCCCTTTTTGTTTATTGGTAAATATTTTTGTAATTATCTTCAACCATTTTAGTGCTTTTCTTTCTTTTTTTTTTTGTTTATTTTTGTTTATTGTTAAATATTTTTGTAATTAAGTGTGAAATTAAATACTAAATAAATATTTCTTTCTTTCTTTCAAACGCTTTCTTAATAATAGACATTTCGTAATAATGAAAATATTTAATCAATTAATCGATTAAAGTCTTATAGTTAGGACAATTATTCGTTTGTTTAGATCATTAAGTTCTGTTGAAAGAGACCACAGTATACTAAATTAATTAATATTCGTAAATACTTAAAAGTAGAATATTCTGGTGTTCAGTAGAATTTAATTGGATATATTAAAGTTCTTTAAAATATTTATCTCCTATACCTAGTAACATTTTTCGTTTTTATTACTTACATACCCATCTACCTACTGGTTAATTAAAGAATACTTAAGGAATGCTTTTATAATTAACGGCAACACGACACAGTATTGTACAATTTTACTGTTTTTTTATTACCAAAAAAAAATTAGAATCAGGTTCAAAACAATTTATTAAGCGTAAATAATCAACGTACGAAAACCTCTCTACACGAGTTTTATTCTTTTTTCATAAGTCAATATAATTTAATTATTTCAATTTTCCTTACACATGGTCCGTTTCACACCATAATAATTTGCGTTTTTTTTTGCGTCGCTTTTAAGTATAACAAAATACAGTGCTCACTTTAAATGTCGTTTCATTCATGGAATACATTTTATCCTTGTATACTCATATAAATTTTGTTTAATTCTTTAAAATTTATACTATACTGTAACTAACCAAAGAAATATTGTATTCATAGATATACATTTTAATTTATGATTTTATAAACATTGCGAATTTCGTTACTTTATCATCATTTACCTTGGCATTAATTATTTCCGGATGACTACAGACTATCGAAGCATGGCTTGCTATTTGTGATGTTTTAGGTATCTATATAGTATTGTTACTGTTTTTAATGCTGTAACTTAATTTGATATTAATAAAGTAGATTGATTTTAAATAAGTAGCTTGTTGATATGTATACAGTTTTTTTTTTTTTTTTTATATTCCTGAAATGGCCTACAGCCATACAATTCGCTTTATGATAAACGAACACCGCTTATAGACGCTTACACTTCTAGAGGTATTTACTACGTACTATCGACTCTCAAGAAACATTCCCACTTTTTTTTTAAGAACTTCGTGCAATTAGGTGGTATTATACGTATGTATAACCTATATTTGTTACTGCATTTCAATACATACATATAATGGTTTTTACACTAAAATTTACACCACACAAGTACTTAAAACACTTTTCTAGCAAATAAATAAGTTATTTTTATTATTTCAAATAAAAAACCATTAAAATTATTTGTTTTATTTTTAACGAATTCACAAAATCGTTTCCTTATATATATTATTTGCTTAAAAATGTATTGAATTTTTACAAACATTCTACGAGATTTTAATTGTAAAATTGTATTTATTTTAGTAAAATAAAAAAAAGATGTTCAATTTACGAAAAAATTAAAAAGAACCTAAATTGTTGCAGAAAGCAAGGGGAGAAGGATACAAACACAGACGTTCCAAGCATATCGTTTTTTACCTTAGTGAGTATACTAATAATTATCTGTATGATTGAATAAACATATGCAATCGACCTCTGGACAAAGTTGAATGGACATAGAATGATATAAATCAAATAATGGTATGGGAAGGGCAAGGCCATGCTATTGTTACAAAAATAGAACCCCATTTAACTGTGCACTACTTATGTATCAACTATAACATATAAAGTCAACTGTGTGCGCAAACTTGTCTACAGGACTTTTTTAATAGATGAAAATGTAATTAATTTCTCCTACGCTATTTATTGACGTTGGTGAGATAGCAGTGACAGATAATAAGTGAGAACTGAGAATGATCTTAGTATGTACGTATATCGGAGCTAGTGCACAAATTATTAGTCACGATGATCTTTAAAGGATTGTTTAGCAATGAAACAAATTAACTTGACAGCTAGTCGGGCAATAATAGTATAGGACACTCAAAAATCTTTGTCGTTATTAGACAAATGTCTAAAGTATTAAAATAGTAATAGTATTATAATTAGTTATAAATGTCTAAGGTATTTGTTTACAAGAATTATCTCTCAATACAATTTGTAATGTCTTACAGTATATTAAAGCAAATAATTTTTAAAAAAGCTATTCATCAAACTGCACAACTTTAAACTTCTAAGGTCGAAAGATAAAGCACCTTTTCAACCTTTCTACAAAACCAATTACGTAATTCATTTAATGTAAAAAGTAAAAAAGAATACGCAGATTAAGGTCATTTTGTTGTATTCATTTAATTAATGCCTTGCTCTAAGAAATTTATACAGTTTAATATAGCAGCACAAGATTTGGAATGTTACATTCAATCTATAACAGATGCAATTAAAAATGTATGTAGCTTTTTATTGCCACTAATTTTTTTTTTTTTTTTTTATTGCAGTACAGGTTCGCCAGCACCAAAGACATAATCTATATAGTAACCGCACTATTGTGTTCAGTTGTAAGCGGGTGTATGATGCCAGTTACCATGATCTTATTCTCAAATATCTCTCAAAGTATGGTCGACTACGAAATGTCATTAAAAAAGGGAATCCCAGAAGATGACGTGTTTTTGGATTCTCTGCGATTTTTTGCATTATGGAATTCCGCAGCGGGCTTAGTGTTCGTTGTGTTATCGTATATCGCCACAGTATTAATGAACATAGCAGCGTTTAATCAGGTGCGTTCATTAATGTTCAAACTAGCTTTTACTCGTGGATTCATCTGCTTGACCGATAAACATATGTTCTTTGAATGGAATAAATAGTATATATATTCTTTATTGCACTTATAAAAAAGATATACAATGGAATTGTTATAGATTTTGTTAGCAATGGTGAACCTATCTCTGAAAGCAGTCTCTTCGAGCGAACTTAATATAATGAGATAAAAAATTAGTAACGGGTAATCTAATTCATGTCCATCATATAGTACACATATATAGTACGTATATACAAAATTTCATAGGGATTAATTAAGACGTTAAGGCGCTATGAGGTAAACAAACAAACACACTTTCACGTTTATAATATTCCTACCTACTCTCTTTTCATTTAAGAGTTTTTTTTTTTTTTATACCACTGAGGTGGCAAACAAGCATACGGCCCACCTGATGGTAAGCGGTTATCGTAGCCTATGAACGCCTGCAATACCAGAGGTATTACGCGCGCGTTGCCGACCCTGAAGAAACCTCTTTACCCCCCTTTTGAAAAACCCCATGCTGTAGTCTCTCGGGAAAACCTCGGCAGGGAGCTCATTCCATAACCTGAGTGTTCGTGGGAGAAAGCATCTCTGAAACCGCGTTGTACGCGACCATTTAGGCTGTAAGGTATGAGGGTGAACTCCCTGCCGATGGCGAGCCGTACGATGATAGAAAGTGGCCGTAGGCATCATATTGAATAATTCCACTGAGCACAATCCGTTGTATAAGCGGTAGAACACGCAAAGTGAGGCAAAATCTCTCCTAAGACTTAATGGTTCGATACCGCTTGCAAGCATGGGATCATCGACAATTCTCATAGCTCGTCGTTGCACTGAGTCGAAGGGTTCAAGCTGGTATCTAGGTGCTCCCGCCCATAAGTGACAGCAATACTCCATATGGGGCCGGATTTGCGATTTGTAAAGCATTAATCGCTGATCCGGCGTGAAGTAATGCTTCGCTCTATTGAGCACACCGAGTTTTTTGGATGCCAGCTTCACCTTATCTTCGAGGTGGCCACGGAACTGTACGTCACTAGAGATGTCGACACCAAGGATCCCAATGCTTTTAGAGATGTTAAGAGACGTGCCTTGGAACTGTGGGGCCACAGCAAATGGGGTTTTTTTAGCGGCTTAGCGAGTTTCCTCTTGTCTGGACAACTAATCATTCATTCGCTTCCAACCAGCTCTATTCTAGGTCATATATTTGACCTCCCTATAAAACCTACCTACAAATTCCAATCAAGAACAACAAAGTATAAGTTTTTGTACAAATATATTTCAATCGTGTCGATTGTGAAAGGTTCCTTAGTTTAATGAATACTATTCTATACTATCAATAAATCAAATATTCTCGAAACGATTGAATGAAAGGTTTCTATTATTAAACTTATTCTAAGTGAGTGTAGGTACATTATATTTCCCTTACTAGTAATATACCCAGTCAGATCGACCCCCACATGGTCTTCTCTGGAAAACATCATGGTTTATAAATTCGTCATTATGAAAATAAATACAAAATAAATAAATATAACAAATAAATTCATCCTCATATATCTTCCTTCATTACTTCCCCGCCAGCGTAGCAGAGTTGTCATTCCAATAACACATAGAAAAAATTTACAAACAAACAAACATTCATAATTGAATCTCACTGAATATTAATTAGTCACACACTGTAACAAATTACAATAAGAAAACCATATTATTGCATTAATATGTTTATTTTGTGTTGCGTACAGCTGAGAAATATATTATTTATAAACTATTGTAAACCTATTATAAAATTTAAGTTTACTCAACTAAATAAATTTGAAAATATGTAATATTATAAAAGTTACTTATTTTAAAAAAATAGACGCATCATCCTCACAAGATATATAAAATATTTCTTTTAAAAAAAAATATTTCATTACTAACAATAATATTTATGACTTAATTACATCTTAATCGTAGGAGTAGTAGGATTAAAAAAATTAAAAAAAGCATAAACCATTTAAAAAATCCTAGAAAACAAAATAGAGATATTTTCGAAGTTTATAGGTAATACCTACTACAACTATATGTCTTATAACGAAATTAATCAGTATTCTGGTAGGATTGATGAGTAGTTATAATCGAAATAACAAAATTAAACATAAATATTGATAGGACATACGTAGAAACATACCTACTGATGGAACAATGTAACATACAGTGAATGATGAGACATGAATAAATTCTTTTTACTTCTTTTTAAAACATTTAAAAATCTCGTTGAATATATTATAAATAGTTTATTGAGTAAACATATGATTATAATAGTACTTATTCTTAATATTTACCAAAAAGCTTTGATCTCTTTTTTTTAGTTCGCATGACATACGCAAAAATAAAATATTGGCTTCGTTACGAGATAATGAATATATCTAACTCTATTTAATCTAATTACAGATATATAAAATAAGACAAGAATATTTAAAAGCAGCGCTTAATCAAGACTTTGGGTATGTTGATACTCATCAAATGGGAGATTTCGCTGCAAAAATGAGCAGGTAATAAAAAGAATATTAATAACACACACACAGATATTATAATAAATAATTAAGATGTGTTAAAAAAATACAACTTTAATTGTGGCAACACTAGTTATTTTTATTTAAAAACTAATGTATCGAACCGATTTAATAAAATTTCTACGAAGACAATCTGTAAATGTATAGTATCAGATAAAAAAAAAAATTCGAATCGGTTTACAACTGACGGACTTATGAGGTAACAAACATAAAAAAATACAACCGGATTGAAAACCTCCTTCTTTTAAAGTCAGTTGGAAAGGCATACAGTTGTTAAAAAAAAGTCGGCAAATTCATGTACCGCATGCATGAATATTGATTTTTTGCTCTAAATTAGGCTCAATATACTTTCCTTTAAATTTCAGTTCTATGTTATACACTTTTATTTAAATTTCAATTCTACATTCGTAGACGTATACTATATTAATTGTAACATAAAATGTATGTCGCGAAAATTCTTGGAAATACATATAAACATAGCGATCTTCAATACAATCATGTAAACCTATACGGAATAAATAAACATTTAAGAAAACAATTTAATATTTTTAAAGTCTGTCTCATTTATTGTTAATATTTTTCACTTTACAGCGATGTTATAAAATTAGAAGACGGTATCGGAGAAAAAGTGGCAACCAGTATTTTCTATTTGACATGCTCCGTTAGTTCCATTATCACTGCTCTGATATTGGGTTGGAAACTAGCCTTGTTGTGTTTGATATCTTTCCCTGTTACCTTTGGACTACTTGGAATTTCAGGATGGGTAGTATTTTATTAACTGTGTTTCTTGATTATGTTATGTCGTATTAAAGAAAAATATATAATATTTACCTTTTATCTCTTACTTTTTGTAGTTATCATCTAGACTGTCTAAAAAAGAAACTGTAGCATCGGGTAAAGCAGGCGCTATAGCCGAAGAAGTTTTATCGTCGATCCGTACAGTGTACGCTTTCAGCGGGCAACAAAAAGAAATGGAAAGATACGAAAGTCACTTGAAAGATGTCAGAAAAATTAATATTAAGAAAGGTTAGATATTTAACATGTAGTTATTGAACAAATACAGCCATGAAACTTGTCAAATGTCTTCATTGGCTTCTATATAAATAAAGTTAGACACGGTTTCTCATAACTTTTTAATATCAAATGAGACAATTGTTTTCTTTCTTTCAGATAGTGTTATTTTTATAGACGTGTATACTGGCAACCATAGTATGACTTAGTTATCTCTCCTAACTATATAATAATTCTAATTTGTTTATTAAGACTATTTTTTATTTTAAAATAAATAATAAATCATTACACTCTCACATTTCAGGTTTTTATAATGGCTTATCAATGGGAATACTATTTTTCTGTATATTCGGTTCGTACGCTCTCTCCTTCTGGTTTGGATACAAATTAACTGTAGATGAGCCGGAAATCTATAACGTGGCTACTATGATTGCTGTAAGTGATATACATACATACCTAGCACACACAAACTTTAAATCTATTTCCCACTAGCTATAGCAATTTCACCCATGTAAATCAATATATAAATTCTATGTGCTTAGTTAGGATATAACTTATTAAATAAAAACTATTAACGTGTACCAAATTTCACGTAAATAGTTTTTACGTAAAAGAGTAACAAATATTCATCCGTCTGTCATAATAGAATAATGTAGGCAAAACCATCAGTAAAATTTTATTGTGAGTATTGTACCTACCTACGCTGCGTGTTTGATTAACAATCAATAACGACTCAAGCTATAATCATGTATTTGGGATTATGGGATATGGGTTCAAATATTTATCCCGATCACTCACGGTCACAAGAAAGGTCTCGTGTTCAACAAATGATTGGTTCCATCGTGCTCGGCTAATAAATAGTACACCAAATGACCATTTTCGCATAATCCATATTTACTCATCTATTCCTAAAAAGTGTACTAAATACGAGAGTATTTTTGGCTTGATTGCATTTGTTAAAAGTAATTTTAAAAACTAATAGTGTAGTGTTATTATAACAGAAAGAGCTATTTCCTATTAGAAAATCACTTGTGAACTGTGTAATGCATACGTGTACTGTGATGCCCATTGCATTTCTTATTTACACATTCCATAAAAAAAGTGAAATTTATGACCTCAGCAATACTATAACGATAATGTTTATTCATAAAATTTATTATGATAAATTATGTAGACATATGTGTCAGATATATGTGCAATAAAACATCCTCTAGTGTTACAACCTAAGGATATATAACAATATCACACAAAATACATATTTAGAAGTAGATACATTTTATTTTATATGTCTTACTTGTATATAGGTATTCATGAACATCATTATGGCCTCAGAGAACTTTAGCATATTATCAACTCTTGTGGAGGTGTTCGGTGTCGCGTGCGGTGCTGGTGCACAGATTTTCAGTTTGATCGACAACGTGCCGACTATCGACCCGTTACTAAACAAGGGCGCGGTGCCCAAACATATCGATGGGAATATTGAACTGAAAAATGTCGTATTCCACTATCCTTCAAAACCCGACGTGCCAGTAAGTACTCGTTTTACAAAATAAATAATAATAAATAATAAACACATGTTAAAAGATTAATAATATCCTAATCTAATAAAAGTACTGTTGTTATTCGCTAAATTCATTTATATATTTACTCAAAGTTCTATATTAGTTTATTAATATTTATTCATGATTCGGTAATCTAATCAATGTTGATAACAAAATTAATTTGCATGCACATCTTGTATATATCACTAACGAATGGATTGTTATATCAGCTAAAAAATTACAGAGTACATTTCCACATTAATAAAACACTTGATTTCAATTCGAGAATTCCAAAAAAATCGATCCTAATATCGAAACCATACCATATCAACCGTTAGCTGTCCACTACCAAACATAGGTTTCCCCCTATTGAAGGGTTTAACAAGTCGCCACGCTTGGCAGGCAGATTGGTAAAGGTAATTAAGCTTTGGTGATGTTTCACGAGGAACGCTGCTGACCATCCCTCGACTATTAAGTTTCCTTAGTCGCCTCTTACTACATCCACGGGAATGAAAGGGGTGGCCTATTCTATGCCGGGACCACATGGCAATCCCTGAATTACGTATACATATTAAATAGGTATCAAATAAAAATTAAGTACTGTAGCTAATTCAGTAAATTTAGTACTTAATCAAATAACTTGGTCCCTTACATGAGTTTGTAGGATTTAAATAGGTAAAATCCTAAGAATTTAATGTTATTATTACGTAACCTCCATAATCTTATACGAAACGAAGTGTGAATATAAAACAAGGAATATAGAGACGTTTGGAATTGGATTCTCTGTACACATTGAAACTGTGCAGGTACTGAAAGGTGTGAGCCTGAGTGTGAAACGCGGTCAGTCGGTGGCGCTAGTGGGACACTCTGGATGCGGCAAGTCAACCATCATACAGCTGATATCGCGCTACTACGACGTTATAGACGGAAGCGTGAGTATAATGAATACTAATCATTATAGGCATGGGGTAACTTCTTGATTAAATTTTATAAGAAATTTGAAATTACCTAGCATAAAATAAATACATTAAATTATAGTACCATTAGAATATTATCTTATTTAGCTATGCAGAAAATACATAACACAATTTTAAAAATAAAAATTCTAATTTAACTAATATATATAGTTAGATAAACTTTGTTGATAAAGAAAATATTGCCCAAATAGCAGATTTTACTAACCAACCTTTGAAAAAAAAAACGAACACATGCAAAAGTTACAAACAATCTATAGGTATGTGTGGACGATGTTGACGTCCGCGAGTTGTCAGTACGATGGCTGCGCGATCAGATCGGCCTGGTGGGGCAGGAGCCTGTGCTGTTCAACACGACCGTCAGGGAGAACATCCGCTACGGACGAGAGAACGCTACCGATTCTGAGATTGAAACTTGTGCTAAACAGGCCAACGCACATGAATTCATCAAAAAATTACCTGCGGTAAGGTAATAGCAATTCATAGCAAATAATCAAAAATTATTATCAACATAAGAACAATAATAATATAATATTACAGGGGTACGATACATTAGTGGGCGAACGTGGAGCATCTCTATCAGGGGGACAGAAGCAACGTATTGCGATAGCCCGAGCTCTCATACGTAATCCACACATTCTTCTCCTTGATGAAGCTACCAGTGCACTTGATACATCGTCTGAAGCTAAAGTCCAAAAAGCTCTAGATAAGGTAAAGTGAAAGCTATTCGTTAAGATAATAGAATAAATTACATGTCACCTCGATAAATATGTACTAAATAAAGATTATATATTATGCTATTATAGGCTACTTTTTTTAATAATGTAATATCTATAGTTAACTAATTTCATTTAAATCAATAGGCACAAGAAGGTCGTACTACAATTATAGTAGCACACAGACTATCAACTATAAGGAATGTAGATGTGATTTATGTATTTAAAAATGGAGAAATAATCGAATATGGACCTCATAATGAATTAATGAAAAAGAAAGGACATTATTATGATATGGTGATGATACAAGCACCTCCTGCAGCAGATGAAAATAAGGGTAAGAAGAATATAGTAAATTGTACTTTTAATTCGTGACCAAATTGATAGCAATGACCTTTTTTTTTAATAGATAAACCACAATTGAACCGTAAACAGTCAACAGAAATAAATGAACAAGATGAAGATGAAATCGTAATAACTAAAACTACAGTAAGTACTTCAAAACACTTTAATCCTAACGATAATTTAAACTTAAGAAGTGAATAAAGGTATTAGCATTATTTAATTTTAATATTACAGGAAAAGAACGATTTTGAAGAACTAGAAAAGGAAGTGTCATTTTGGGAAGTAGTCAGGCTTAATTCTCCTGAATGGAAATCTATTACTGTTGCTAGTGCCTGTTCACTTGTAAGCGGGTTCGCTATGCCAGTGTTAGCAGTTGTTCTTGGCGACTTTGTAGGGGTAAGATATAAATATTATCTAAAAGGAATTTCGGATTAGTTTTAAAGGTTTCGTCAAAACATAAACTTATGACTATCATTACGCGTGAGATAAAGCCTTTTACTCCGGTTATATCATAAACAAAAAGTACAAAATATTTCATTTCAACCAGAGAAAAATTTCTGATAAATTAAATGTCATCAAATGGCACACTAAATTACTTATGGGATTAAATTCGATGCACCCTAACCGTTGCTACATTGATACTGTTGTTGCTGCATTGCTACTATTTGTTTATATGACCATGCATTACTATATGTAAAGTAATGCACTTATCCTATTTAATACAATAAAAACAATAATATACTCGCAAGGCTCTTGCTAAGTTCTAATTTAATTTTCAGGTTTTTTCCAATCCTAACACCGATGAAGTGTCATCCGAAATACAAAGATTTATAATCATATTTATTGTTGCCGGAATGTTCTCAGGGATCGGCAATTTCATTACGGTAATTATAAGTCTAAATTACATACTTATATTGTGTTCTTACATTAGACATCAGCATCTTACTGATCTTATCTCAATATTTGGGGTTAGCGTAATACGTTTTCATTTATATAACACAAGATTTCAGCTTTTAGTTTTACGACCGGTACGGTACGGACCTTATAACTTTAATTATTATAAATTATATTTATTTATATCTGTATGGTGTTTATAGGTTTATTTTTATGGTATAGCTGGTGAGTGCTTAACAGAGAGGTTACGCAAATTAATGTTCGAAAAACTTCTGCAACAAGAAGTAGCATACTATGATGACAAGAATAATTCCACAGGTGCACTTTGTGCACGATTAGCTGGCGAAGCTGCCTCAGTTCAAGCCGTAAGATTGTTACTAATATAATAATAATTATTAAATTTAATATTGAAAGTTACTTTATATTTATTTTTTATTGTTATTGTAGGCAACTGGTCAAAGAATTGGTACTGTTTTGCAAGCGGCAGGAACATTTATTCTTGCTCTTGTTCTTTCGCTTTATTATGAATGGCGTGTAGGATTAGTAGCTTTCACTTCTGTACCACTTATGGCTGCTATCGTATATAAGGAAGGTAGAATGGTGAGCGCTGAATCCTTCGGAACCGCCAAGACCATGGAAGCTAGCTCGAAGGTATGTTAATATGATGAATTTTTCTACTTCTAGTAACGCAGTCACTGTTCTTTTTTATGGCGATCGAACAAGAAGCAGAAAGCTTCGCCATAATGATCTAAGTTTCCATACTTAGCTATCCTTTTGGGAGACCTTGGTCTAAAAACTACACCTTTCTATGTACTTATTCAAAATATTTTTCAAATAAGAAAAAACTTGAGTAATTTTTAAACAACGTTTTTACCGTAGTCTACATGAGCTCGTTTTATATTTTAGTTAGCTGTCGAAGCAGTGTCAAATATGCGCACAGTAGCATCACTTGGAAAAGAAAAGATGTTTCTAAATAAATACTCTGTGGAACTTCTGCCAGCCCTTCTAATCGCTAAACGATCTGCCCATTGGCGTGGTATAGTATTCGGCTTATCACGAGGTCTCTTCAATTTTATTTACGCCGCAGCTATGTATTACGGAGGAATACTTATTGTAAGCGAACATATTAAATATTCAATAATTCTGAAGTAAGTATATCTTAGAGACTTACTCATAAATAGGTTTGTTTCGTCTTCTGTAAATAGAAATAGAAGATTTTTTTTATTTCAGATCAGTCGACTCACTTATACTTGGTGCTGCTTCAGCAGCACAAGCTTTTGCCTTTGCCCCGAACTTCCATAAAGGAATAAAAGCTGCAGGACGTGTAATAACATTACTTAAAATACAATCTAAAATTACTGATCCTGTGACACCTATGAAAGAATTTGTAAGTAAATGTATGAAGACAACATCTTCAATTTAATTTATTTTCGTTAAGACAAACAACAGTATGGTATATATGGTATATGCAGATAAAGAAAAACAATATGTAGATTTGTCTATTAAATACCTCTAATATACTAAACGCTTCATAAAAAATATGTAAGACACGCTTCATAAAAAATATCAATTAAACTTATTTCGATTAGATAAATTAATTCTAATTTCAAGATACCTTAGCTACTGATCAGATAGTCAATCTTCCCATTTTTGTTCCTGGACTAAAATAGTTACAAACATATCAAATTACAACGAAAACTACTTAAACTTGTAATAAATTACACCATTTATAACATACTTATTACGCAAGACTTAGAGCTTACATACAAGAGAAAATACGAAGTTCAGATTAACCAGAATTTTACTTTATCTTATTATTATTATACACGTAAAGGCTGTTTAAATACAAAAATAATAAGGATAAAAGTGAACTAAAGAACAGAAGAAAATATTTTTTACAGAAAAATACTGGAACAGCAGCCTTACAAGACGTAAGTTTCAAATATCCAACTCGACCAAATATACAAGTTCTTAAAAATATGAATCTTCAAATAGAGCAAGGACAAACTGTAGCGTTGGTAGGGGCAAGTGGATGCGGCAAGAGTACAGTTATACAGCTCCTCCAGAGGTACTACGATCCAGATGATGGAATTGTAGTAAGTATGAATAATAAGAGTACTATTCATTAGTAACAATATAATATTTACATATAGGATATATAAAAAAATATGATCACTCTCAATAAAAGGAAAAAAAGCCAAAACAATCATTTTAGAATTTTTATCCCTCTATATGTATATTTATCCTGGCATCACGTAAACTTTACTGCACCAAATAATGTGCAGGTTCTACAGTTCTATTTCTGAAAGTTTTATTATTACCTTTATATGCCGTCTATAAATAGTCAATTTTATTGGTTTTCTTTCTTCCAAAATCTACAAGCCGCGGGCAAAAGCTAGTTTTCGTTATATAATTAGAGTAAAATTATAATTCAAAATTTTTAAGTCTTATCAAATTTTCAGACCCAAAGTGGTGTACCTATACAAAATCTCAGCTTGATCGATGCTAGACGAACGATCGGTTTCGTGCAACAAGAGCCAATACTCTTTGACCGAACGATTGGAGAAAATATTGCTTATGGGGACAACTCGCGCCAACCCAGTATGGATGAAATCGTAGAAGCTGCAAAACAAGCAAACATACACAACTTCATTAAATCACTGCCTTTAGTAAGCATTTACATTAATATACTATCAGAAAGATTTTAATTTTACACAAATTTTTTCAACATTAAACTAAGATGCTCTTGAAAATGTAAAACTATCTAACTAATACTAAAGTTCAGAATTAAAGTTTCTGAATTGAAAACGCCTGATTTGAGTATACAATAATGTTTTTAGAGCCTATAACAAAAAACATAAAAATTACAAATTGAACAATTTTCTTAGGGTTATGACTCAAACATCGGTACAAAAGGCGCTCAATTATCTGGAGGCCAGAAACAGCGAGTGGCTATAGCAAGAGCATTGATCAGAAATCCACAGATACTGTTACTCGACGAAGCTACTAGTGCTCTTGACACAGAGAGTGAAAAGGTAAAATTAATTTATGTATGCCTAATAGAAAAACAAAAATCACATAATACATGTAATTTTCGTAATTACATGTATTATTATATTTTTGTTTTTGACATAAGTCTCAGAAATTAAACTCCACAGGCAAGAAAGAGGTTCAATTAATTCAACTCTGACAAGACTAAGATAATCTTATAAGGAAAGCCGTAGTACGTTAGGAAATCTCACATTGGCATTTATTAATAGTTTATACCAAAATTTTACCTCTTTCTAAAACTTGACGAACTATAAAATTAAAAGCAATTTGCAAGTTATCTACCATCATATTAAAATACAGTATCAGTACTTAACACGATGAAATTTTTTTGAGATAACTGTCGTGACCTTGATGTAGTGCAATCCACGTCGAAACGTCAGCAATAAAGAAGCAGGTATGTAGGGATTACTTGCCTGCGAAAATTTTTCATCACGTTAAGTTAGATAGTGTATTTAAGTATGTGTAAACAAGGCAAAAGTTTAAAATTAACTATCTACCATTATGCAAATGAAAAAAAAGACGAGGGGATCATTATACATTACATACAGATACAGAAGGTATAGTGATAGAAGCTACTATTATATATCTTAAGACTCGTGTACTCAACTCTAGAACGTCAATTGGCGGTAACGATGATAGATATCTTCTGAAATATATCGTTTCTTTTACTTCAAAAATGACAAAACATATATTAAAATGTGCTGAATTCCACGAAAATAATTTACATAGGTGGTGCAGGATGCACTGTCCGCTGCGAGCGCGGGCCGCACATGCGTGACGATCGCGCACCGGCTGAGCACCGTGCGCGACGCGCACCGCATCTGCGTGCTCGGCGACGGACGCGTACTCGAAGCCGGCACGCACGACCATCTCATGCGGCTCAAGGGGATCTACTACAATCTTAACAGATCGGGCAATAGTTAATATTAAAACAATATCAATGAATACCTCTTTTTATTTCAATAATTTTCCTTAGAAATGGCGTACAAAACTTTAATGACGACATTATAAATCTGATGTTTTCTTACAATAACAAATAGATGCCAATTTTATCTCTCATACTCTCTAAGATCAATTTTATTAAAACAAAAGAACAGTTTCAATATTCTAGGATATAACGTTAATAGTATATTTAACAACGTAAATAATAGAGTTAGGTATGCATAACATAATTCAGAGACAGTTATCATCCTGATCTAAGTAAACATAATAATAATAATAACGTTATGTTTACTTATAAAAAATATAATTAGTTTGAAGGTAAACTAAAATGCACATTATGTAAATAAACCTTTAATAAAACCTTAGATAGATGAGAAGGTCATGGAATAATAATTTATACGATGCATGAGTATCGTAAGTTCTTACGAGTATATACGTTTTTATAATTTATATTCAATATAATTATACTTTATATTGTATACCTACACATAGCAGTGAACTCGACCACTACTGATGTTGCAATTATGTATAAGTGTTTAAAAACCTTGACTTCATCATCTCGACAATGTGAAGGTCTCTATTTGACCAAACACCCACTATAGTGTTTTGTCTGGCGTATCTAAAACACCTATTATTTTTACAAACCTGTTTTGGAATATATTTCGTTGAATATCTTTAAATATATTCTAATTGTGACAATATTCTATTTTTTTAAAACTTAAGATTATATAAGGTTTTTTAAAACCGGCGGCCATATTTCATAAATCAATTTCGTAACACGCAAATATCTTTGCAAATTGTAAACTGATTTCATTTATTTACATTGGTGTATTCATTAAATTAAAAGTTGAATTGGAATCTAGTAACGATCATTTAGATCTACACATTTAACCGTTATTAATAACGAAACGTCAAACAGACTTAGATCTAATAAATAAAGTTTATATCCAGTAGGTAACTAAGGACTAAACTACAAACTAGTATAGGAATCTAACTTTAGACAGAAACAAAACAATGTACGTAATCTTGCTGCACGGAAAAAGGTTGGGCCCATTCGTATATTATTATTTAATACTAACTTTTACCCGCGACTTCCGGAATAAAAAATAACCTAAATCCTTCTCCATCCCATACAGTACCTATATACGAATTTCATAGTGACTGATTAAACCATTTAGGCGCTATAAGGTAACAAACTCACTTTCACATTAATAATATTAGTAATTATTCTTAAGGTTACACTACCAATTCCCAAGGGATTAATACCGCCCCCTAAAAGCCTTAATACCCTACCCTATAATAGCAATATCGTATTTTAGACTATGTTCCAAAAAATCAACATTCTCATTTTTTTTGAATTCTTAATGGATTTTACCTTCTCCAGGTATTCCAGGTTCGCCTTATCGTACCCTGAATCGATTTTTCAAATAAGATTTTGTCTACTTAGACAGTTGTACCGGCTACCTCTATTTGAGTCGATCAAACTCTATTTACTAATTAATAAATTAATTTTGAGATATATTCAAAACGGTTAATTTCACATTTTTTTTTGTATCCTTTTTTTATTTTCTTCTGTATACTTTTAAATTAAGGTTTTAAACTGATTCAAATTTATCCATATTAACCAAGCCGAAACAGGTTTTTATAAGTTTTTTATTTAATATAGTATCAACGGATGGACATGGCCTATAGCATGTTTACCGGTTTTGGTTCATCGTATCATTTTAATAAAATAATAACGAAGGCCTTCTCCAGTTAGAAAAGTTGTTTCGTGCGGTCCACAGTGTAGATTGTATACAATAATGGACGATACGGAAGAATCCAGTGGGATTAAATTAAATAAAACAAAAGAGAAATACACATTAAAAGATGAAACAAATAAACATGAAATGGAATCACTACTTGTGGATAAAAGTGATCCAATAAAAATAACGCCCGCAAGGTAGGATCTAGTGTAAATTAAGCTTTCTAAATTTCGAAATTTACATAATATTCTACCTGTTTAAAATATATATATATATATATATATATATATATATATATATATATATATATATATATAAACTAAAAGCATTTGCCTCTTTAATCTCTATATGTTGATAATGTAAGCTATTTTTAGCATCGGGTCACACGAATGATTTGCATCTAGAACTTTTGTTAACATTCATCTATAAATATCCATATTAAAATTCAAATAAAATTAAAATGCGACCGACAACTTGACGTATTATAATATACGCTTATGTATAGAACATAGATATTTAGATAGGTAGGATTGATTTGGGTCCTAACATGTCTCAAACATCATCGTTGTTATTTCGTAAGAAAATATTTATATATCTGTAATGTAACTTATAAAACAAGAATAAATTAAATAATTTTATTTGAACCGATTTCGAAAATAGTGAGTTCTCACCTTCTCAATTCGGCTGTATTTTTTTTAATGTTTTTTCTCATAACTCCGTCAGTTGTAAACCAATATGAAAATCCGTAAGTATATCTGAAAATCGAATAAGTGATTTAGTTTTTGACTCAAAATAACTGGATTTGCCACAATTGAATATTATCTATACCTCTGTTCTACTTGTGTTTTCGGTAGATTCACCCACCTTTTAACCTTTGATGGATGTTTGTTACTTTTTCACGCAAAAACTGCTAAACAAGTTTGAATGAAATTAGGTATACGTTAGATTATATGTTAACTTACAAGAGCCGCGGAATACAGCTAGCAGTAAATACAAGTATATAGTAATAGCAAAATATATTCTGAGTTAAAAGAAGCTGTCAAAACAAAAACTGCAAAATAAAAGTCGGTTAATACAGTCAATATAATAAAAAGGTAAAAAAAAGGATTTTTTTTATACGACTTAGAATTTAGACTTAGAACTTAGAATTACAAATCTTTGATAAAAAAAAGCAAGCTAGATACTGATTACAAATTAATTAAACATGCACTATGTATACTCGTACCTAGGCATACGGTTAAACAAGCGAACATACTTCGGTACTCTTACTAGAGATTATTGACATTTGCTGGAATTTAAAATTCATCATTATAAATACTAATAAATACTTATTGTATTTATAGTGTATTCCTATATCATTTACAAATTTACGATCATATTTTTTTCATTTAATAACATCTTCTTTCCAATAAATAAATAGATTTGCATAATTAATATATCAAGCAATTTATACCATGTATAATAATCAATGTAAAGAGCCTGTACGAATATATATGCTCTGCTACATGGTATATTCAAGTAATAACATACGAGTATCAAAACATATGTGTTTGTTCAGCATATACATATATTTATTATATAATACTTTTTCATCATACTAAATATCATATAAGCCGTTATTTGTTCACTGCTAAACATAGAATTCCCCATAAACTATCATAAGCAACGAGACAGTTCCTTAAGGCAATTTGCTATTTGAAGGATTTTATCAGTAGTTGCCACGCTTGGCAGGCGGGTTGGCAACCGCAGTTTGACTTTTGATGATGTTTTAAGAGGTACGCTGCTGCCTATGTCTTAACCATTAAGTTCCCTTAGTCGACTCTTACGACACTCACGGGAAAGAAAAGGATGGCCCATTCTATGCCGGGACCACACAATTATAATATTTATTATGCACAGTAAATTACCAGGAAACTTTATAAAATAGTAATAATCATATAGAATTTAAAACCGCAGTATACCGTGGATTTTTTTATTATACAACATATTTAATTTAATTATACTTGCCCACTTATTACAGTAAATCTGAAGATGCCGAGGAGGATACAAAGCAAGACATACCTAGCATATCTTTTTTTGCCTTGGTGAGTAGTTTTTATACATTTTATCTCGTCATTCGAACGCGGAAACAAACACAAAACGAATCATTCATAATAAACAAATTTTAAATTGTCATTGTTTACCTATATCATAAAGCATAAATGGTATCCTGTGTACCAATCCAGGATATAGGCATTATAATAGATAACAAACGAAAAAAAAATTAACTCTTACAATATGTGCAGGATTAGTAGGTAAGCCTGGTAACTTATACGAGCGTCTGTTCGGATATTTAAAAGAACTTTAATTTGTGAGTCTTAGTAAATATTTTAATAAAGAAATCTAGCTATATGATCCACATATGGGTCTCACTGAACCTTTTTTCTCTAAACACCTGATGATAGTATAAATATGCTTTTTACAGGATTAGGTATTTAAAATTTCTAAGATATATATGTATATTATATAAACTAAATTCCAAGTTATGAGATTTCGTTATTTCATATCAATATAGAAAGCGTCGGCATAGAATAGGCCACCCCTTCCTTTGCCGTGGGTGTCGTAAGAGGCGACTAAGAGAGGGCGAAGAATGGGCAGCAGCGACCCTCTTAAAATATCTCCAAAGCCTAACTGCAGTTGGCAATCCGTTTGCCAAGTCAGACAACTATTGGCAAAACCCACCAAGGGGGGAGGCTTATTTTCGGTAGTGGACAATTAAAAGCTGATAAATATATAAATGATGATTGAAAACGTCGTGTAACGCCCATTAAACCCATTAAGTGCCACAAATAAAAATAATAGTAGATACTATTCTAGTCAAAATCTGTTGATATAACAAGATAATGTAATTATATCATTATGTAAACTATTCACGATTGAAGTATGATAGTTAACATTTAGGAGCCTGGATACAGTTGCTCCAACCAGATACATCTAAAAACAGTCAAGTTATTCAAGCTTGGCTCATTGGCTTTCGGAGAGAGTCTAATAACCACTTGTCCGGTACTATAATATTAGAGAAATGTGAAAGAAAAGGTTGATCAGTAATAGTGACTAGACTCTTCAATGATAATAATACACTGTCGACCTCCAAACGGTTCTCCCTTAAAACTATAATGATTAATTACTACTGATTTCGTCACGATGGCCCAATTGACCTGATTTTTCCTTATCTTATCTCATCATTCTCTGGTAACTCCGCTAGCATTTCCCAAATGCACAATTAGGGTTCCATTATATTTTTAATCATAAAATAATATTACAATCAACTAATATATTCCTTTAATGACAAATCTGAACTGAATCTGACTAGATTACCTAATTATTTGTTCTGTGTCTCTTTATCTTTCAGTTCCGCTTTGCGAGCATAAAAGACAAGATCTACATAACCATTGCAATCCTAAGCTCAATTATATGCGGTTGTACAACGCCGCTGTGCGTATTACTGTTTTCATATTTATCCCAAAATATGGTCTTATATGGGATATCGTTGAAAGAAGGAACGCCAGACGATGAAGCATTCTATAAAGCACTTTTCTATTATGCAATCATTAACTCCCTTGTTGCTGTGACTTTCGTATTTTTCACATATGTCGCAACTGTTCTTATGAACATCGCAGCATATAATCAGGTTAGTAAATGTACTTATATGCGGGTAGTAATAATAAACAATTAGCAACCAATTTTTGTGTCATATGCTGTCTTGTAAATGCTTTACATATGTATTTTTTAATAACTGTAATAATAAGCCTAAATATTAATGCTTTTGTTTTGTATATTTCCGCTACACCTCATTCGAATACGTAAATAGGCCATACTGATTTGTTTTTCCTTGTTTGTTCATTGTTTTACCCCTACCATCATCTACCAGGTCCATTTTTATTGCAACAAAAACAATCCTATCTTTGAACTTAAAACAAACATTACACATTTATAAAATTTCATTAAAATCTATTGAGTTTTAAAATCAATTATATTAGGATATAAAATTATTATAAACATATGTTTAGGTACTCTAATAATTGATCACTAATATTTTTTTTAGGTATACCGCATGCGACAAGAATATTTTAAGGCAGTCTTAAATCAAGACTTTGGATATTTCGATACACATCAAATGGGTGATTTCGCAGAGAAGATGACAAGGTAAACTCTTAAATATATAGTTAGTATAAATATAAAAAATACAGAAGTTCGACATGAGATTCAATCTTATGATTCACGAACGTTCTCTATTTGTCTCACTTATGAAGAAAATAACGTAATTTCTTTTTTTCCAGCGATGCTATGAAAGTTGAGGACGGAATAGGTGAAAAAGTAGCTACAAGTATTTATTATTTCACAGGCTCTATTAGTACATTTCTAATGGCATTATATTTAGGCTGGAAACTAGCCTTATTATGTTTAATATCATTCCCTGTACAATATGCCGTACTTGGGTTATCAGGTTGGGTAAGTAACATTTCAATATAATCTAATAAATATCCTCAGTGGTACGTGCCAACATTGCTTTGCGTTAATGAGGTCCCATGTTCGATTACCGGTGGAATCAGTTGAGAAAATTAAATTTTCGAAAATGTCTCGAGTTTGGATATTCTAAGTTTCCAGCTTTGTTGACTATATTTTCATAGCTTATTATATTCAGATTGAGTATCGTATAATGGGCGTATAGTGCAGCAAAAAAATCCAATCCATGTCTATTGCTAAATTCTGACTCTAGAAGATTTTAAATAGAATTATCTCTATAAATTAAATGCTGTTCGTTGATGACCGTATCATTTGAGAAGAAATTTAATTAGACCAATAAGTATTTATGTGTTTTAGATATTATGTGTTTCAGATATCTGCCAAATTGTCCATTAAAGAAACTGAAGCCACAGGAAAAGCCGGTGCTGTAGCCGAAGAAGTTCTATCGTCTATCCGAACAGTGTACGCATTTAGCGGACAACAAAAAGAAATGGAAAGATATGAAAGTCACTTGAAACACATTCGAAAAATTAACATAACAAAAGGTAAAGTTTTAAAATATATAAATAATAAAATAAATTTACACCCTGTTTCTGTGTTATTTTTGAATTCTTACGTTTATTATATTTTTTTTTTCTTTGTATTGACTTTAATTCTTTTTTTATTCCACTGGTAGAACTGTCTGACTCTAGACGTAATTATAAAAATAAAAATATTTACTACCTCTAGAACCAACATAGTTTGAAGCTAATCGTCGGATTCAGAGATATAATTTTAATCCAAATAAAGTCGCAGATAGAGCAGTATTTGAAAAAAGAATAGAATACATTTTTAATTTTTCACATAGTAATTTTTATTAGGCATGATTTGTTTTAGGTTTCTACAATGCTTTAACTATGGGAATATTGTTTCTGTGCATCTTCTCCTCATACGCTCTCGCGTTCTGGTTCGGATACGTTCTTATTGTGAATGATCCTGAAACATATGATGTGTCTACTATGCTCTCTGTGAGTTTCATTAAACACAGCTTATACCTAATTAGGTAGGCAGTGGTAACTTTAATTACTGTATTTTTTTCCCGTTTACACAGGTTTTCTTGGGCGTGCTAATGGCATCCGAGAATTTCGCAGTATTACAAACTCTCGTTGTAGTATTTGGGGTTGCCACCGGTGCGGGTGCACAAATTTTCAATTTAATAGATAATGTACCTACTATTAATCCATTGAAAAATGTAGGTGTAACACCTAAAAGCTGTGACGGAAATATTGAATTTAAAAACGTCGTATTCAACTACCCTTCGAAACCCGATGTACCAGTATGTAACCTTTTTACTACCAACAAGTTGCTTCCATTTTTGTTTTAATAAAACAGTATTACTAATACTAATGTAATTTATTATTTCGACACACCTGATAAATAAAATCTATCAGCGACCTGGCAATTGTTATTATATTATTATGATTATATATTTATACTATACTTAAATAATTGTAGATATTTCTTTCCAATCAAACAGTCATTTATCACTGATAATTAGCTTACCTTCACTGTATGAGAATGTAATTTTTATCTTCCTTTAATAGGTTTTAAAAGGAATAAATATGAAGGTGAATCACGGCCAGACAGCGGCGCTGGTAGGACACTCCGGATGCGGCAAATCTACTGTCGTACAACTCATATCACGATACTATGATGTTATCAATGGAACAGTAAGTATTAATAAGTAATCATTAAGTAGTAAATAATCAGATATTAGTAAATATTATTAAGTAATCAATTAGCCAATTTTAAAAGTAGTCGCTGATATACATCGCTATAAATTCGTATTATATGTATGTATAATCAAAAATATTATTTCTATTATATTATAAAAATACTTTCCATTAACAGGTTACCGTAGACGGTAATGATGTCCGTGACCTATCTGTACGCTGGCTGCGCGATCAAATCGGTCTGGTGAGCCAGGAGCCTGTACTATTCAATACTACAATTCGAGAGAATATCCGCTATGGAAGAGAAGACGCTACCGAAGCGGAAATCGAAGCCTGCGCGAGACAAGCCAACGCGCATCACTTTATCACAAAGTTGCCTAAGGTATACTAATGTATATACTTACACATATAATTATTTAATTATGTATTATATAAAAAATCGCGAAAGGTTCCTTAAACTCAATGATAACTAGCTTATACTCATGAATAGGAGTAATTTATAAAGAAATATATACGCTACTCCTGATTCAGTTATATACGTATTATGAATAAATGAAAGAATAAAAACACTTTATTGTTTCCCTCAAAGAATAATACAGGTTTTAAAGATTAACAATATGTACACAAACAAAATGAATGTTTTGTTTTTTTTTTCTATAGTAACTTTTGTTACTATTATACATAACTCTAAACGGTACAAATATTGTAATTAAGTTAAAAATAGCCTTTGGAAATAATATTAATCATTTAATTCGCGGGAACAATGAGTAAGACGAGTATTCAACATTCAAACCCAAAATATCAACAAAATAAACAAAAACAAATATATCCCTTCCGAATAGAGATATACATAAATAAAACCCCTAACCTGTTATAAGTGTTCGTAACTGTTATTAACAAATATACAACAGCATTTAAAGAAATAGACAAATGAATGTATTTTTTATTCTATACACCGTAGGAGCTATATTATAAGATTAATGGTTACAATGTTATAGGGATATGACACAGTTGTAGGCGAGCGTGGAGCATCCTTATCAGGTGGACAGAAACAACGTGTCGCTATAGCGCGCGCTCTCATACGTAATCCACGCATACTGCTCCTCGATGAAGCAACCAGCGCACTTGATATTTCTTCTGAAGCAAAGGTTCAAAAAGCATTAGACAAGGTAAGCTGATTGATCGATACTAAATATGAAACTTTAAAGATATTCAGGAGTTTGCTGAATTACTCTTAAACATAACACCGTGGTATAAGACCAGGATGAGTGATGACCTCAAACTGCAGAGCGTCAGTGGATGCAGGTGTCTCAGGATCATTTCTTACAGCAGTCTATAAGGGAGGGCTCTGTTCAACAGTGGACAGATAACGACTGATATGATGATGCTGATAACACCGTAGTCCCTAGAAATGGCGATGCATGAGGGATACCATAGGTATCACAAAGTAATCTGTAATGTCCATACTGCCGTTCAAGTTATATGGAACCTTAGCTTTATTTACAATTCTGTGTCATAAAAAATTATATACATACACGTATAAATTATAAATACCTTAGCTAAAATGTATTGGATATTTTTGTGCATTACAGGTTTTTGTATTTTATGCACGAAAAATTATTAATTCACTCTTACGCCACCTGCCCATTTCTATCTGTTCTCCTTTAACCAAAGGTTGTCTGTGAGAGATTGCCCTAGCGATAAGACCGCCTTTTGTACCTTTATGTGTATATTTTAATCTGTATTTTTGTTACTGTATTTCACTTGAATTATTCACTTGTCATTGTATATTTTTATTTACGGTGCAATAAAGCGTTAAATAAATAAACTTAAGATAAAAATAGTTTTATTATATTACAAATATCAGTATGATCCTCGTCGATTGCAAAAGCATTAAAAATCCAGCAGTCCAAAGATTAATCCAACGTAGTTTCGTTGAATTTAAACTTAAAAATGAAGATAATAATTGAATATAAACAGAAATATTATTCAAACTTCATACAGTGGAGGACGATCTGCGACTTCTTCTACTAACTTAAAGATAATTTAACAATTACTAATGTAATTCACTTAATACGAATAAATAACCACTATAATTTTTGTTTTCATTATCTAAATACATCCAGGCACAAGAAAACCGCACGACTATTATAGTAGCTCATAGATTATCAACAATACGACATGCTGATATCATATACGTATTCAAAAACGGGGAAATCGTTGAATCGGGAAGCCATGATGACTTGATGAAAAAGAAAGGACAATACTACGATATGGTGATGATACAAATATCTAACACAGGTCTTGAAGCTTATGGTAATAATATTACATTTAATACGTAAATAATTTGATACCGAGTCTAACTAGTACTACAGTACATAATGTAAATTTTACAGATAAACCAAACATTACTCGTCAACAATCAGAAGCAGACGATACCGATGACGAAGACGATATCAAGAATGCCCAAATTATAGTAAGTATTAATTTTTATTATATCCTTATTTGTTGTCTTAGCAAAATATACCTATATACGAGTACAAACTTCTTGCAAAAATATATATAAACTAATTTTTTATCCGCTACTTTGTACTTGTGAATTTCAGAAATAGGAAAACCAATGAGTAGACCACTTCTTGATAGAGTATTAAGATAAAACACACAAACTTCTTAGTTAGATCTTCCAGTACACAGCTGCCGGAATAAATATTGAGACAGATTCTTCCATGTACAGAAATGGTCTAGTTACAATTATATTAGATTATGTTATATTATGTACAAACTCCATTGCTAATAATTGAATTTTAATACATACCTAAATTAAGATCACTTTGTGCATAAAAAGCAAACATTTGCTTTTTAATCCTGTTTAAAACAATTTCAAATCAATCAATGAATTCAAATGTAGAATTTCGTAAGAAGCTGTTTTGTTTGTCTATGTGTTTTATTATACAAAATAAAAAAAAATATATGTAGACATATCTAAAAATATTAAGGAAGCGGTAGGTTTTTTTAATACATGAAAATGGGAGATAACTTCACCTGCGATATTAGTTTATCCTAATGAAGCACCAATGAGCGACGATAGATGAGACTGGAGTTAGATAGATTTGCCCATCAATAGGGTTTCTAGTTTCCATTATCCCTTCCCCAGAGCAATAATCAAGCGATACGTAGGTATATAAGGCGAACTTAGAACTTTTATTCATGGAAAGAATTTTTCTCTTTGTTAGTCAACGCAGAAACTTATAAAGTATCGAAAAAAGTTTTAATGGAGAGAGCCTTTAATTAAAAATCAATAGGTACCTAACTGTTAATACTCGGGTTTTTTTTCATAGATATATAAAATAAAATTATACTCATTTAATTAACATTAAATCATTCATTTAATATTAAATTGTTTACAGGAAGATACGGAACCAGAAGAAATTGAACAGGATACATCTTTTTGGGAGATAGTACGACTGAACGGTCCAGAATGGAAGTCTGTGACTTTAGCTAGTATCTCTTCATTATTTAGTGGTTTCGCTATGCCAATGTTTGGAGTGATAATCGGCGACTACATAGGGGTAAAAATTATAATTTAATAACTATCTGCTGTACTGATTTTGTTAAAATTAAATAAAGTTGAGTACATATTTATTAGGCAATTACCATTCTAAGATTACATTTACTTCTACAAAGAAGTAAATATAATATGAAATTCTACTGAATAATTTATTAAATAATAAATATCTAATTCGATGTTTATTTTGTAATCAATCTGTTTTGATATTCGTTTCAAATAAATTTAACTAAGATTTTCTTAAAACTTAACTATCTTTTACAAGATCTTAACTTAAATTCTCTTCCACGCATAATCCATTGCATTTATCACTTTCAGGTATTTTCTAACACCGATAAAGATGAGATGCTGTATGAAGTGCGTAGACTTGTATTCACGTTTATCATCATAGGACTACTTTCTGGAATCGCCAATTTTATCACGGTAATACATATATATTTGTTTATTTACACTATTTATATTTAATTATATTTTACGTAGTACGTTATACTAAGTCTATGATATATATAGTATTAGCATTCTCTACTTGACAATATTAGGAACAATGCAAGAATACCTAATCAATTATCTATCACTATTTGGAAACCCTCATTGAAAAGTCAACTTTGTAATGACCGTAACGCTGTACATGCCCAAATTTCGCGGAGTATATTGGAATCTAACGTGGTCAACCGCCATCTTGAAGATTAGTTTTGTTAACAGTATTTTCTTTTACACAGCTTTTTATTATCCTAGACTCGAACTTATGGCCTTCTGTCAGTAGTACTGTTTTAGAACAACGTCATAATACATATGTTTTAATTTCCATATAAAATTTTAAAAATCTTTTCAAGATACACTTCTACGGAGTTGCTGGAGAGTATTTGACAGAAAGGCTACGGAAACGAATGTTCGGAACCCTTTTGCAGCAAGATGTAGCCTATTACGATGACAAAAACAATTCCACCGGTGCACTTTGCGCCCGGTTAGCTGGAGAAGCAGCTGCAGTGCAAGCAGTAAGTCCCATCTATCTTTATACAAGATCTCTCACGAGGTATACGCAGGCAATCGAGTGTCAAAATTAACTCTAATAACACAACTAGCATACCAGATTTTTCCATGAATCACAATAATTTGTTTCATGTATACTTAAGCCGGTTTAGACATTTGACGGACAATTATATATACAATCTATCTGAAGATGATAAAGAAATCTAGAAATCCCTTCATCACTATATCCTTCCACTATAATTTTTTTAAAAAGGTTTTTAAAGGTTTTAAATTATACTAATACGCCCTGTAAGCCAAATCCCTATTAATCTCTGCTAATAATATTTTAACATCGTTATTTTACGATTCTTTCTTCCGTCATTCTTCCACGTGCCCAAACCAAGGTAACATACCAGGCATGCCAGAAATGAGAGCTGCCAATTCCATAGAAATATTAATGATAGTTACCATATTCTATTTTAATCTACTTATTTGCCACTCAATTCCATTAATATAAGTTTGCAAATAAATTTATCTTTATCTTTAAGTACTAATAAATAAATTTTGTAGTAATCTAACTCGCAAGAAGGGATCGTAAACTTGAAAGTAGATGTCAAATAACGCCTACTCGTCTTCTACTTACTTGATACAATACTCACTTTCATTTATTTTTTTCAGGCTACTGGACAACGCATAGGTACACTGCTGCAAGCAGCAGGCACGTTAGTACTCGCTCTAGTGATCTCATTTTATTATGAATATCGTGTAGGACTAGTTGCACTTGTTTTTGTGCCTTTAATAGCAGGTGTTTTCTATAAAGAACGTCAGATGGCAGGTGCTGAATCTACTGGTACAGCAAAGGCTATGGAAGCTAGCTCAAAGGTAAGGATTTTCCGATATTTAAAATAATATACTTAGGTACTGATACTGTTTTAGATTTTGCTCCACAAAAAAATTATGTACTTTAATTTCTCTTAAAGCAATATTAGTTTACTTCCAATTGAGATAAACCCTATCGATTGCAAAAGTAATTACCAAAATCGATTCAAAAGTAGTGAAGATAATAATAAATAGATAACTCTAGACACGCCTATATTTCGCAAAACGTAATTATTAGAACGAGATAGCAAGGAACCAAACTGCCATCAATCAGATTAATTTGGTTTGTCGGTATTTTCCGTCACCCTACATTGATAAATAATTTTTTAGTGTTAAGTTCTTAATACTTCGAGCTTTTTTTTTATAGAACTTAGAATGGCAAACAAACTGACGGCCTACCTGATGGAAAGTGGTAATCGTCGCCTATAGACTTTTAAAATCTATCAGTTACATTTGTAATAAGTAATGTATTTATGTGTATATCTTATTCTCTTTTAGTTGGCTCTAGACGCAATATCAAACGTGCGTACGGTAGCATCTCTTGGGAAGGAGAGAATGTTTTTGAATTGTTACTCTATACTACTTCTACCTGGCCTACAAATTGCTAAACGAGCATCACATTGGCGTGGTCTAGTGTTTGGTCTCTCCCGAGGTCTCATGAATTTCACCAATGCCATAGCTTTATATTATGGTGGAACGCTAATCGTAAATGAGCACATAGATTATGCAATCGTAATGAAGTAAGTATTTAACTACAAATACTTATGATTTTTTCTATTGTTGCTACTGAAAATTACTGCTTTAATTTCTGCTTATTTGGTGTGAAAATAAATAGATGGTTACATATTAATCAATCAATCATAGCCCATAGTGTCCCATTGCTGAATAAAGATCTCCCACAACTGCTTCCCTCTTGCACAATTGCTGACCAAGCTATACTAGTTTTTGTGAAACCGGCCGAGATCGTCTCTATCGCATACCTATCAGGTCTTCCGCGACTTTTTTTTTTTTTATCAGCAAACCAACATGTACCTATTTTGGCCCACTTATCGCTTCACATACGATGTTCTACCCAATCCCACTTTATAGTTGCCGCTTTTTGTGTTGCACCAGCAATTTTTGTACCAGAACGCAATACTTGTCGAATAGTTTTATATCAAATATACTACGCTTCAACCATCATCATCATCATCATATCAGCCGTGAACTGTTCACTGCTGAACATAGGCCATATGTGAGATTTTACTAATAATTGCCACGCTTGGTAGGCGAGTAGGCAATCGCAGTTAGGCTTTTGATGATATCTTAAAAGGTACGCTGCTGCCCATCCCTAGATCATTAAGTAGCCTTAGATGCCTCTTACAACACCCACGGGAAACAAAAGGATGGCATATTCTATACCGAACTACATGGGACTATAATGCTCTTTGGCAAACCTTATTTTTTAATTAAGTATACTATTTTTTTTTTTTATTAATAATCAGGCACAAAATACAATTACAGAGCGGCACAAGCAATACTTATAAGCGCTAGTACTGCAGCACAGGCTTTTGCCTTTGCACCAAACTTCCATAAAGGAATAAAAGCAGCAGGACGTGTCGTAGTATTACTCAATCTTAAGTCAAAAATCACAGACCCAGCAGAACCTGTTAAAGAATTTGTAAGTTGTGAGAGTCTTATAATATACTGAATAAATTGTTTTTCAAAGAGAATTGCACTTACTAGATATTGGACTTAAACGATAACCCCCATGGTGAACAAAAAAAAAGTAAAGAAAAGTAACCTATACACAAGTATAGATTCTCTGATTCTAAAATTGTATATTTTCTATAAAGAATATATGTTCCTATAAATTCCGAAGTAACTTTTAATAAAATTTAGACTGTTATAAAGAAATACTTATTGTTACCTAAACGATTAGGTACACACTAAACGATTAGGTATTTAAATGACAAACGCGTATTGTGATATTCTATCATGCACGGGATTTTTACCATATAAATCTAGACAATACATTCATATAAATACACAAAGTTAACAGAGATTTAAAAGTGTAACCGCTGAGTTTCTTGCAGGTTCTTAGCAGACAACAATATTACGAACCCTGCAGTAAATTAATAAAAAAAAAATTGGGATTTAAAAGAGCTTGTAAACAAATCTATTTAAATAATTTGAAATAGTATTATTTACTAAATGTCATATTTCCTTCTGTTCATTTTCCAAAACGTTTGAGTGTTTGTTATTAAATCACACTTAAACGGCGAGACGGATTTAAATGAAACCTTGGCATAGAGGGATTAAAAGAATAAAGCTATAGGTTACAGATAGCAATAAAAACATTTGGAAATTCTCATATTACCTAGCACAACTAGGAAATTATATCTTGCATAGACAATAGCTCTTTAGCTAACGTTCCTCTTTAGAAAAAATTCCTATCTACTTTAACATTATAGACTTTGTAACATATGATATTATTATATATTTTGAAAGTATATCAATCTTGTGTCCAATATCTGTACAGTAAACTAACCGTTATAAAACTAAAATTTTGAATTAGTGACAAAATGACCGAATAATATTTCTAAAATACCCATAAATTTCCAGGAAGAGAATGGCACGGCACAATTAAAGAACATACATTTTAAATATCCATCTAGACCTGACGTAAAAGTATTAAATAATTTGGATCTCGATATTAATAAGGGTAAAACTATAGCGTTGGTCGGTGCTAGTGGATGTGGCAAAAGCACAATTATACAACTACTAGAACGATTCTACGATCCAGATATGGGAGTTGTTGTAAGTGTATACACAAACAAAATATCTTTAGTTTATAAAATGATCTATATATGCATCAGTATGCAGTGTTTAATGGATAATAATGGAATGGTAACCCCACCTGCACTAACGGTATACGTTGGAGAGCACAACTAGAATTCAAAACGATAGTTTCCAGGAGGGACCACGTGGAGGTCGACCTGACAGAGTAGGTACATTACTAATAATGGGAATGATAGTTTGCATTACTAACAATCCTTTCCTCCCCCAGCATGCAGTGTAGGTACAGTTACAGTCAATTTAAATTTCTGATTAAATCTTCAATGACAATAAACACTAAAAACAACAAAACAATCAGACAAACTGATCGCGCTAGCACATTGGAGTAGAACGGTTAGTATTGAACGGTCGGCAAAAGTGAACAATGTCAACCATCCATAAGATTTTTAAAAGGCACAACCATCAAAACAAAGTTATTCAGTTTCACAATATGAAAATATTTTCTGAACCATAATTTCAAACTTTCGCTCTCGTGATCTATTCACAAGTGGTTCAAATTCACAAGTCATGTAAAAAAAAATATGTATACTTAGACAACATGATAATTAATTTTTCAGATACAAAATGGCATACCTATTCAAAAATTAACCCTAGCAGATGCGAGAAAAACGATAGGCTTCGTCCAACAAGAACCGATATTGTTTGACCGAACCATCGGGGAAAACATTGCGTACGGGGACAATTCGCGACAACCAAGTATGGATGAAATCATAGAAGCTGCCAAACAAGCAAATATACACAACTTCATTATATCATTGCCTTCAGTGAGTACCTATTAAATTTTATGCAGTTTACTGAAATTTAACATACTGAAAACACAGTAATTATTTTTAGGGTTACGACACAAATGTAGGATCAAAAGGCACGCAGTTATCCGGTGGTCAAAAGCAGCGTGTAGCTATAGCGAGAGCATTGATAAGGCACCCAAAGATTCTAATACTTGACGAGGCTACCAGCGCTCTTGACACAGAGAGTGAAAAGGTAATTAATATTGATCTAACTTGATCAATATTGATTAATCATACTATCAGTATGATCAAGATCAATTGTATTTTTAAATCATTAATTGTATTCTACAACGAAGTACAATAATAAGTATTATAGTTCCCGATTTATACCTGTGCATGAAATGTGTCACTGAAATAGTCTCTTTTTACACCACTGAGGTAGTAAACAAGCACACGGCCTACCTCATGGTAAGTAGTTACCGTAGTCTATGAACGCCTGCAATACCTACTAGTCTAATACTATTCCATATGCTATGCAATACTATTCCATGAATTGAATAAAACATCCTATTAGTGATAAATCGCCGTTACATCTCTATATCATCAATGAGTACTATAAAACTAATTTATTACAAATGAACAAAAAATCCATTCTCAATGTAGGTGGTGCAGGATGCGCTATCGGCGGCGAGCGCGGGCCGCACATGCGTGACGATCGCGCACCGGCTGAGCACCGTGCGCGACGCGCACCGCATCTGCGTACTCAGCGACGGACGCGTACTAGAAGCCGGCACGCACGACCACCTCATGCGGCTCAAGGGGATCTACTACGAACTAAACAACGCAGCTTAACAAAAAATATTTTAAGTTTATTAAATGTAATGAAATTTAAAAATACAAATATTGAGTAAATACCTACTACTTAATGTAAATTTATACAAAATATTTGATAGGTATCTACATAGGATATCAAAGTGAACTTGTTTTTAAAGAGATGATGCAATTTTGTTGACAGTTTAAAAATGGTTCATATTAACCAGAAACAAATGTATAATAACAATGATACATAAATATACTAAATACATCAAGGTAAATCAGATGTAGTGAACATCAAAACAAATTAGAGAGATAAGTAATGAAATTTTACCTGCCTCTTGAACTAGGCAAGAGATTGTGCTGATCTAATGGCTTTCCATTAGATCAGCAGAATGTCTTGCCCCATTAGGAAGTAAGGAGTTCCAGAGACAGATAGCCCATGAATAGATGGTATACACCACTTTATAAATAACTGATAACAGTAAATGGTCTCATTTTTCGTTTTTATTATGAAAATATGTAATAAAAAACAATTTACATAATATAAGTTAACTTGCAGTATCAGAGTAGTATAACTATTATTATTAATACATTATACTATAAGCTACTTTTATAATTAGTACTTTGCCTTGAATATTTGTACCTACATGAATTTGTAATCTTCTATTTCTAGTCCTTAAATAAAATAACAGATAATTTACACAGTAATTATTAGCTGTTCTAAAAACTATTTACATTAATTATATTATCATTTTTATAATTCTAAATGAATGTAATAAAAATCAATAATATCTTAAACACCAACTGATATTTCAATCAGAACTGAATGAAGAGTAAATAAAATTTTCATGACTGCAAGACAATTAAGTTGTATATTTTTTCTCATGCTCTAGTAACCATTCCTTTCTATCAATACCACTACTAAAGCCTCCTTTAGAGTTCGAGGCCACTACTCTATGGCAGGGTACCACCAATAAATGGGTATTTGCTCCACAAGCACCACCCACTGCTCTGGAATGGTTCCCTGATCGTCCTAACGACTTGGCAATGTCACCATATGTTTGGTATGTGCCATACGGCACCTGTTGAAGTTGGTCCCAAACTTGCTGAAACAAAATTTAAAACAATTACATATATATATTTCACATTAAAAAATAAACCACACTATAAATAGAAAGAGGACAGTCTAAAGGAGACAAAAATTTATTAGAAATATAATATTTTTCTACTTCTCAAATCAATGTTTTATTAATGCCTGCTAATATATGATAATTATAAGTATTTACTTATAAAACTAATATTTTAATATGAATAATTACCTTCATATATAAAGATTATATTAATTTATAGTTCCTTTCATATTTAAGCAATAGTTACTGCCTACTTAACAGATGACTTATTATATTAAAAAGAAATTTATAGATGATCATTATACTTCTAGATCTCTATCAGAGATAAGTCCACCGCAAGGGTGGACACAACATTTCATCACATTTATAAATGTATTATATTACGTGTAATTTACAAGTGCAATAAAGAATATATATTATACCTTTTGAAAATCAGAACCAATTGCTTTTATCTGTACAGAAAAAATCTTCAGATTCCCTTTAAAATATTCAGATAGTTCATGCTTTAATTTTTTTAGGACTTTATTTGTTCCCTCCAAAAAATTACAAGGCAGTTCCTTGGACAGTGCACGAAGTTTTTTGTCGATTTTTTTTGAATCTTCAAAAGTTACTAAATACAAAAATTCGTCATCTGCTGCAGCTACAATTTTTCCCACTGGGGAGTCGATGGTGGTAATAATAAGTGTTATAATGCTGTTATTAGAATACTTTGAAATTAATTTTGAAAGAGACATTTTTGTTGAATAAAAAAATTAAATCTAGTATATCAAAGAACGAAAAAGCAAATAATTCACACTAAAACTCCAAAATATATGTGTCAAAACAATACATAACATAACGTACTTATTCTACTAATCTATAAAATCAGAAAAATATAAAGTGAGTAAATATGCTTAATCATAAAAATAAATATCGATTGAATTCAAAAAAAGTAAAAGGACAAAAACAAAAATTAAAATTCTTTTTGAATTTTTGAAATTTTTTTTTCTTACGGCTTAACAACTGGTATATTTGTACTTATATCGTAAACGAGGTGAATAGCATACTTTTCGATCTTTGACTTAAGTAAATTATTATTTTTGAATTAACTCGAGGTACAAAATGTATTCGTTATACAGTTTAAGACCTATAAAATGTTTCAAATAAAAAATAGGCGGTTTATTTCTTTATTTAAAAGAAAAATATGACAATGTCAGTTGTTTCTATTCACCCTGGACATAGGATTAAAAAGAACGACAATCAACGCCATTTGTAATTTAGTGACAAAAGTCGAATTAATTCAGTGCAGCAATTTTTGTTTCTAAATCTCTCAATAGAGGCGATATCATCGTTTTCTTATTATTTTTAAATAAAATAAGTGTATAACGAAAACTTTATGAATTTACTATACTTGTCATTTCTAACAATTGTTTCGACTTCATCTGGATGTCTTCTTCAGGGAGAGGTTTTTTTTAATATGTAAAGATAAAAATGGTAACATCACCTGCGCTATCAATATTTAAATGCAGACGGAGCACCAGTAAGAGATGATAGGTGAAGATCAATGCAAGTCAGTTGACCCATCATCGCGAAGAATTCATCAACAATTTACCACAATGGTTTCCTGGGGAAACCTCGTGGAGGTGAACCTATTATATATGTGTATATATATATATACATATATATATATATATATATATATATATATATATATATATATATATATATATATATATATATATATATATATATATATAACAATGTATTTTAACGTCCATGTCTATAGACGGTAATTGCCATTTTTCAACAGATGGGCTATCAACCAAAAGAAAACATACGTTCAGTAATGGATAATGAATGAAGATGATGAAGTTATCATAATCCTTGAAGTATTGAAATAACAACATTTTATCATCTTAGAATTTATTTTATTTCTTGAAAATATAAAAAAATAAATTATATATAATGTAAAATAAGTAGGTTATAAATAACTAGATACTATTTTAACTTTCAAGATAAAAGTTATTTTTATACTGTTTACAAAAAATGTATATTCTTACTTTACTTTTTAAAACAATTCGTATCAATTTAAAACAAAACTTCACATGAAAAGAAAAATATTAATTATTTTACTTTGACGACAGCTTTTCCAGTATTTTCACCTCTTAACATGCCTACTAATGCATCAACCATGTTATCAAATCCGTGGTATACTTTTTCTTGATATTTTAGTTTGCCTTCATTCAACAATTTCAGATTGAAATTAATTCCTTCGTGCCAACGGTTGAACCATCGATTAACTAAAAATCCTTCTACCTTAAGCTCTTTAAAAACAATTGCTGGTTGTAATATTGAAACTGAAAATAAAAAAAAAAAAATTAATATTAACTAAATACTATTGGATATGTAGTAAATCCTAATAATCCATTTATTGTCAAGCATGTAGTGTATTCAATAAATAATCACAATGTTTAAACACCAAATACTTTAAAACCTTTTATTATCCATTATTAAAACACATATATATTTTTTTAATCAAAACAAAACGTCATTTTTTCAGAGTTGCGAAAAATTAAATTTAAAATAAATCAGGCGAAATTGATTTTTTAAATTTGATCTCAGAACTAATTTTTCTGATATACATATATATATACTAGCGGCCCGTCCCGGCTTCGCACGAGTGGACATTTTTACAACATTTTACATTTTTACCTAGCTACCTACTTCATAGATGTGCCCGCCCCCACCTGCCCCTCTTCCGCACCGCTACAATAGATACGAATAACATGTACACATGCGACAGCGTTATTTTTTCTATTTCTATGAATTATTAAATTCGTAATATATATATATATATATATATATATATATATATATGTGGTTATAAATAAATATATGTACATGTATCAATTTAAAATAATTATAAACGAATACGTATTATAAGTATATATTTGCATATAAATCAAAAGATAAGCATCATTACTTATCAATATGCACTGTTTACTTTGTTCTTTCAAATATATACGTAAACATTTTGTATAGATTTTATTTTTCAATTTAATCTTACAATATAACTAAGTCTAACTGCGGTTGCTAACTTGCTTATCAAACATAGTGATGTTTGATAAGCGAGTTAGCAATCGCAGTTAGACTTTAGTGTCGTTTCAAGAGACGCTACTGCTCAACTATTAAGTTCCTTAGTCGCCTATTATGATACCCACGAAAAAAAATTAGTGGCCTCATCTATGCCGGGACCACATGCTAATTTATAACATATACTGAATAGTAAATGTAATATTATAGAAATCGTATTCACACACACATGAATAAAAATTGACCTTTTTTAATGAAAGATTTGTGTGGAGACTATCCTACATACCAACCTTTCCCAAAGTGGACGATAACGCCCCCTTGTGGGCGCTGCCGTCCTAAAGGGGGGCGGTAAAAGACCCAGAAAAAAAATGGGAGCATTGTGTAGAGTCTTGGAGGGCGATTTGTTGATCTTGAAATAATAGTGGTTTTTAAGTAGGTGAAAAAATGGGGACGCTATAAAATAATTTATTCTCAAAGTGGGCAGTAGACAAAATAAATTTGGGAACCCTGCATATATCATAAGATACCATAATATCAGTCATGTAAATATTCTAGGTAATGAGATTTATCATGAAGTGTTAATACCTTTTGGTAATTTTTCATCATTATAAGATGATATAGAGCCACAGACTGCAACACGACCGTTTTTATTCATATGATTCATTATCGTGGAACTAATTTCGCCACCCACCTGTAAAATTATATGAAAAAAAAAATCGCAATGAAATCAATCAAATACCTAACTAAAAATAATATATTTAAAGTTATATTTTAGCAACAATTGTACTGACTTCTAATTATCATTTTAAATTAAATAAAAATTAATTTATGTTAGGAATAAAGTATGTATTAATTTGTATTACCTTGGTATTTCGTTATTTTAAATAAACATGTTAATTCATGTACACTTAAAATATTATTTAAATTTAATAAATTTACATGTTACCACCTACATTATCGAAATAGCAATCTATACGTTGTGGTGCGCCTTCTTTTAAAGCTTGTCTAATATTAGCAGTCTTGTAATTAAATGCATGATCGAAACCCAATTCTTTTTTTAAATATTCACATTTATCGTCGCTACCTGCGAAGCCAATGACTTTGCAACCTGAAAAACAAACAGTAGATAAATATTTAATAAAGATAAGTATCTCATAAATAATTATTATATCTGTACACTACAATCGCGTGACTATTTCCTTTATCTCCATTTCATCCTTGACAATCGTATCTTATGATAATCATAATCCCTTTACAATCGTTTATCGTCGGGGGAAAAGGGATTGTTAGTAATGGAGACTGAGAATCCCATTGCTAGCAATATACCCAACCAGGTCGACCTCCTTGCGGTTCCCCCTGGAAACTATCATGGTTAATTCCTTATGGATTCATCATGATGGGCTAACTGGCCTGTTTTCATTCTCATCTATCACCCTTCACTGGTGCTCCGCCAGCGTATCCCGTTAGCGCAGGCGGAGTTACTATACCATTTTCACCCATCAAAAAAAAAATCGTTTACCGTCGAATCTTTATACAGGTGCAAATTAACACTTTCCATCAGGTGAGCCCTCAACTTGCTCGTCAGTTTATTTTTCAATAAATAAAAACCTATTTTGATTCTCTCAATTTTTTTTATTTTACTCTATACGCTATATTCACACTAAATTCTGAGTAAATTGCGAAATAGTTATTTAATACCTACGTTAGGCTTAAATAATTATATTTCTTCTTAAAAGTAGATTATTAGAAATTCAAACTAACCGAGTATTTTACCAATTTGTCCAACATGAGAACCAACAGCACCAGCTGCTCCTGTAATTGCAATTGTTTCCCCAGGTTCTGGCTTACATATCTCTTTGAGACCAAAATACGCAGTATTCCTAAGAATAAGGTATTGTATTAAGTTAGGTTTTAAAGCAATTAATTATAATTCATATAAAAATAAGTTTTGAAAAACGATAACCTCGTAATAGCCAGGTCAAAATGACTATCGTAAAATTAATCTATCAACTAGAAGGTTGAAATCTTAAGAATTACTTGAACTATGGGGTAAAATACTAAAGGATATTTTTTTTTAATGTGTGATAATGGAATGGTAACCCCGCCTGCGCTATCGGTATACGCTGGCGAGGCACCAATAAGGGATGATAGATCACGAAGAAAAAGCAGGTCAGTTACCCAATCGTGACGAATTCCACTAGAATATATCACGATAGGTTCCAAGGGGAACCGAGTGGAGGTCGACCTGATAGGGTGTATTGCTAGTTATAGAGAAATCAGACCCCATTACTAACAATCCCTTTCCCCCTAATTAAAGGATATTTGACTAAAAAAAATAATTTCCCTTAGTTTATATTAAAAGGGGATTGGTAACACTATTCACATAAATAGTTTTGATATGGGGTTTAAGAAATACTAAGTTCAATTTATAAATAGCATTAGTGTAATAAGTGTTATGAAAAATATATAATTCTGTAATAAACAAACTAAATAATTTATGGATATTACAATAAATACGGCATAGAAATTATAGAATAATAACACTTTAGTAATTTTTTTATAGGTGATAATAGAATGGTAATCCTGCCTGCGCTATCGGTATATACTGGCGGAGCACCAGTGCGTGATGATAGGTGAGGACGAAACAGGTCAGTTAGTCCATCGTGAAGAATTCAACAAAAATTAGCTACGATGGTTTCCATGGGAAACCACGTGGTCCAGGAGGTCGACCTGATAGGGTATATTGCTCGCAATGGGGCTATCAAACCCCAGTACTGACAATTTTTTTCCTCCCACCTTAGTCATTAGAAATAGCAAAGCATGAGAGATACAGTGTCTCTATACAACTGAAAACAGAGGGCCTACCATGAAATAGTTTCCGAAATTTCGGGGACGAATTCTCGGGGAAATTTTTTAATTATATTAAAAACAGAAGTTTAAAACTATTATAATGAACGAAATGTTAAGCTCTATTTACTGGGCCGATTTCGGAACGAAAAAATCACGAAATTGAGCTCGTAAATTCGAATTTCATTTTATGGTAGACCCCAGTTTAACTTTTTTATTGGTGTGCGTGAATAGGGTTACCATAATATACATTATAACCTAAGAACAAGGAATTGCATAAAAGAAATGATAAAATAAAAACTGTAAATCACATGGTTGCCTCCTTTCTTCTTATGCAAATATAATTAGTAAAAAGAGGAGGAAAGATACACCATCTGTTGTCATTTTTCTCAATATATAGCAGGCTAGTATATGAAAATGTTTGATATGTCAATTATTTGTCAATGACAAATTTTACATTACTAGATTATATATTTGACATAGTTTATGTAGAAAGGATGCAAGCAGGTTGTATCTGAATTTAGTAGTGTTTTACGACCGTATAACATTTTTTATACACTAGACTTCTATGTAATTTCTTGTTCTTAAATTATAATTAAGCATATAGGGAAAATTACATTGCAAGATTAAATTAAAACAAAAAAAAAAATACAAAATTCTTCTATAATGATTTGTACGACGCTTATTTTTACTAAATACTTTGATTTATATCTAAGTACAGACGTAAAATTGGTTTTCGATTTTAAATATTTGAAAATGGCTGTATTTTAATTAATACATGTATATTTATTTGCAAGCTATACGTTATGCTTATATTACGTCAGAAAATTAGTTTCTAATTTTAATTTAAAAAATTTACCACATCTAGGAAATGTTTAATCTAATTACTTGCAACACTGAAATAAGCGCATATATTTTGATTTTAAAATATATGTGTTAAGATTTATTGAGTCAAACGTCTAATTAACTGAATAAAAGTTGTCTATTTTTAACATTCAATGTTTTATCTATATAAGCAAGCATGATCGATATATTTTGTGGTATCAATTATGTTGTTTTTATTTTATAGGCAACGAATGGTTATCATTTATCACATCAGGTGGGCGGTCAGTTAATTTATCAGTCCAAAACGCGTAGAAAAAAAATAGTTCATTATAATAATAGTAAATAACAATTTTGTTAGTATAGGTATAAAAATATAAACATACCCAGGCATTCCCAATATGCCCAAGCCCAAAGAAAGAGGATGTGGTTCAATATTAGGTAACAAAATTGTCGGTAGAAATCCAAGTGAAGGCGGTACTTTAGGACTACACACAGTATGCGTACGCCATCCAAAAGCTCCCACTACATATTTACCTACAGGAAAATCTTTATTGCGACTTGCTATAATTCTGAAAAAAACATTAAATTAATAGTATTGGATCACTATATAAATATTTTTTAACTTACATATAATTTCTTTAACGTACTTTGCAACTTGTCCTCCAATCATGTCGGTAGGCAATTTATAACCAATCATATAGGCGCGCATGTAAGGATCAACACTAAGATATTCTGCTTCTGTTAATATTTCTAAAAAAAAAACAATAAAAATAAAATAAAAATGGGTAGAAATTAAAATTTCTGAATTGTATTTATATAAATACATTTTTATAAATAAACAATTTCTTTGTTATTAAAAATTATTGTGTAGAATAATTTGCTCATACTTTGGTACGGTTTTTTTTTTCTCTTTTAAGTTGCATTAATCGTCCTCAAATAAGTACTCAATAATAGATACTTACCGCCTTCTTTTAATTCTGGAATTTGTTCTTCGACAATTTTAAAGTCACTTGCCTTTGGTTCACCTCTAAAATATTTAGTTAAAACATATTTTCGACCCAATAATTTCCCGCTTGTTCCAGAATATAAGCGTTTTCCCATAAGATATGGATTAAATAACTTAGCCATGGCTCAAAATATGAAGAATGAATATTTTTGTACGTCTTTTTGTGTATGACCTGAATAAAAAAATAACATTAATGTAGTTAGTTACTAGACTCATTCACCATTAGGGTGACCATATACTTGTAACCTCAAAACTAACAATAACAAATTTGTAGCCGATGTAACTTTAATCAAGATAATTGCATTATTATAAAAAATAATAGTTTTAGTAATAGCTAACTGTACAAATTTATAAATGTATGTCAATAATATTCATTTAAAATATGCGAATTTTCTATTCATTTGATGTCGCTAGTGTTTGTGTAATATATTTTTTAAACGAGTTCTCTTAGTCTCTTAGTTATTTGTGACATAGTATACGTACTTGTTTGTGATCATTACATTAATATCATAGATAAAGAATTCATTAGTTATATTATAATTATTTAACTTATCTGTGAAATTTAAATTTTTTGTCTGTACTAAAACAAAATATAAAATGGCTATCGTTTTGTTTGGATTTCTATTTATTGGATTTTGTAACAAGTAAATATAGATTGTTTTACTAATGTATGCATAATAAACAATATCGAGACTACAATATGTCTACAGAATATGGTGCCGAAATTTCTCTATTATTACAAAGTGTAGAAATACTGAACTGATAACATTTGTAACATTATGACTACCACTCAAGAGTTCAACTGTATATTTTGTAAAGAAACTTTTCAGAGTAAAGAAGATTTACAAATACATTTCAGGTATGAGGAATTACCTAAGTAACTTAGTTCTTTTATTCTGCAAATATATATTTTACTTTTCATATTAAAGTGTCATATATTTTACTAGAAAACATGGGGATCCGAAATTCAAACAGAATGTCAAAAATAAAGTACGGCATGAAAACAAAACAGAGACTAATGAGAAGTCGAATGAAGATGCTGAAATGGTTAGCTGCGACGTGTGTTCCGAAGCGTTTCCAACAATTTCAAAAGCGATAACTCACAAGCACAAGGTGCACCCAGATCACGATGCAAAATATTTTTGTCCGTGGTGCGGGAAACTATTCACTATGAAGGTAAAATGTCATTTGTTTCAAGTGATTAGTTTGCCGATAAAATGTGACCTATGTACTCTCCCCACCACATAAACCTATCTGTTATCACATAATGTAGATTTAATATGCATTTCCTTATGAGATTATGTAATGTATAATATCTTATCATTATCCATAAATAAATGGATATTTTTAGCTTAGTTATCAGAATTTACAAATATAAAATCAAAATGTTTAACTGAATGCTATTTAAATATAACCTCTTAAAATTTTTCAGCATTTATACAACAAACATTTGAAAGTAAATCATGAAAATGCAGAAGTATGTTCAAACAGTGATTTCCATTGTGATCCATGTGGTGTGACATTCTACATACCTTCTGCAATGTTGTACCACAACAAGTTCTTCCATCGACAAGATACAGAAATACCTTCCTTTGGACAGTCAAAAAAATTAAAGATGTTTAATCAGGTATATCCAAACTAAATAAAGTGATCATTCTTACTAATATTATAAAGATGAATGTGAATTTTTATTATCAAATTTGATATACACATACTATATGGGGTGGAGAAGGATAAAGTCTTTTATCCCAGTCCGTAAACAATTCCCATTTCTTTTTTCTGATCAATCTTTTCCCAACTATGAGCATATATGTTGACACATTTCATTTGACTTGCCAATAAAAATCTTTCTCCATAAAATCTTTCACTGGCTAGGTTGTTGAAGTCTGGTGTTTTGCAACTCTTTGAGCGTGTCATGTAAATTAGACTCTTATTTCCTCACAAAGCCTTTTTCAAGCATATCATACTGTCCACTAACAATAATTACACTGCAAGTTTATTTGGATGATTATCCAGCTCAGTTTTATGCTTTTTACAGATGTTTGTAAATTCTTCCTTAACATAATTAAAAATTTATTTGGAGAATTGAGGAATCTAAATTATGAATAAACCAAGGTTCATTGCATACTTGCTTTTTTAGGATATAGTTCTGGAATCTTTAAATTTTATTTAGGTTAGAAGCACTTGCAGAACTCCACAGTTAGAACCCAAAGGACCATATTGATTTAAAGATTGTTATATATGAGTAGCTTATTGACAGTTGATAATTTTTAATTTTTGCCATTAGGCATTGCATTTCTCAATATAATACATCTGGAATTGATGGTTTCTAGGAGAGATCTGACAGAGTATATTGCTAGCAATAGGACTGATAGTCTGCATACTAACAATACAAAAGTCTCTAATTAGGGCAGACTAAATTTAGTCCAATTCATCATACTAAAACACAAACTTGCATGTTCAAAACTTTAGTTCATACTTCATCCGAAACCAGTTTCTGAAGGGCTTCCTCCTGTGAATGCTAAGGTTGTGGAATGATCTTCCTGCTGTGCATGTGTCATTCTTGGTGTTACAGGCCATATGCTTGTTTACCACCATAGTAGAAAATAGAAATCTGAAATCATATGATGACTCATGCATCTCCCTCCTTCATCATTCTGTTTATTTATCCACCTAAATTATTTAGAATTCTATATAAATTATTATAAACTAGCTAGCTAACTGTGACTTTGTGTGTTATTGAGATATTAATGATTGACTGAAATAAAAAGTATCCTATGTATCCTTGCCAAATACTTTCAATTTAAATACTTTTATTTATTGACCACAAATGTTATGCAATTAATAATTATGCTACACAGCAGTTGTTGGGTCAGTGTGTCCTTTCAACACAAAGGCCTCCTCCATAATTTTCCATCCTTTTAATTGTGAGCCATAATACACCTGTAACACTTTATCTCATTGAGTCATCTTTTGTAGTTAAGGCCTCTTTTCCTTTTAATTCTGTATTGAGAAATCCATTCTGTTACAATATTGGTCCATTTACAGCTACCTCTTAACATATGATCTTCCCATCTTCATATCAATCTTTTGACTTTAGTTGTGACCTTTTTTTGAGTGGTTGCACGTTTGACTGCCATATAGACCACTCTTTCATTTCCCGTGGATATTATAAGAAGTAACTAAGGGAACTTAACGGTTAAGGGATGGACAGCAGCATCCCTCTTGGAACATCTCCAATGCCTAACTGCGATTGCCAAACAAAAATCCCCCCAATAGAGGGAGGCCTATGTTCAACAGTGGACAATTAATAACTGATATGGTACCGAATGTGTATATAAAATTTTATTATCAGTAATTTAACTGTTACAGCAAAAGTGTAACAAAGACATATAATGTTAGTAAGGATAACATTAGTTATTAAGTTGCATTTCAAATTGAGTTCGAATTAGAAAGGTCTTGATTATAAAATTGAATTCTTTAGCTATTTTCTTGTATGTTCCCCATTGAATTCTCATACCTATATATGGCCCCCAATGTAATTTAAAAAAAAAATAATCCACTATGTATAGGGTCTATGAACTTTACACATATTTACAAAAATCAAAGTAGTATTAAACCAGAAGGAGACTTTGTACAAAAGTCGTTTGCTTGGATAGCTCTGTACATTCGTGTTTTAACTGTAGTTATGTTTGGATGGTTGTGTTTCGGTTTGAAAGGTGGGATATGGCGTGAATTTACAGGGTACAGAGGAATAACATCTGATTATTCAGAAATGGCAACACATGGGGGTATTATAGGCGAAATAGTATACTCTGTTATGTCCATGGTACTGCTCATATCGACGGTTACCACTTTCCATCAGGTGGGCCGTTAGCTTGTTTGCCATTCTAAGTTATATAAAAAAATATCTCTTTACTCATAAAGATACACTCTGATCTCACTCACCTTGTTATATGAAACTCTACATTTGCACTATTTCTAGACTTGGCAACCTCATATGTGTATTGATTAGCTATGTAGTTATTTCAGCAGCAGTATCTTCTTACGGGTTCTTTTTTTTAATAAAATGCAGTCCATGTTACTCACTGATAATGTAGCTTTCTACAGGTGGATTTTTTTTAAATGTAGTAGTTTTTGGATTTGTCAATTAAATGTTCCTTCTTTATAACATTAATTTTGAAGAAGATTTATAAATTTCGAGTATTATATTCTAAAAAAATAAAAAAATCCTCAAATCTTTATTTTCAGGAAGCAGTACAGATTTACTACTGTGCATTTTGTGGAGAAGAATATATTAATAAAGTTAATTTACATGTGAGTATCATCAGTTTGTATAAACATACTTAATCATAGGAGGTGTTAAGGACACAATACGGCGACTCCCAGGAACGCATGGAGCATTAGCATACCGCCAACCATATATTAATAAAAAGAGACATTAAATTAAAAATTAGTACTTTTTACTCAAAATTAGACTATCAGAAACTGTCACAATGTATACAAGAATACTCGGTGGCACACTCACCATCCCCAGAAACCTTTTTATAGGATATCTTAAAAAATGTTGCTCAAAAACATCATACAAGCTACCCTGCTGTAAGGATGGCATGTGGCATGAATAAATTCTCCAAGATTTGATGTTACACTGCTTTAAGTGGCCATATACCTTGTTGTTGTAAATATTATAATACGAGCAAGATAACAGTAAAATTATATATTATGTACGATATGTAATTTTAACCCATAAGTAACTATATACAATTTTGGCTTAGGCAAAATAACGGACTATCCTTATTTTCTTTTTCAATCCACATAAAACTGTTTATTTCATTTCAGAGCTTTCATAACTTTAGTTTGACAGTGTGGCATAGTCACAATTATGTCAATTTTCAAATACAATTTAATAATTTTCAGTGTTTCTGATTGATTATTTAAAAATTACTCTGTTAAGGAACTATAAAGTTAATTATACAATAATAATGTACTTATTATTTTTGATAATTGACAAAAAATATGTTGTCCATTCATAGTAAGTACATATATATTAGGCAGTAGATATTTTTAAACTAAGCTAAACCAAAATTATTAATTGAAACTTGTTTTTATTTCCGTTTTGTTTAAATATATTTTTCTTAGTTAATATATTTAAAAGAATCTAATATTCTTTAAATAAATATAAGGGTTTATCTTTTATACTTACAGAAGCATATGATTGATGACCATGGTGACGAAGATCCAAATCCTGAAGATATATTACGATGTCCTCTATGTGATGCAATATTCTACCATTTAGATGCTTATGAACTACACATAACTTACCATAGCATTGAGGATATGTACAGTGAAAAAAACGATATGTAAGAAAGCTTTCTTATCAAAATTTGTCAATAAATTTGATTAATGTAATTTATTTATTTATTAATATTCGTAATTTACAGGGCGGATGAAATAACTGAATTTTCTTTAGAAACTGTACCACCAGTAATGGAGAAAATTGAAAATGCTGCAGATGCTGAGAGCGCAATAAATGCACTAGGAATAGTAAGTGCTATAATATTTATTATTATTATATATATATATATATATATATATATATATATATATATATATATACTGTATATATTATTATTACGTATATGATCTTGCTGATATTCAAGAATAGTAATGAAACTGAAAAACTTTCCCCAAATAATCTGAGTAAGACAATATTTCTTCGACTTCTCATGAACAATCATATGTATTGGTGTATTTAAGATTATTTTTCAGGGGTGACCTGGCTCTTTAGACAAGTGGCAAGCGAATTCATCGATAGAATCGACATCGCTAGTAGTCCATGAGTTGGAATGAGATATCCGACGTAGCTATCTCATTCTATTTCACTGATCATCATCGTGAGACGTAGAAGAAATATTGCCTTACTTAGATTGTATTGATGAATTTGCTTGCCACTTGTCTGGAAGGCCAGGCCCCCTTAAAAAAACGTCGTGTAATATACTCTCAGACATATCTCTGCAGAATTTTGTTCAGATCCCTGGGTGGATGCCGCCACCCGGCCCCCTCCATTAAATACATGTATAACCATGTGATGTCAAAAATCATTGAAATTAGTCTTAACCAAAATGAAATCCTGTATTTTATCTCTTTGTGCTAAGGCAATTTTTAAGATTTCGAATATATTGAAAATTTTTCATTAGTGAGAAATTATTATGATAATTACGAAAATTATTAAACTTAATTTAAGATAGTATATAATAGTCTTCATTCTGTGTATTTCATTCTCGCCAGCCTAGATTATTACTTTTTCCCAAATGACTACATGCTTGTTGCATGCTCATAATAAATTAGAAATATATTTTTTCAGGAAAATTTTCTTCAACTAGCAATAGATCAACCTGTTGATGAAGAAAACTTAGAATTGTCTAAAGATGAAGACTATTCAAAAATTAAACCCAAGAAACATAAAAAACATAAGAAATCAAAAAAATCTGCCATAACCCTTGATGAATTTTTTAATATGAACAAAGATGTATTTGGGGACTGCATTGGTTTTCAAGGAGTTGAGGAAGTTCCATCGCGGGTAGTAGCAAAACGTCTAAAAGTTAAAAAGGAACCACAGGCATTACGTAGCGGAACTAAAGCCTCCTCATCTAAAGATTTGGAAAAACTAAAAAAACAAGGTATTATTGTAAAAATGAAGTCGGCAAAAAAGCCAGTTATAGGGACGAAAATAGTAAAAAACAAAACTAGAAAGTTATATGAAGGAGCAGCACCAATTCAAACCAATACAAATAAGGTAAGTATGTCTAACGAAGTTCTAACAAAATTAATAAATCAGAGCAACAATGAAATAAAAATAGTAAAAAAATCTGCAAAAAACAACATTTCCGAGCCACCAACTGATCAAGCTATTTTAATTAAACTACCGCAATCTGTTTCAAATGAGTCAAAAGATGAGCGACTATTATCAACTCCCGAAAAGTCGTTCTCCGAAAACATAGAAGTCGAATGTGATCTTATACCAAAAGACACACCATCTGAAACAGAAGAGGAAAAAAATTATAGGGGCCCTGATCATAACTCAGACCTCAAAATTAGTAAAGAAATTGATGATAATATAACACATGCCAATAATTTTTGTAAGACTGATAAAATATCTGAAGATATAATAACCCCACAGGCAGTAGTTGATAGTAATAATATAAAATGTGATTTAAAGCTCGAAAGTAATTTACTTAATCAAGAATTGCATAAAAATTGTGAAAGCCCTAAAGAAGATCGTAAAACTCCTACAAAACCAGAAAAATGCATTTCAAATCCTCTAAAAACGTTACTAAGTGTTAGTCAAGATATAACAATAAAACATGTGGGTCAATCAAATTATAATACCAATGAACAAACTCCTGCTTTCACCAAAATAAATGATAGTAATCCGTCAGAAGATATGACACATGATGCTATAAAAGAAAAAAATACTGAAATGAATATAGATGGCAATACCAAACAGAGTTCTTTGAAAGCACTGAAACATCTAAGTCATATTATTGTCAAACCGGTTTTACAAACAAATCTTATAGAACAAAAAGAAATAAATGAAAACAATGTTTCAAAAGAACCACATAATAACTTTGATTATAATGATAGTGACGAACATTCTGAAACAGAAACCACAGAAGTCAAAAACTCGATTAATAACAGCGAAAAAACTAAAGATGAAGTAATAAATCGTTTGGATGCTATGAAAATTTTAAATAAAAATATTACAATTAAATCTTTAGCACAATCACGAAAATCGTCTGAACAAGACTTACTCAGATACGATGAAGACGAAGAGAGCACAAATACAAGTCAAAGCACAAATAAAAGCCCTTCTATTATTGTGAACAAAAATGTAAAAGACATTTCACAAAATAAAAATTACACAACATCAAAAACTCAGAAACCAGAAGTATTGGCGAATTTGAAAGCTGCAAGTCCAATTAGCAGTCCTCAGTTAAAAATGAAAACATCTAATAACTCATCTAAAATAAAAACTGCACAATCGTTAACATTACCCGTGAAAGAAATTGGGACTTATTCAGAAGAAAATACAAATTTACGATCAAATGCAGTTCTTTTAAAAAACTTAACAAATATTACAGCAAAGTCAGTTAGCAGTAATGTTAAAAATGTGGATCAATTAAAAATGAATAAGACGACTATGAAACAACATGTAAATATTGCTAGAAATAATTCAACAGCTAATATTATTACAAAAGAACAAACAAATAAAGAAATAGAGATATTTAATATTGATGACTCTGATAGTGATGAAGAAAAACAAGATGAATATAAGAATCAAGCAACTTCTAAGACTTCACAAGGACAACTGAATTTACCGTACAATAAATCAATTGATGCATTAAAGAATTTAAGCAAACATATTACCATTAAATCACGTAATAAACACCAACAAGTAACACATAAAAAAGATGTCCCCCAACATGATTACATTGATAAAAGTGAAGACGTTTATGAGTCTGACGAAGAATACTTACAAAGCAAATCTGACGAAAAAATAAAAGTAGGTCAGCAAAATTCTAAAAATATTGTTCTCCAAAATACTTTAAAAAATTTAAGTAAACACCTTACAATAAAATCAGGGAATTCTTCTCCTTGTCCTTCAGTTAAATCTCAAGATCAAAATACTCAAGATACCAATGATAAAAATATGAATGATGACGAATATGATTCTGATTCATGTTCAAGCAGAGTTAAAATTACAGAATTAAATGATGAATGTGATGTGGCAGTGGACAATATTGACTCTAGAGACAATGATAACATGTTTATTCAATCCCCTGATGGAACATTTAGTGATCATGATAATAATGACAAAGAAGATGACCAATTTATAGATATTGAAAGTAAATTGGTAACAAATACACTAAAAAAAGTTCATCAAAACATAACGCCTCGTAATGAAAACTCAAATTTGGAAACATTAAAAAATATTAGTAAAAGTATCACAGTTAAAAGTTTAAATGAAAAGAAACCACAAAAACAAGAATCACCTGTTACTATAAAAGGAGCAACTGCTCTACCAAATAATCTTAATAAAGATTTATCCATAAAATCTAGGCCAAGTAACCAGGTTTCTCAAGACTGGAACGACGAATCAGCTAATGCATGTAATACAATTAAACGACCTATGAACCAATTAATAAATAAAAATATTTCTAATCACATTAGTGCAATAAATAAAGAAGTTACAGTGAAAACAGTTGAAAGTAAAACTATTATCCAAGAAATCACAACGACTGTAACAAAAACAATAAAAACTATAAATCAAACTGTACAGCAGGAAGTTCAAAGTACAACTCAGTCAACATCACAAAAAAATCAGAAGATGAAACCACATCAACAGTCTAGCAATAAATATCAAGGAATTGTTGTACGTCACGCATCGCCTATATGTGGAACAAAAATTAGAAGTGCGATGTCACCTGTCAGACCTGTTGTTGGTACTACTGTTAGACATTCTAATCTTAATAATCAGTTAGTTCCTGTGAGACCAAGGTCAAATGTAACGAGACCTGTTACTCCGAGAATGCCAACTGTTAATAAAAGTGTTAGTTCTACACCAGTGCAAAATCTCAACACTAAAGTACTCAATACTCCTTCAAGTACTATGAAAAGATCTGTAACACAAGAGTCAAGTGGACCTTTTAGTTGTTTTAAAAAGCCAAAAGAGTCACTTATTCCTGTATCAGATATTCCTACTTTTACTAGTGACCGAGACGGTGGATCTACAGTACACTATGCGTCGGCAACACATGTAAGCAAGACCAATGTAATGAATGTTACAAAAACTGTTAAGGGTAACACAACATTTACAGCACAAATGAAGTCCGAAGTCAGTTCCAACTCTCAACAGCTAAGCAAACTTAGTAATGTGTCTGGTTTAAAAATTGTGAAAACTAGTCAAATTAAAAGGGATTCTAATCTTGAACAAAATAATGACAATAGTGCCTCAAAACGGACTACTTTAGAAGCCATAGAAAAATTGCAAAAACATGGACTTTTAGTGAAAAAACCTCGTTTAGACAACCAGGATAATAATAGTGCACATTCAGATGAAGATGAAGAAAACTTTCCAAAGGAGGAAAACGAAGATGATGACTATTAGTTGTTAACATTATATTATACAATCTTTCTTTTTATATTATTATAATCATAATTTCTTATTTTACTTACCATACTTGCTCAGTGTTTTCCCAAAGGGAAATAATAAATTATTAAATAAAGAAATGACACTGAAACATAACTATAAACTTTGTTTTTTTTTTATTTTTCTTTACGAAGAAGTGTAATCGAAAACAAATTGTTCATCATTGAAATACGATAAAAATATATTAAATATAATTAATATAATTTCGTAATTAGAATTTGAAGCGGTTGAGATTTGAACACACGGCTATGCCAAAATAATGTTTTTGCCATTAAGTTACCGCTCTCGTAGACACGCTCTTAGAAATTATCATTCAAATAAACAAAATTTTCTATCCACCAAAAGTCTAAAGTGTATCGCTAAAGGCTTTTGTTGTGCTTGTTAATAAAAATTAAGACTTATTTTTCAAAGTACCGTTTTTCTTTAGATACATAAATATACAAAAACAATGTAAATATGCACATATTGTGAAAATTTCGTAATATCCATAAGTTTAGGAACAGTTATACATTTGTGGGGTATCGTTTTAAACGTGGGACATTTAATGTATTTTGACATTGATCTTGATTATATTCTTCATTATCCTGTCTTGATTGAGAACAGTACCATGGACAATACAAAATACATTGGCGTTCATTGGACAACACAAAATACATTGGCGGTTATGATACTCCTCATGTAACTTTTATTATATCATGCCTCCATACCATCTGATTTTACAATTGGATCCCACCTTTCACGGCAACTGTTTTTTTTTTTCAAAAATAATCTTGCAAGAATTTTTGTATCTGGCATAGCAAACTTAAACTATAAAGGATCAATTATTTAGTTTTGAAGATTGGCACAGATAATAAACTTATCGTTTATTATTTCAAGTTAGTAGGACTTTTATTGCATCTGGGTAAGTGCAGTTTACTGCAACTTATAAGAACAATCTATACCCTATCATTCTTAAAATATTATTGTGACTAATTTTACGTTTCCCTTGTCTATACATCCTCATTTTTTCATATTAATTTATAGAATATATTACATACAGAAATTCTTCGCATAGAAAGTTAATTATTAGTACATTTTTCTTGCTTTGGAAACTACTGATATTTCCGTCCCATTCATCTTTACTATGATTACAGATGAAAGAGTACGTTTCAAGTTCGCTTGTGAAAAAGCGGTTTACAAAAGCTAATTAATTGGTAATAAACTTGTAACCCCAGTCTGTGATGCTGATAAGGGTGTTTAAAATAATATAAAAATTCGGCCGCAGCATTGTACAGTCACATAGATTAATATTTTAAAAAAGTTTTGTACCGTATACTAAGAAAATTTAATATTAGTTATAATTAATTTCATTATTAGTTAATTGCAATACTTTTGTATGTCTTGTACATATACGTTACATGTAAATAAATATATTTAAGATTTATATTTAAGTGACGTATTATGTATATTTAAACTGCAAGTTTGCAGAGTTAAAATATGTATGTGATTAGAATTTTTCGTTTAAATTTTGTGGGTTACTGATTGTTCCTAGGTTTATATAATAAAATATGTGAATCTATATTTGTTTTTTTTTTTAAGATATCTTGATCGTCCATCAACTTAAATCATTGTTCATTTCCACTTGACGTTTTATTTTCACTAAACGTTATATTCATTTTTACCGCATCATCAGAAACCATTGCTTAATCTATACTGTGTTATACTAAAAAGGGGGAAAAGGGATTGTTAATAATGGAACTATCTACCCCATTGTTAGCAATACACCCACCAGTTCGACCTCCACACGGTTCCCACTGGAAACTATCGCGGATAATTCTAGTGGAATTCGTCATGATAACTGACTTGCTTTTATCCTCACCTATCATCCCTCACTGGTGACCTACCAGCGTATACCGATAGCGCAAACGGGATAGCGCCCATATATATTAGTGCTGTGTCTATCGCAGAAGTGAAATGTGCATGCATGTTATTTTTTAGGATGAACTTGGGGAAAAAATGAGGACACTACTCAATTAATAAATAACTATATTTACATAGGATAAAATAACACCATTAAATATTTTTTAAACACCATGAAATATGAAAATATAAATTGTATGTTCATTAATTATTAAAATATTAATAAGAATAATGTTATTGATTCATTCAATAATCACCGATATTATTATTATTATTATAATCACATATGTATAGGCTAGTTACACCAGAGTAACGTTTCCTATTCTGATTTTGTTTCCACTTTATTCTGTCTCCATTTTTGCTCCTGTAATCGATAAGAAATACTTTTTCAATTTATACAAATGATAAAATTGAAATGTATGAAAGCGAGTAAACACTTCTTATTAATAAAAAAAACACATCAAGGCAATGTTAGGTGTCTATAAGTAATTGTTTTAAACTTTATAATCAGGAACATAGACATTCAGGAAGACTAATATAACCGGTAAATCTGCCAGAGGAAAATGCTGCGCTTTTACCCACATAACTACTAGTTTATTTTACATACCATGAATGCAGTTAGGGCACAATGAATACCTATTCTCAAAATGACCTTTTGATATATTTTGAAAACTAGATAAACTAATATAGGTGTTCATTATTGCCAAATATATACTATGCTACCACATGTATCAATATGTACATAATCTAATACTAACCATGCAATTATAAACTAAATTGTAACACCTAAGCAACTACATTTTAAAATACCACAACCATATTTATTACACACACAAACATAAAATGCATTAAACACACTCACACTTTATTGTACCTACGTGTACAAAACAGCTAGTGACACATTACGAACAATAGCAAATGATAAAATTAATTTTGGCCAAATTCCTATAATTTATTGAAGTAAAAAATCTTGTTATTTTAAATTGCAGCAAAGATAATATAGTATAATAAAGCGTGTAATATATAGTAATTTAGCCAATATAGAACTACATATACAAGAATATTCAGCCGAATGCATCGAGATTTTTACTTACCGTGACCGACACCACACATATTGGAATTGCTTTTTAAATTTACCTTTTAAATTCACACACTTCCATCTTATTAACTATAATAATTGCTTCTAAAATTACAATTTTATATGTTCAGTTTAAATATTCAGGGCCAATGAAAGTTAAAATCACGGCTAACTTTTACAAATAATATAGATATGGGAGGTAACATATTACGTTGTATCAATATATTATATAAGTATAATATATAAAAAAAATATATTTATACAAAAATATATGCATATGATATATAATACCTTAAATTCTGTAGATTATTTACGTATTTGTGATTTTGTGGTAAATGCTTACAAATAAAAAAAAATATATTACTCTAGTACTAATGTATCGTTTACTTAAAACTAGGTATGTCAATTAAATAATATTACACAGACTTAAATAGTACATTACTAAATTATATATTCAAAACTATTCGAAACTATGTTTAAACGCTATGTATATTAATTTAAAAGTTTGTGTTGTTATGCATAAATAGTTGTGGATTTAGTGACATGTACTGTTTTAAGGGCTTAAACCTAGATATATGAACTAATTTCCCAAATTCAAAAATATTCACTTGGCTTTCCTATCTGCATAGAGACTAAGACGTATAAACATATATATATATATATATATATATATATATATATAGGTTAGGGTAGGGGTGTATTATGTGGGGATCGTTTGAGGGATGACTTGAAGTATTTAAATTCATCCCACGCTATAAGGATGTCAACCAAATATAATAAAACTGAAATAGCGTTTTATGCAACTTACAATGGCAAATAAGCGGACGACCCACCAGATGGAGAGTGGTAACCGTCGCCTATAGACATGAAAAGTACCATGGACATAACAGAGTATACTGTTTCGCTCATGGTACCTCTCATGAATAGCCATTCCTGAGGACTCGGGTGTTATTCCTCTATACCCTAAATCTATTTGCATTAGTAAAGTAGAAATACTTAAATCGGATGTCTGCGTTTCTTGTAAAAATTTAATAGGTTCATTTGATTATCATCGTGTATTATGGTACCTCTTTTGTATGAAAGTAGTGACTTAGTTGCTGATTACCGAATAGGGCCAACAGCTTTACGAGTTTTTTTTTTTTTAGATTATTTTAAACATTTCACTTAACGGACTTGCTATTACAATGAAAATTATCAATAAATGCTGATTTCCACATATCAAATCCATAGCCACATTAAATATTACGTAATATTTCACAAACAAATATCCCTTAGCTCCAATACGGACACGTACACTGCAAAAAACGGACATAAAGGCCTACGTAAATAGCTAAACTCTACATAAACCATCCCCGCTCTGAAATAATCAGACATTGTTTACTTATTGTGTCTAAAATAACGGATTAATTAGGTATGTCCTAAAACAAGCTATAATGTAATATGTGGTATTGTATCTAAGTTTAGTACTCTGAAGGCATATATGAGTACACGACATAATTAATGTAATTAACTGATTAATACAGGAGGGCTTTTATAGCAATGGAGCATGTGAATACGAGTGACAGTTAATAATTTGAAAATACAAAACATAATGTTTTTGTTATTTAAAATTTATAATAAGTTGCTATTACAGAAAACTATGGAAGATATTAACCGTGTCAATAGTTCCTAAGTAAAATAATTACTATTTGCTTAATTATTAGATTTATAAAAATTTTTAAAGACAAAAATTTATTAGGATCATACAAAGTTGGCCTCAGTGATTGGTTTTGTCACCTTTACCCTTATAGGAAATATTCTTTATCAAAAATCATTTATGTTACTCGCATCCACTCCGTACCCTTATGTATATGATCTAACTGGCACGTACCAATACGGCGAGTTCATTGGACAGGCGGTAAGCGATCGCACGCAATTTGTATCGCAGCTTGAGTCCACCTTGTGTTTTCTTGCGCAGAGTCCGCAATATTGTGTACATGTTGCAAGAGTACAACGTAAGAAACAAAGCAGCCAAGTAAGACACCTGCCAAACGTCGCAAAAATAAATAAATAATTCAAAAAACATGTGCAACTGAAAAACAAATTTATTACATCATTATTAGAGACAGGCATTATTTGTATAAAATAAAAAAAAAAATATGTCATAAAAAGCATGTTAAGTACAATCTAAATCACAATGTTATATCATTTTCAGCATTAGTCTTCGTTAACAAAAATATACAATATAGCCAACAAAAGTATGCTTTAACCAACTATTTTTATAGTCGATCGAACGCTTTCTTCCTTCTAATGTTAATTCTTTATAATAAAAATTCTTTTATGTTCAAATTTATCCTTACTCGTATTTTGGACTCAATTAATTATTGTGATTGCATGAAGGGCTATTTGGTATCTTAAATCTATACTTTAGATGCTAGAATCATACTATAAAATTATCTAAGATCGCAGTGTATCCGTGTCATTAAGAATATTCTGACTTTTAGAATCTATTTTTTTACCTGTTTACATATTTACTAGAAAAATAAAAGTTAAAGTTAGTTACACATAAGTAACCCTTTTATATCATAATTCTTATATTAAATTTACTTCATTCCTACCAAAAGTTGTATTTATTATATATGTATCTAATCATTGAAGTAACGAAACATTAAAATAAAATTTCGTAACATTTTTAATAATAAAAACAATCGGTTGTTTTGCATTTTGTTTTTTCTTTTGGCTGAATTTTTACAAAACTTTGAACTGTTTTAGTTGGATCCACAATGAAATATTTATAACTCAAAAAATTAATTCTAACTCAACTGGACTTCCTCAATTATATTTCTAGATACAATTAAAAATAGTTCTACCGTGAGTAATATTTTAAAAATTATAATAATATCCAATGCAATTCAATATGTGACATTTACACGAACTATTCATACAATAAATTAGTCAATTAATTATGTATACAAAATATGACTAGCTCTGCCATTACTCAAAAGAGAAGAGATTAGAATGCGGCGGTTACATTGTAAATTTGCTAATTATTTCTAAATAATAATAATGATATTCGAAAATTGTAATTGTTTTGTAGGTACGTAATAATAAAGATATATGCCATTGAGAAAATATTGAACCTAGACAGGTGGAATTTACAAATATTTGAAAAATAAAAATAATATGTATGAAAATTATTAGATTTCAATATATTAAAATGCGTGTTTATATTTTTAACATTTAAAAAAATATTAAAATTTTTATTGGTCCTAGTTTCTGTATACAAATATTTAAATGCACAGTAATATTTAAAAAAAAAAAAAGCTAAATTAACATATAAATGAAGTAATCTTGGGCGAAGCCATTATACTGGCAAATGTATTATAACTTGTAATGCATATCGACTGTTGCATCAAAATCAACTCTAGTTTGTACATTTCTTCCCATAAATAAAACTAGCGGCATGGCGCGTGAATTTGTCGTATAACGGTTAAACTAGTCAAGAATCTTTATAATTAAATTTACTTAAATAAAAAGCATAATAGGCCCCCTTTCCTTTCCTGTGGGTGACGTAAGAGGCGATTAAGGGAGGGCGAGAGCTAAGCAGCAGCGTCCCTCTTAAAACGTCTCCAAAGCCTAACTGTGATTGTTAATCCACCTGCCAAGCGTGGCAACTACTGGCAAAACCTCGCAAGATGGTGGCTTATATTCAGCAGTGGACAGTTAACGGCTGATATGAAACAAAAAATAATACAATACCGAGTGCATTGCATTATTTATTGTTTTAGAGAAACCTGCTCATGAGTTCTTTATCGACAATTCGTGAATATTGACAGCCACATATGTAAGGATAGATAGATAGATAGATAAATACTCTTTATTGTTTCCTCCAAAAGATTACAACAGTAAACTTATTCTAGATATAAACAATTACAAGAAATAATCATAGTGAGAAAACAATGGGCGGCCTTATCGCTAAAAGCGATCTCTTCCAGGCAACCTTTGGATGGAAAGGAGTAAACAGTTTGATTGGAGGCACTTATATTTCCATACGTTAATGTCAAATAACAGAACATTATTGTAAGATATCAAAAATGGCACCGCTCCATGCCGCTAATTAACGTCATTTTTTGTGCTATTTAAAAATAAACAAAAACACCATAAATAAAAAGGCCAATTTTGTCTACCACTCACAGAACATGCATATAAATAAATTAATTCATACATGCAAAAACAACCATTAACACACAAAAATAAACAATACATTTTGGCACAAATTTCTGATAATTCGTTACCATTCCGTCATTTATTTAGAGATTATGTATAACAATATTAAAATCAGATCTTTTGCCATCTGTCAAATACTACAATATGTCTGTTTCGCAAAAACTGCTGCGTACCTAAACTTACTAAAAATTTGTTTAAGGTACTTCGTTTTATATTAAATGTTATGGGCAGAAAAAAAAATTATGTACCTACGTGCTGATATACAAAATATAATAGATTAGTTTATATTATACATTAGAATTAAATAAATTGACATTCACAATTACGTAAAAAATATTTTTATAGTTAACTTTGTAATCAGTTAAAAAAAAGTACATTAAGAATTATAGATATATGTATATAGATTTATAGGACAGGAATATTTTAATATGCAACAATAAATACTACAATAACATTTCTACATATGACCCTTACACAATTCAGCTAGTTACTCATTATGCGATATATAAATGCTTGCAACAACATACACTTTCATCTGAAACAGCTGTTAAGGTAATTGGTGTTTGTAGTCGAAGAAAATTCGACTACAAACACCAAAGCGGCTTTCAGTAAGAGTGACTGCTTTCAAGTCATTTAGCGCACTGTTTTTACCGGGGCCCAAAATAAGTGGGAGCACACTGGGCAAATACTTGGCTAAAATTGGCTAAAAAATAAAAGAGAGATAGCAACGAGTAAACGTTAAAAGAGGCGAATAAATATTATTTTTGTCCGGAGCGACAAAACTATAAATTTGACATGGACTATTTAAAGGTATAGTTTACAATCTATAGGAAGAAAAAAAAAACAGTATCTAACCGACTTAAAAAAAGAGAGAAGGTTATATGTTCGATTGTTATAAATAAATATTTGTGTCGCTCAAATATCGCATAGTGTGCAAATGGCTTTAACATTGCAATATCTAACATTCACTACATTCTAAACAGAACGAAGTTGGTCCACATACGTATAAACTTACTACGAATATTTCTAAAGTTCGTTTTCTACTAATTTTTTTACTCCAATAAGAGATTCTTTTAACATTCAGATTCATTCATGTATTTTATTTATTGCGTAAATAAAACAGATAACTTGAAATTTAATAAAAAAATAAATATATACCATAATTGTACAACTACGATATAATTGCAATAAATCATTAATAAACGAAAAAGAAACTCTTCTTGGAACAATACTTTCGACTATTTGCAATTGTTCTACAACACTCGTACAAATGCGTGCGTGTTCAATACGTTTTCGCCGCGCGTCCGCTTCACGACTGTACCTGCTCGCTGAACTTCTGCGGTATCACCATTAACATAGTCGCCGTATTCCCGACTCCCAGGAGCAGGAATGACATACTTAAAGCTGCCACCTGTTGTCGGTTTGTTACAGGGAAATGTGCTTTATAAATGGACAATAGGATACACTTTTAAATAACCATGGAAAAAAATTGCCAGTCTCGAAAATTACGTGTAATTGTTTACCACCACCCAAATATTATAATACCACTGTATTGAATAAGGACAAACAGTGGCCTATTTGTTAATCCAATATATAGATAAGATTACATTTACTATATTTATTCCGCGGCTTTACTTGTGTGGAATAGGATAAAAACTATTCCATGTCCTAATTTAGGACATGATCTATCTATGTACCAAATTATTCATATCCGTTCAGTTGTTTAAGTGTACTTGATTAACAAATATCTAAAGAACCAAACTCACACATTTATAATAATAGAAATATGTTTTTTTTTAATAATTGAAATAGTACACTCATCTATACTGAAGGTGTACAAAAAACATTGATTAAAGATAATACTATATATTACATACCTGCCAAGTTGCTTCAGGATGATAGCTAATGTGGTATAACGTGTAAGCAATATATAGTTGGAACAAGTATCCCCCAAACAGAAAAGGCATTAGATAAGAGAGGCCGCGCCACATCCACGAGTGGAAGCCTTCGATTGTAATATCCATATTATGCCGTGCCCCCAGAGCTTTTAGTCTGTATAGGACACCACTTTGGTACCTGAATTGCATGTATTGGACTACACCTGTGAAGCAATTTAAAATGAATGAATAAATAAATGACAACTAAATTTTTTCTCTTTGCTCCCTTCAAAGAAAGATACAGATTATATCTTTCTTTGAAGGGAGAGAGAAAAGAAAATTGATTACAAAAATATTATTACATAAAATCAATATAAAGAGGCAACAATGAGGGGCTTATCACTAAATATCTCTTCCAGGTACTTAGTATGGCTTTCCATATTTAATAATTAAAATTGTCTGGTTAAGAAGTGACAGAAAAATAATAAGATTAAAAAGTACTATAAATAAATTTAAACGGAGTATAAATAATAATATACTTTTAATATGTCAAAAATTTATTTAATAATAATAAAGAAACACTTACTGATATACGCAATAAACCACAGGAATGTATGTTTAAATTCTTCCCAAGGCTCATTTTGGGGCCAAATCAACAAGATACCAGCAACGACAGTGGAGATGAAGTGGTGGAGCCTCCACCAGCCCTTAATCCTTGAGCCGTTGACCTTAAGTATGCTCTCCCGGATTGTTAACGTGCAGTAGTACCATACCAGCAAGAATATCAATATCAATTGTAATGGCCTGGAATTATTACAAGGAAAATATTTTTTACATATTTACATACATATCTGTCACGCCTATCTCCCATTGGGGTAGGTAGAAATAATGATTCGATTCAAACAGACCTCATTCGTTTTCTCTACATTTAACAATCTTGCATACACGCTTGCCCTTTACGAGGTCTGTCCGGAAAGTTCGTATAAAAGTGTTCTGGAATGCGAGAAAGAGGAGTGGGGAGGCCAGGTAAGCGCAGGACCCCTTCCTTATGTCCCTAACAATGCTTCAGTTCTGGTCTGACCGCCGTGCGGTGCGAACTGGCTTGTCACGCCATCTGTGAAGTTACCTCTTTACGAAACCCCGTCGGCATGGAGCCCGCTTCCGTTGAAGAGCAGCGCGTCGTAATCAAGTTTCTCTCGAAACTCGGCAAGAATGGCCGTGAAATTTTTGCCGATCTCAGAACAGTTTATGGGGATGATGCTGTGAAGGAACCAACCGTCCACAAGTGGCTAAAAAGGTCAAGACAATGTTGATTGTTTTTTTCGATGTTCGGGGGATTGTCCATCAAGAATTCGTCCCTCCAGGCCAGACAGTTGATGGAAAATTCTACGTCGATGTGCTCAGACGCCTCAAAGCTCGTGTGGCACGAGTTCGTCCAGAATTGGCGCGAGAGGGGCGTTGGATTCTTCACCACGACAATGCCCCTGCCCACACCTCTCTTGTTGTCCGTGAGTTTTTGAGTAAAAATTCCATTACGGTGACCGAACACCCCCCTATTCGCCGGATTTGGCCCCGTGTGACTTCTTCTTGTTCCCAAAAACCAAATTGGTACTTCGGGGGCGGCATTTGGGGGACATAAATGAGATAAAAAAAGCTACGACGGGGCAGCTGAGAAACCTACAACCAGAGGACTTTCAAGGAGCCTTCTCACAGTGGAAACGGCGTTGGCACAAGTGCATTATGTCACAGGGGGAGTACTTTGAAGGGGATAAAATTGATTTACCTGAATAATTGTAAAATAAAATTTTTAAAAAACTTTTATACGTACTTTCCGGACAAACCTCGTATAGGTACTTTTAATTTGGCTGTTATTCAGTACGTCGACTTTTTGGTAAATATATCTACGTCCGTGTACGGCGGCCCCTACCGACATCTCCATTCGTTCGTGCTCGATAAATATCTTTCGTAATTCTTCTTTCATTCATCCTCTCTCAATAGCCTAACCAACTATATTATTTTTTATAATAGGAATATAAAAAAGGAATTACATCAGCTAAGAATTTTGACAGATTTGACACAAGTAAATAATTATTTATCGTTTATGTAAGCACATTCACTAAATATCAGTTACAATTTGCGAAAACACCTTGTAACTTACTAAAATAATACAATCCAATTGAAAACTTCTTTTTATAAAAAGTCGATAAAAATAGTATTATTTAAAAAAGTGGTTTTGTATTTAGCTCACCAAATTGTTAAACTAAACATAAACCTAACAGTAAAATTATATATTTGTTTGAAAATACCGACTATTATTGAATGATAGATAAATTTTAATAGGTTGGTATCTTTTTTTCGTGATCACTTTAATATTAGTAACCATTATTTATATTTGGAATTGTACATATATAATCGTATATACATACACTTGTACAACAATTCTATATCATGTATTATAAGTATACTTATACATGGTAAGAATGTGACAGTACATTTTGTGGTTAGCAAGGGCAAAAATGGTCACGCAAGGTCACATATTGGAACGACCTGTGTATAAGCCGCTCGCATGTTATCATCTCGTTTATATAATCATATTATTATTTAATTAAAGCGATATCTGCAGTGACCTTGACTACTCTTGAAACCCTTCCATTTTCTAATATAAAATTAGATGCAAAATGCAAATCTATACACATTTAATATTATAACCGTACTATTTGTTAATGTTTCTATAATTTTATCATAAGTTCAAAGACCCTGAAGAGATAAAAAAAATCTATACAAACAATAATAGGCGCCAATTAATAGATGTGTAGGTACAGATAACCATACATTACTAATGCCGTCAATTCATTTTCCTTTTATTTGTGCATATTTAATATGGCGTTACTATGCGTGTGCTGGACGTAAATAAATCCTTAATCTCTGTCTAACGTCATAAGCACAAATGTTTGTTATTGATTAATACTGGCGATAATAAGTAGAAAATAATTTTCTATGTATTTAATAGAGTGGTAAATAAATGCTTTAAAGATTTAATATATATTATAATTAGTTTGTCAATTATTCTGATTAAAAATATTTTAATTACATTTTAAAATTTTGTTCCACTGATACAATGGATATGAGACAAAATAACGATATATAAAAAAAGTTGAAAACTACGCCTGTTTTGAAATTAATCAAAATTATATCACCAAAAATTCAAAGGTAAAGAGGAAATATTGTTAAATAGTAAATATATGAGTCACATGATAAAAGGTAAATAGCGTCCTTGATACTTGAACATAAGATTACGTAAGATTAGGCATATTAACATTAAATTGACTTATGATCTATTGTAATTCTTCCGATAAAACTTATTCAAGCAATAGAATGTAATTCTCAACAAAGATAAGTACACATTTATGTACTATTTTGTATATATCGTAATAACAATACATTACATCATATCAGTCTTAACTGTTTACTGTTGAACGTAAGGCTCCCCCTTGGGGGGGTTTTGCTAGTAGTTGGCATGCTTGGCAGGTAGATTGGCATTCGCAGTTAGGTTTTGGAGAATAATACATATGTTCTTTAGAAAGTATACCATAAGGACTAAATCTACCTTTTTGAATTTGAAGATAAAGTTTATCTTAAATTATACACAGGTAGCGAACAGTTAAAATGTGCATATTGCATTACATAATTGAAATATTTTTTTTAATAATAATAATAATAAAAATAATAATAATTTATTTATTTGCTAGAAATGTGGTTATAATAATGGTCTTAAATATAATAGATCTACACATTTCGCCTTATCTAAAGGCATTTTTTTCTTAATATACCTATAACAAATGCATAATATGCTCAAATGCCAAGTAATAATTATCATTCCTACAACATACTATTTCAATCCGCATTCTTACTAAGTAGTATTTGTCATTCATTACTGTACAATAATACTGGTATTGTACTTTAACCGTCAAACAATAAAAGATGGACGCACGTGTTATTTGTTTTCAAATACAAATGCGAAATTTATGAAACTTCTATAATAATTTATGTACACAATATTTACGTCTATACAGTACTATTATGAGTAGATTTTTTTTAATGGATGATAATGGAATGGTAGCCCCGTCGGCGCTAACGATATACGCTGTCGAGACACCAGCGAGAGATGATAAGTGAGAATGAAAGCAAGTCAGTTAGCACACGTGATGAATACAACTGAAATTCAACACCATGGTTTCCAGGGGGAACCGCCTGAAAGTCCACTGGAGGTCGACCTAACAAGGTATATTGCTAGCGATGGGACTAGTTACCATTAGTAGCAATAACCCCTTAGTATCAATAGGTACGTACATATTTGTATATTTAATGACATCTAAATGTTCTTAGTAAACCCTTTATGGACTCTCGTGATACAAGTTCACCTAGTGCAGAGTCCAATGTACTCGCGTTTGTATATGTATTGTGTGTAATAAGTAAATAAATAAATGTATAGATACTTAAGTGGGTATCAGACAAAGAAATTGAACCAACTGTTCCCACAGTAAACCCTGCTTAAATTTGCATGGCTATAACACGATATAAAATGTAAAATAATAGATTTTATAAATTTTATTTTCATTACACATTTTTACAACACGATAAGATATGCATTGAATGTATTAAGGGATTATAAAAGTACAATAGCCTTGGTGTTATTGATGCAAAGCATTAACTCCTACTTGGACCAAATTAAACATTGTAAATGTAGAGATACTATGATAATTATAACATGTCATTATAATATATTGATGTACCTAGGTATGATTTATTCAAGCAGCTTAAATTAGTTTTACTCACTAAAATGTCCAGTCCAAATTGGCTGCAACGTAATAGGTCAGGTCATTATGTAAAATATTGTTGAACGCAATGACAGTTTAATGTCGTAATTGGTCAAGATTACAACAACTAATGACTGTATTTTTTTTAAATATACTTTAACTATAATACATAGATTTTAAACAGCATATTATCATTTCACAGTATCGTGTGTGGGTAGGCAGACAGTGTGGGCAATTTTGAAGGCGTCATTACTCTTATAACCTTTTATAAAATTAAAATTTCAATTTGTTGTCACAGTAAAATCTTTATTGTAAGGACCTATATGAACAATTTTTTTTTTTTAAGTTAAGTCAAAATTATTATAAATTTAATTTATGACGGGTCCATAAACCAGAAATTTTGCAAAATAAATATAGTAAAATATTAGGCTAAGAGACAAGATTCGACAAATGACACTTCAGAATCAGATCCAGTGCCTTCCTTCTTATACTACCCGCACAGCCAAAACAGAATTGATGGGGAGTGCCGCGCAATATTTTAACAGACTGATAAGTAACTGGCAAATTTTTCGTTAGATAAAGAATAACATTTCGTAGAAAAAATGATTATTTAATAAATGTAAACAAGCACTACTAAGTAATGATTGTACTGTACTTGTAAAATGTAAATAGCAATAAATAGACTTAGTATTATTAAAAAAAAAGTATATATTAACTTTTAGCATAGTTTACCTAAAGGATCACGTTAATTCCTGTCTCTTATAAACCATAAATTGTAAACACGTTTATTTAAATAAAGATTATTCTAATATTACACGTCTTAATCTAATCGAATCAAGATCACAGCTGGCAGGTTTATTAGATAAATACTCAGGTACATTTTTAGAAATAAATATAATAATGATAAATTGAAACTGTATCCAAAAGTATTTAAAGTTCATAAATATTGAGATAAGATATTTCTAGATCCTGCATAATAAAATATATCAACATTACATAAGACTTAGAAATTTTACAAACCGCAATTTTTCTAACCAAAATTTCGTAACGATTTTTCTTTTTATTTTGTGCGTTTTCTTTTTATTTACATACATATGTATCAAGTTTGTTCACTAAATATACGAAGTACATAAAAAAGATTGTTATGGCGCAATTTGTAACGCGCTCATAATAACTATCAAAGACTCCGTTTTCAGAATGACTAGACAATTTTAAATAAAAGGAAATCTATTTTCAACCGACTTAAAAAAAAAAAGATTCTTAATTTGGTTGTATTTTTTTTTTGTTACCACATAACTCCTTCAACTCTAAATCGATTTGGAAAATTGTTTTATCAAATCTCAAAGGACATACTTACAGATTGGTCCCGTAGAAATGTTATCAAAATCGGCTTAGTAGTTCAGTTTTTAGATCAAAATATCTGGTTTTATCACAATCATACTGATTCAGTATTTTTTTTTGTGGTACACAATTTTTAATTTATATTTTATTACGTTGTATACATTTGAACAGGGCTTGAACTAGGGGTATGCTCGCGGGGCAAAACCCCAAACCGATAATATGAGTTCATTTTGAGTTAACATCGTCATTTATTACAAAATAGCGGCAAATAGTTAATTTTTCCCATAGCGACATAATAGAAACATACACTGCATTTTAAATATAAAATTTTCGAGAAAAATATATTAGTATGATATTTGAATAAATCTTACCTGAAATCTATGTACAAATTAGTAACAGCTAGAACAAAAGCTATCGCACTAAGAATTAGCTTGAATTTTTCATATTCATCTTTATATTTAAACCTGAAAACAAAAAAAAAATTTAGTGAATTGTACAAACATTTTGCTACATGACATAAGCAATGCAAATTAGTCATTTGGGATTATTGACATTAAAAATATATTATAATATAGATGGTATAAATATGTTTATGTCTATAGGAGACAATTATCATTTTCCGTAAATTTTTAAGCATAACAAATGTTAAAAAGCCGAAAATTGTTACATATTTTAGAATTAGCATGTTTATAATGATAATGAAAACATTGATCATAAATCAGAACATTCAGATTCGAGATCTTTCTTAATTAGCCTGATCGAACTAGAACCATATCAATCTATTACACATGTCATTATCTATTTGCAATTCAAATTCCCAAATTTAATACATTAAAACACTTTAGGACTCCACTCAAGAGAGCACAACTCTGAGTTGCAAAACACTACTTTTCTTTGACTTTTTTGTTATTTAAAAATTAAGAATATGTCCAGTAGTTCTCCCTCATATATATTAATTTGTGCGTCAATATATATATTTGTAACCATTCACCTACAACAATCTTTAATACTGTTTACCGCAATAATTACATTTGTTATTCCAAAAGTCAACTGGAAAAGAATGCTATAAATTATGCATTAAGTCCGCCTTTTGTACCAAACACTTTTCTTAATGTGTAATAATTCATAAAATATTTAACAAGTATAAAGAAAAACAGATTACAAGTAGAGTACAGTACTGTCTTGAAAACTTACTTGTCATTTTTATTTAAAATAGACACATTTACATTTCCGAGAATGATACGTAAATAAAGACTATTCTGTTTTGGTAATGTTGCTTTTATCTCATGCAGCATTGCTTTCCTCTTCATAATCTCCTTTTCCAGATTCTCCAGACGCTCATCTTTTGTGATGCCTTTCTTTTCTAATCTAATAATATAACATTAATAAATTTAATTTTACATATCCAGGAAATTGTGAAATAAAAATAAATTATTATATGTACTTAATATTAGCAAATACATATTGAGGTCAAATATTCGTGTGTTGATTTTTTCTTTCTGAGGATGAAAGTTTTTTACATGTGACTTCATCAGTGTGACCAAGATATAATTATTGACCAGGATAAAAAGTAGCCTATGTACATCTCTGTCTCAAATACTGTGTATGACAAATTGCATGACGACTGATTGAGCTGTTAATGCACCAAGAGGAAATACAAGCAAACTCATTTTTATATTTATAATATTCACGAGTGAGGATTATACAAATTATTTTAATCCTAAAAATGAAGGCAATTACTACACTGGTATGTACTGTAATGTTTATGAAAACTTTGGACATTAATTCGATTTGCCTACATTTTTAACACACTCATGACCATATAAATCTATTTCACATAAAATCAAATAAGTACATAAAAGATATAGAAGAATAACAAGCAGTTTCAAATAGATATACCTAAAAAAAAATACTCCTAACTAGTTAATAAAAGTACTTGTATATTTTTTTATTTGCATATTTTATCATTACACTTAACATAAGAGGGATGATAAGATTATCCAAATTCCCAAATAAGACCCCTGTACTTATAATTTATTAAGCATGATTAAGTTACACTCGCCATAAAAATTTGAATCTGTTATCAAATTATCTATATTACAGTATTTATATTTGGGTAGTTTTATCAGATATTATCAACAAACATGTGTACAATATTTATCTGATTTCATACATAGTTTCAAATTTATTATAGCCTCAGGCATATCTAAGGGCAGGGAGTCTGGGTAGGTCACACACCCTAGAGTGCAAGCTAAGCTTCTGACTATATGCAGATACATCTTAAAGTATATAGTGCCTTTTTAAATAGAAATAATATTTTTTTACAAAAAAAAAGACATGTTATGTCTGAATAAAGGCTTATATTATTATTATTATTACATCTGTAAATGGTGTGCATACCACCATGTTTATATTGTGTTGTATTCTAATGAACTATATGTAACACTGTCAATATACTATTAAATAAACATTACATTTATAATTATGGCAATACTAATAATATAACTCAATAATATAATAAAGTACTTTCAAGTCACTTTTCTTTCTCTTCTTACAATTTTTTCTATTATTTACAAAATGACAATAATAATATAATGATAGATAATTGTATGAAATACAGCCTAAAGACATTGAAAATAACACCCCAATAGTAACTTTTATTTTTATTATAACACAGATATAACATGAAATTTTTATGTAAATCACAGAATTTTTAAAATCATGTTATAAATAAACATTATTATTTACTTCATTCTCCAGCAAAATAGCAATATGGCCCATCTGAATCCTTGTTGAATAAAGAAGGCAACATGCTATGAAATCTACAGGGAAATATAAGAATAAAAATAACTAACATAAAAATCACTCTGCAAATCATTGATATGGGTAAACCAAGATATCAATACATAACAGCTAGATGTTTTGTATTAGAATTGGATTCCTAACATTTTTTATCTTGTTTCACAGAAATTAATTTTTAATTTCTTAAATAAAAAGCGAACTCATTTAATAGGATTCTATCGATATTGATTTCATAGATACTAAGTAATTCTTATTGCATGTGAGTAATCATAATAAAATGCAACAAGATGATAGATCTGACCTTTTCAATGCACTAGTGATAAGAGACATGCGATACCGCTGGTGGTCCAGCTCTTTCATGCATTTGGACTGTAATTCTCCCACTTCCTCAAGTTTTGTTATATACTCCTTATTTGTAGCCTGGAACACAACAAACTCTGGTTACTGGGTACACTAAGGGACGGTTTTTCAGTAGATATTGAAAAAATTCTTAAAACAAATGGAGAATTTTTTAACATAATAAGATAAACTTCAAATATTCTATATTTTTACACTATAATCATTCATTTAAATATTTCTAATTTTAATGTAATATGTATAGTAAATATGTAGATTTTAGTATAAAGATTTCAAACCTCCGGCTTCCGTCATTACTCTTATACCGGTTCGAATGACATTGGAATAATATGGTAATGCTACGTTACTAGGTCGTATGTACCAGTAAAAAATTATCGTTAATAAGTTTTTATCATGGATGTAATACAAATCGCCATGAAAATGTTGAACTATGATTATTAAGTGAAACCATTAATGTAGGTACCTCAAGATGTTTGTAGTCCGCAATTAAATCCTCCCATTCCTTAAGGCATTCCTCCACATCCATTTTTAATTTGTTACAACAGCGATAAATAAATAAAAATCACATAAAATATTAAAGTTGTGCAAATTTATTATTTCATGCCAACACCTGATTGATAAATTACACGAAAGTAAAACTGACCAACCACAAAGCAAAAAGCAATTCTACTAAAATAAAATAAAATCTTTGATTGATTGAGTTTGATTGATGACATTTCAACTTCGTCAATAATCATCTGACACTGACAGATTGACAGTATTATTTTTACAGAGTATGACTTAAAAAATGACAAATGTCATAATATTACGGTCGACTTGAACTAACGGTGTGCAAAACTAAATGATTTTGTTTATTATTATTCGAATAATTAGTAATTACTATTTTTATAATTCGCCTACTAAATTGTAATATACTAATTTCTGTATAATATTTTATTAATTAGTAATCAATCAGAGTAACGAAAATAAGGTTCTTTCTCTGTATCTACTATTAGCACGTTCGTTCCGTGTACATTATTACTACATCATTACCTTAAGTCTGTGTTTTATGACTATCAAAAATTGGTAATTTTCACTAAATATAAATTGGCAACACTCATTAATAAAAAAAGATATTCCAAACTATCGTGTCGACTTATATATATATTGATTCGTACATCAATAATTATTAATTACGAAGAACGAGATGAATAGTTGGATGATTTGATAATCATTAAAATAATCAAATGAATTGCACAGTGGACGAGTGGCGGTACTCCACCGTGCGTTTTTCAAAGCACTTTCTTCCACGCACAACCACTCTTTGGAATCAACTTCCAGCAGCAGTATTTTCGAACTGATACGACAACATAACTTTCAAGAAAAGAGCATATTCCTTTTTAAATAGCCGGCAGCACACCTGCAATGCCTTTAGTGTTGTGAGTGATCATGGACTGTGGTAGTCACTTAGCACCAGGTGAGCCGCTAGCTCTTTCGCCCCCTGTGCTTAAAAAAAAAATAAAAACGGTCGAATAATTAGTAGTCGGATTAGTAAAGTCATATATCGCTAAATTGAACGAAAGATTTTCTAGTGCCCCATCAGCGTTTGCCGTTAACGTGACCGTGAGTTATAATTCCATTATGATCTATTAAAAAAAATCCGTAAAGGAAATTAAGGCGTTCCTGCGTTCATATGCCGCTGTACGTTGATAGAATAGCACCAGTAAAGGATAGTAGATGAGAATGAACTTAAATTCATCTTTATTTGACTTTTATTGTTAGGGATTGTGGATGAATTCATTTGGTATTACTAAAAGACTTGTTATTTATTCTGACATGCTATTACCCTTTGTTGCAATATGAAATAGCACACAAGCTGACCGTCCACCTGTTCGTCCTACCATGAACATTACAGAATACACGAGGGAAGAAGTAGAACTGAAGCTTCATTGCTAGTAATATACCTTGCCATGTCCACGCGGTTCCCCTAGAAACCATCGTGATTTCATTAAAAGTTTTCATCCTAATCTATATAAACTGGCAGCATATACAGAGAAGGGGGAGAAATTGTTGGAAATGGGGAGGTCAGTACCCATTGCTATCAATATACTCTATATTTATAGTAATGGGTACTGACATCCCCATCAGGTCCACCTCCATGCGATTCCCCCTGGAAACCATTATAATTTTTCGTTGAATTTATCATGATAGACTAACTGGCCTGTCTGGGGGGAAAGGGATTGTTAGTAACTGGAAACTATCATGATTAATTCCTGATGAATTCATCATGATGGGCTAACTGGCCTGTTTTCATTCTCATCTATCACCCTTCACTGGTGCTCCGCCAGCGTATCCCGTTAGCGCAGGCGGGGTTACCATACCATTTTCACCCATCAAAAAAAAAGTACTCCTCAGGTGTTGCCACTACTGAAAACGTTTTCCCTCCTATTCTGTAAAATCTCATCGTCTCAAACTTGAATATTGTACTTCTATTTAAAACACAGACACAGAATTGTTTAGCGGCAAAACATGAATATGACACTTATCTGGTAAAAAAAGTCTGTACTGGTAAATGTCTCTAAAATTAATATTTTTAATTATATTGTGAAACATGAATCATCGTTTTGACTCAAGGATAGTACCTGCGCATAAAATGTAATATGACCCTATTAGGGTTTTTGGACCTAATTCATTTAAATTTATACAAATTTAGAAAAATTGTCTTGTGATTTATTCTTTGTTGATTAGCTTTTTAACTAAATTAAGAATCGAACCCAGTCTAGCAGTAAGGTATGTTCTATTGGGAGATAAATAATGGAAACACACTATAAAATAAATTAGATATTTAATGATTTATTTACAGAAAATATTAAACCAAATTCTATGAAATATTGGTAGTTAAATTTCTATATAAATTTAGACAATACAGCAGTTATGGGCAAAATTCTCTTGTTTAAGGGGCAATTGGGGACAAATCAATCACACAATTGTATTTGATTTTTTTTTGCATGTAAATATGTAAATTTCTGAGACGAACATTATACAGACATTTAATACAATTTGAATATCTTCAAGGTTTGACCTCGATTAAGATGGAACTTGGCTCCATAAAATTCAAATATTACATGAAAATTAAATATTACATTAAGATTGCAAAATCAAATTTGTTCGCCTAAGAGAATTTTGCATAATATGCAAATACAATGTAGATACATATATTTATTATATAATTCTTATGGTAAGCATATCATGTTTGAATGAGTGCAGTAATTATTACCTACATTACTCAATAATTGTAATACAAACACCTTATTTATGTAAATATTACTATATAAATCGCAAGCAAATTGGGCGACTACCTTTATATCAAAGAGATTATATTGCGCCAAGTAAAAGTGTATGTAAAAGGAGAGAGCTCGTGCTGTGATTGATTTGTGAATGTATTCTATGATTTTTAGTGTCATATTGTTTGGTTAACAGAAATAAAAAATAAAGTTAGGAAAAAGAATTTCGTTATTACAATAAATTATATATGCTATGTAAATATATTGAAACTGCAGAGCAATATGAGTAACAGAATTTAATATAAGCGTTTTAAGCTATGTTTACTTTTAAAGAAATTAGCTAACAATGACTAGAAAATATATTGTCGAATATTGTAATTAACCACTCTGGCACCTCATACAATATTCTCCTTTGTTATGTTCAGTACCTACTTATGTATTATACCATCACTTCCAAACTACGCTCTCTCCAATTACTAACGTTTATAATAATCTCCTTGGTCATTGTGTATTTACGAATTTACATTGATTAAGCGATGTTATGATAATATGATAAGAAACTCCATACCGTGCCATGTAACTGAGTACATTGCCGCTACCAACACTAGCTAGTGATATAACTAACGACACAGAGCTGTATATATTTCGAGATTCGCTAGTATGATAAGCACGGTATCAGAGTAGGCCTTTACTTAAGTTTTACGTAATGTAAAATCAGCAAAATTTGGGCACGTTCATTGTTTTAATTTTTATGAGGTTCTGTAACGAATTCTGCGAACTTGCAATATTCTACTTCTCGTTCGTGCAAAAAATTTGCTGGTCACACATTGTACTTCATATTCTAACGGCAAAGCATCTAATAGTATGACCATACTCAACTATAACTACGACTACACACTAGTCATAATAACCAGGCAACCAAATGTTTTCTTTAGCATAATAAATAACTAATACGACATAATAGGCTCCATTAATTAAATTTATCTTTGCATCTAGCAACCATATTATAGATGGAAAATTAAAATATTAATTAAATATCACACATTTTATGTAATTCCTTGTATGACAATATATGAAACAACTTACTAATTAAAATCAAATGACAATATTTAATGACATTTGCATGACAATATTAAAACATCTAGCAATTTAATCATCTCTACTTGACCGGAAATTCGTACTAGACATACAAATAAAAAATTGAAAATATAAATAAATAATTAAAAACATTAAAATAAAACGCTCTAACTTATAGTTAAAGTTTTGAAATAGCCAAAACTTAAAATAAGTCCCTATGAAACTTCCATTCGTTATTATAAAGCGCGCATCTGGGCCTTAGCAATCGTAATATTAAGCAAAGTTTATTCACTCGTATTTAATTTCGTTATCCCTATTGATATCCATTCATGATGTTGGCACTGGTGCAAACAAACATAATGTATATCGAATCGAGCAGAGACGAACAACGATTGATTGTAATTATGTACAATGGTAGATGAAGTATTTTGAGTATGAGTGTTCTATGTAAAAAATACTAATTCTCGGCTGATTGTCATGAATAACCATCAATATCAAATTTAATAAACTAAACTATCAATAAACAAATCAAGGTACAAGTTTTTCTAGAGTTGACATGTAAGAAACGATTAACTACTTTACCAAAATAAAATTTATATCTAAACACACTTATCAATAAAAAAAAAAATAACTATAAAATAAAACAAGAGTAATTAATGAACTGTTAAATTATAACACAGCTTTTCACCTCATTCCATCGTTCCGATCGGGTACATGACAGATGCTACGTCGCATCCATTTTACCATCATTGAGTTCTCAATGTTATGCTTATGTCACATATTAGCTAAAAATATACAGAAATTAACTATGAACCATTACAATATAATGGAATGTGCAAATCTACACCGAAGTAACAGAAGAAGCTCGCGAGCGGAGTCAAGGAACACATTATTTCGATCATTAGACGGACATAGCATCGTCAAATGTACGAGAGAAGACCACAATGAGTGGAAGGAGGAAATATAATTAATAAAATATCAAAACTATTCCTTCTTTCCAAAATGATTAAACCATTAAAATCGCAACACATATTGCCCTCATTGCAGCTATAGGTATGTGAAAATAATGATAAAGATATCATCGGTGAGTTTAAGTTACTAAAATGGCAACGCTCTTAGCGACACTCCCAAACTTTGACGGTCTGGTCGACGCTGCCCGATATCACGTATGGCAAGCTCCTGTGGAAATCTGAAAATAAAAAAAAAAAACACTAATAAGCATCAGAAATCGAATCTATAATACTTACATAATATGACGCTGTATCTAATACATTAAATAATTTTGTTGAATACCTAAGTTATTTTATTTCACAATGTGAAAGCCAATAACATGATAAGAAAATTAAAAACATTGGAGTAAATCATACAAAATGTCATAAAAATTAATTCAGAATTGATAAATATCGGGAATATATATAGTTTTCATATTTACATTATTTTCATTAATACATAAGTGAATGTTTTTATATATAAGCGATTTTGTAAATCGCTCTTTATTCGATTGAAATGAAATTTTATTCCCATATGGAGCATGTCCTAGATTATATATAAGACAAGGAACACTTTTCTAATTCATTTACGCAAGTCACTATTTACAGGTGACATTATTTATATGAGGACCATATAAGGATTAGGAGTTGGAGGAGTGATTCTTTATAAGATCAAACAATGTCGTGCAATTACATTTACGTCCAACTTCATTTTTGACATGTTTTGTATAACCTACAAGGTATTAGCGAACGAATGTTTGAACGAATTCAAAATAGTTATATCTTTTGCCATTAGATCACAAATGGCGAGGTTTTTGTTGGAAAAGTGCATTTAATCAAATTGGGGAATCGTGTTAAGTAATACCATTTTTTGCCAACGTTCGAAAACTGTTCGCACAGTTTTTACACGGTGTTTGGAATAAAGGTGCCGTGCTTACCGAGGCTGGTGGCAAAGTGGTGATGCGCGTAGAGCGTCTTGAGGCAGCGTGTGTGTGCGACGTCCCACACACGCAGCGTCTTGTCGTCGGAGGCGGTGAGCAGGTAGCGGCCGCCAGGGTGCCAGGCGAGCCCGCGCACCCAGTTGTCGTGCCCGGCCAGCGTCGCCAGGCACTGCCCGGTGCTCACGTCCCAGATCTGATAAAATAACACCTCACGTTATATACGTTGTCACTCCTCTCACATGACGTAAATTCGCTTACAGAGACGTGGATCTCTGTGTAGCTAGGCATAAATCGGACAATTCAAATATTAGACTATGTAATAGTACATTGTTGTCACTACAACTGGTCACTACCAGCAATTTACGTTTGAATATTATTAGGACAAGACAAAGCCGAATTAAAAAGTGTAAGTGATTTTTAATGAGCTAACTCTTGTTATTTCCATAGAGTCTTGTATTTTAGTGCAATTTACAACAATATTAAAGTTTTAGAATTCCTATTATTTGCATTGAACGTCGTGTGAACCGAAAAGGGCCGAAGCTTTTTTTAATACTTAATAATAATTGTTATTTTTATTTCCTTCTAAATTTTATAATTACTGTAGCCACGGCAAATTTATATTGCTAAGTCAGTGAAAACCTGTTATTGGCTTTTTATATGGATAAATTGTTGTTGTTTTAAGCTATAAATTGTAAGCTGTTGGTTTTCCAATAAATAAATACATACAGTAACTATATTGCAAGCGGTACCTTGACGGACTTATCCCGGGATCCGCTGGCGAGGAAGGGCCCGACGTGGTTGGCGCGGCGGTTGTCTCCGCCGGCTGCCTCGTTAACGGCGGCGGCCGCGGCCTCAGGCGCCCAAGCCACGCACTCCACCACGTGCTCGTGTTCGCGGAGCTCCATCTGAGCACAGTTTATTAATTAATACAATATATCAACGTATACATATCAACAATATAGTCTGTTTTAAGAGAATATAATAAAAAGGTAATCAATTTTTGATGAAATTCTCACAGAAACTCTTAAAAGAAATTATTAACAAATCGGAACATTTAGTTAATTAATCGATATTATATTATTACTAAACATCAGCAGACTATCTTATGCTCGCATCAATTATTCATTTGTTTGTATAGTATTTTTAATAGTGTTGTTCTAAAACAGACCAATAATACATACAGTGCGGTCAAAATAAGAAAGAATAGAAATTTCATTGACCTCGAATTGTCAATCGAAAATGGTTTCCAAGGAAACTTAATGTGCATAATATTTATTTAACCTAAGTTTTAGAATTACGAAATTATACATTTAGAAATTTAAATTACTCATTTCGACAGCTGAGATGGCTCAGAATTGCATAAGGTAAGGTCATCATATCAATATTATTGTCTAATATTATCTATTTCGATCTTCTTACTTTTAAATGCCCAATTAAAAAAAACGTGTCAAGTATAAAAACATATTATATTATTACTATAATCATCATCAACATCACAGCGGCTGCTAACGGTTCATTGCTAAAAATGGCCTCCGCCTATTGGGGAGTTTTGGTAGATTTTTTTTTTATTTACACTTATATTTATTTTTAAAATCAAAATTGAAGCTAGTAGCGAAGTATCGTTTGTTACCTTGCACTCGTTGGTGTCCGCGTTCCAGATGCGCACCGTCTGGTCGTTAGAGCAGGAGGCGAGAAGCGAGCCGTCCGCAGACACGCGCACCATGCGCACCCACTCACGGTGACCCTTGTACGTCTTGATACAGTATCTGAAGTTTATACGCAGTATTTAATGCGGTTATACTATTTAACGCCTGTTATTTTTACTTAGTTGACAAAAAAGAGGATAATGGTTTTCTGATATGCAGTATTCCCAAGTCTGGTGGTGTCCAAGTAACTTGTAATAATAATGTAAACGGCCAGGTAGATTTCAATTAATATGGCTTGTGATAATAAATACGGCGACAATAAACTTTTAAAATCTTTCAATAATTATTTTATGAATATTTAGTCGCATCTTTTAAGGATTCATCACTTCCATTGTTTATTAGCGCGTTGTCATTTCTGATAGAAATAAGAGTTCTACACAAAAAAATTGGTACCATCATGGAATCTACTAGATTAATTATACCATTAACAAAAACCCTACTTGTCCTCGTATTATAACAGCAATATATTACTTACTGAGTAATTATTTTATAAATTACTTTGAAATAACACCGCTAAGCGAAAGTGCAACAAAGAAAGGTTGCTGATAATCCCTTCAAAAGGTACCTAATGAGTAGTCTAGCATCTACTTACCCAGTGGCCACTTCCCATGCTTTAATAGTCTTGTCGCGGCTGGCCGAGTAGACTATGTCACCACTAGGAGAGAACGCCACCGACGACACATTGTGATCGTGTCCATGCATCGTCTTTACGCACTCGAAAGTCTGGTTGAAATCCCACAGCTTGATTGACATGTCTGCACTGCATGATACTGGAAAAAATATAACATAATGATGCCTCATACTACAACTACTACTAGTGTTGCGAGTGCGACCTTTGGGCAAATTTCTAACATCTTCCTGCCCTTATTCCAATTCTGGTTTGGCGTTATGTTTTCCCCTTCCATTCACATCTATTCGCAGTCATTTTCGCATTCACTCCTATTCTAGTCATGCCATCTTTTACACAGTCTATCTACACCTACATTATTTTATATTTTATGATATAGAGATGGATTTTATGAATACGGTGATAGTTATATATCGTTTTATACTATAATAATATATTGCCTTTTATTTACTGACACACAACTTTAGATTTACATCTTCACTATTTTTTACAATCTAAAGGACTATAAAACATTTCTGCTTCGCAATGCAAAATGGCAATGGGCAAAGATTTTTAGAACAAAAATGCCTGCGCGAGTTAGATAGTAGATAGATAAATAGATATGGTTTGACAATAACACTACAAATCTAAACACATAATGTTTTGTGAGGTTTTGTTCAAGTTTGTTTATGAACTTCAGCAAAGGGTTTCGGATACCCTTTTCATCAAATGCATTGGAAATATTACATTTTAACAATAACTAATGATTAAAAATACATTATTTGAAGTATATTATATCCGCAATCGTATCTACTTATCCGTATATGATACAAACTGATAAATACGCTAAATGTTATCATCACAAGATTGTATTCGAGAGTTCGCAGTCAATATAATTAAATTCATATGTTTATGTATTAACCCGTGTCAATGATGACTCGAAATTAAATAAATTGTTCATTGTAAACGTGAACAGAATAGAAACAATTTTTTACCGAAGTAAGTCGCTGACCAGACCAGAGGTTAACAACCTCTGGTTCATCAGATCACAATAGTAAGGGAGTCGCAACAAGACCTTTAGAGAAGACAGCACTCATCTTTGTTCTATGCCTATTATTATAACAACCCATAAACGAATTACTACTGGGATTGGGTTTCCACAAGACAATCAACTTACTGTTACCATGCTAGCTAAACGGATCCATATAGTTTGTTTTTACTTTCAATTATCCATCTCTCCCTTGCATTGGTGTATTGTACTTTGTTGTCTTATTCGCATATTACAACAACATCCTGATTAAAAGAAGTGTATTATACACGACTGCATATATTCTTATCTATGCCTTTAGTGGCAGAAGTAGCAACTTATCTATATTTATTTATTCTATATATATGCACCATCCTTATAATATTGATTTGGTTTTTATTATTATGATGTTATAATTATTTCAATAAATAAACAAAAATCTTCATATCAAGTCTCTTACGGGATAGGCAAAGAGAACTGGGGGCCTACCATGAAATGAAAATCCGAAATTTCGGACTCAATTTCGTGTTTTCGTTCATACCTAAATCGAGCCAGTAAATGGAGCTTAACATTTCGTTCGTCATAAATCCTGCCATAAAAGTCCAAAGGAATAATATTTTCATTTTTTTAATGTTTTTAAACGGTAAGTATTATGTAATTTTAACATCAAATTTGTGTTTCGTTCGGCATCGAAATTTCGGAAAACATTTCATGGTAGGCCCTCTGAGTACCAAAAAGATCTCTTGTTGCCTGCACTTTTATAACTCGTCTCACGAATGCACGCATCTTGATTCCTTCTTCAGATAAAACACAATCTATGTGATTATAGTAGATTAGTCTAGGTCTCCCCCAGTACCCGGTAGCAAATTATATATGATCATGATCATATCAGCCGTTATTTGACCTTTACTGAACATAGGTCTCCCCCATAGACTGTTATAAGCGACGGGGCTATTTCTTATGGCAGTTTACAATTGAAAGGATTTGCCAGTACTTGTCAAGCTTAGCAAATGGGTTAGCAACCGCAGTTTAACTTTTGGTGATTTTCTAAAAGGGACGTTGCTGCCTAACCCTAGACGATTGAGTTATTATATTGAAAAAATATATATAATTTTAAGTTAAGCAGTTACTACTACTCCGGAGATATTCCCAAATTGTACAAACCAAAAAAGTTAAAATTTAAATAAACCGTGCACGTGTTAAACAAAAGATAGCATCGTAAATTGGGAATCTTTAAGTGTATTGGATGTAAGCGTAGTCTAAACGGGAGTGTGTTTATATAGTATAAATAGTAGAACGCACGCTAAACCTACCACAACGTTCGTTGTAAACATGTAATATTTATTTTACATACAATTTTAGAGTACGGCCATGAAATATTTTATTTTGTATTACCGACACTCTCAAAAAGGCAAACAGTAAGATTGTCGATTTACTATTTGTCTTTTTTATAATAAAGAGGGGCAAACGAAAATGCGGCTCGGCTGATGGTAAATGACTTACAACGTTCACCCGCAACATTTGATTGCTTGACTCAAATCCGCCTCTATTACCTTTATTTGGTGTATTTGGGATGGAGAAAGACAGGCTACATTTGTTTTCTGACACTCGGGCATATCCCGGTCACACGAACGAAGTTGCGAGTAAAAACTAAGTGTAACATATTGTAAACTTTAGTTCCTACATTCCATTTCTATTATATTCACTGTGTTAATATAGTAGGCAGTTGTATAAACAGAAAAAACAAACACGCAGGTTCTCTGTCAGATGAACTTGACTGGCGCTTTTAAAAAGTTATGCCTGTCAAGAATAAAGGCGAAACAGAATGTAAATATTGATGATAACTTACCGAGGAGTTTGCCGTGTTGATCGAATGCAATGTCCTGAACGGAATCGGTGTGACCCTTCAGGGTTCGTTCGTACTCGCCGCTCTCAAATTCCCACACTTTGATGGTTGCATCCTCGCTCGAGGACACCATCAAACTGAACACTGGATGAAATATTACCTGAAATACGCAAATATTTATTTTAATACTATCCTAAGATATTTAATCATTTCAATTATGCAACCCGTCAGGAACACCTGATAGGAATGTTTAAATTCCATGTTTCTTCTAAAACCTTAATAGGAATATTAAACGTTAAAAAAAACAAGTTAGAGTACCTCCGCAAATAAAAAAACGCAACTGCATTTTTAAAATATACTATTTAAATAAAAATAGTCCGTGTCACTCGGAATGATGTAAGGAATCTAAAGATACCACTGTTCAATTATCGCTATCATACAACTATAAGATAATTATAGAATTGTATATAAACAATTGCTAAATGACTAAAATTGAGTCCGCCTTTGGTTGTATACAATATTGTAATTTCTAAAACTAGGTGCTGATACCTAGTTTGTGTTAGAAATTACAAATTACATAATTTTTTCCTTAATGTATATAACATTAAGATAAAATTTAGGAAAAATGCAAATAACACTTATATGTTAAGGGTATAAAAAAGATAAAAAAAAGTATATAATAAGTTTACATTATTAAAAGTGCATACACAATATAGAATGGATTTCTGTGTACGCACTTGTCATTGCGTGGTACTGTAACTAAAATTAATTACTCAGTGATAAACTCCAAGGTTTGTATCAGAGAAACTATTTGCTCAGTAAGAAGTAAAACAATGCCAGATCCCTTAGACAATGCTTGAATACATTTTGTATTTAAATGTGTGGAAATACAGAAACTTTCATTCGTTTAGAAAGTCTGAATTGAATGTACTTAGTTCTCTGGGTAAGGTAAACATAGAGTTATTCGGAAAATATAGTACAATAATTTATAGGGTAACTGTTACTGCTATACAAGTGTACTCTTAAAACAAAATGTGTATTATTTTGAAGTCTGTGTATTTCTTGCCGTAATTCTAAAACGGATGTATCCATTAAAATGCGATTTTTATTTTATTTAAAAACCATTTGATCTTTAACTGTGTATATTGTATTGTAGATGAAAACATCAAAGTAGGGAGTGTATTAAATAATACTCTCTATTCACAAACCAACAGTGTGGGCATAAATATAAAATTTCAAATAGGATTGACAATTCATACTTAAATTAACAATCAAATAATATAAAAAAATAAAAAAAAAATGCAGGGTTACGAATTTTTTTTTTTAAATGAGTAATCAATTAATTATGCTACAGTATATTTCTACACACATGTATCAAATAAAAATGTTTACTGGCCTTGTTTGCCATCATATCCAGGATAATGTTGGAACAGGTGCGTATACTGTAGACCAGGAATGCATAGTGTATATACATGATGGTATAGAGGTAATACTTGATGTACGTTACAAATTTAAGGCAGTCCATTAGCACCCTAAATGCGTTATAATTTTAAAATTATGTACTTTGTAATTACTTTAGTAATGGTGGCCCGGTGTCCGGTGAGACAGAACTTTTCAGGCGGGCGCGGTATCCATTCAGCTGGAGTGCGTTTGGCTCGTGTCGGCGCTCCCTCTATGAATTCCTTTTGTGCCTCCGCTAATTTCGACTCCAGTTCCATCACCTGGAAAAATAGGGCACGGTAACGTCAAGTCCCCAAACGAAAACCGAATAGATGCTGTAACTATAATCTGTTTTTTTTTATTCTTAAATAAAAAATCGATATCACAGGAACATCAGTAACCGATGTCTTTGATCTTATAGAAGTCTCTTGCTCCATGTTCCTGTCCACTACACTGGCTTTATCTATAATTCTTTCGTCATTCAGGCTATCAAGCACCTTTGACATTAGATTTGCCGCAAGCAAATTTGCATTCAAGCATGAACTACGTTTTTTCTACTTTATAGTCTATAGTTTTAAGTCTGCTATTTATCTCAATATTATAATTAAACTTTAATATATTATATATGTTAATATACGGGATTTGCGTTGATTATATATATATATATATATATATATATATATATTCTATTACTATTATTCTATTATTTTAAGCCTTTTTTATTTTTAAACGACTACTATCGACATAACGGATTATATTATGCTATAATCAAAACATATGTATAGAATTTGTTACGGCTCATAGATAAATGTTTGTATAAATAAACTCTACCAGTAGTTACAATTCCCATTATCGTTTTTTTATATAGTTATCTAAGAAACATTTTTCAGATTTTTTTATATATTTAAATAGATATTAAATACGCTATGCTAATTCATTTTTACTATAATTCATAAACGATTAGAGTGGAACGAGATTCAAGATTAAATAAACAAAGCAGCACACCTATTTACCTTGGCATTTTATTTGTTTACATTTTATACAATATTTCTGGAGCTTTAAAATCTATTTATATAGGCGAGTACTGTTGCTATTAGTATTAACGAGCTGATAATATACCTCTAACCCGAAATTATAATTTTGTGTTAATTGTTAACTCTTTGTGAATTTTGTTCTTACCTATAGATTTATCATTTAACGACTAAATAACAATTAGTAAATTTTGATGCACACAGCTGTAAGAGTACAAATAATCATATTATATCTATTACATTTATTTTCTTATGTTGTTTTATTTTCATATGTTGTATAATGCAAGTAACGTATACGTAATAACGTATCACTCATCCATATTTCAAAAATATAGATTAGGAATATAATGTATGTCCTTCCGATGGTAATATAAATTCCAATACAGTTAATTACCAATTATTGCAGTATCAAATAAAGTTTTTAGAATTATTATTCTGTTTATTTACAAATCAATTGCTGTACCGATACGACAACATAACCTTCGAGAAAAGAGTATATTCCTTTTTAAAAGGCCGGCAGCACACCTGCAATGCCGTAGGAGTTGTGGGTGACCATGGGCGGCGGTAGTCACTTACAATCAGGTGAGCCGCATGCTCGTTTGCCCCCTATGTTGTAAAAAAAAAAACTACCACGCAAGGAACTTGGCGTGAAGAGAAATAGAAATATAAACAGCGTCGTTAGCTGTTTCTATGAGTTTTCTCTAATGGGATAATAAACGCACTGTTATGTTGGAAGGTACCTTCTAAAACGATAAGTCATATAAACCTAACACTGACAACAGGAGGGAAAGGAATTGTTAGTAACGGAGACTGAGAATCCCATTGCTAGCAATATACCCAACCAGGTCGACCTCCACGCGTTTCTCCCTGGAAACTATCATGGTTAATTCCTGATGAATTCATCATGATAGGCTAACTGACCTGTTTTCATTCTCATCTATCACCCTTCACTGGTGCTCCGCCAGCGTATTCCGTTAGCGCAGGCAGGGTTACCATACCATTTTCACCCATCAAAAAAACACTGACAACAAAATCGGATAATTTAAAATTTATTTAAACCATACTTTTAGCTCGATATGTATTTTATGAATGGTGCATATAGCATTATAAAAAAGGAAACAATTCCAAGTATATTTAAAAAAACATGTTTTTGTATGTTAAAATCAAAGTTCATTGCTGTTCACCAGTATAGTCGTTTGAATCGTTTCAATGTGTCGCAAGAGGAGCACGTTGCAAGACACAGCTCGCCTACTGACTTAGGAAAATCTGCGACCTAGAAACGTCGGATAGTGGTACAACGCGGATCGATCAGGTAGGTACACTGCATGGACTATATAAACATGTCACAATTTGTTCCATTCATTCATTAATCATTCAATTCGACAATAACAATAGAATACGTTTGTGGAAGTACACCAATGTAACATACTGTACAAATGAATTAATTAGTCGATACACGTGACAGAATTTGGTAACAGTTCTTCGGACATGTCGATGTGAGATTTACGTAATAATATTAGTTCCGCACTTCGGAGAATGTATGTATGGTATGCTATGAGAACACTAACATAAATGATACGATCAATAACCATTTGGGAATCAATTAGAGATGTCATAAATTATGGAAAGCGAAACTTACATAAGATATCACCACCGGTCGTAAATATCCAAATAGTAATTAAGAAGTCAGTAAACAAGTTGCAATAGATTTATTACGGTAACTTCCAATCACCACGCATTTTGAATTTGCAAATTTTAATAACGACGAATTTTATTCGTGTTCGTAATGGTTCTAGACATCCAACAATATAGATCAATGTTTTGTACAATTACTAGCGTCATAATACTATAAATAAAATTACAAAAGATCTTCGTGTACCGGGTATTAGAATCCATAAAAATATCAACTGGCTGCAAGACAAAGTTCCGGAAAATGAAGACATGTTCTGATATAATTAAACACGGAAAGAAAGCAATTTTACCAAAATCATTTTAACTTCAGTGGTAAATCATAAGAGCCTATTTTTCGTCACAATAAATATTCTAACTATTAAAATGTGCCTTGCCTTCTTTTGCAGCCTGATGACCGAAGTCCATTTTTTCTCGAGAAGGCCTCCGAACTTGCGATCCATCTCACCGCTCATTTCGGCTTCCTTTTTAAACGCTTCCAGCGCGTCCGTGTAGCCATTGCTGCCTAAATAATCGGCGATCGCTTTGTTCCTTTAACAATTAAAAAAATTGAGTATTAATTATAAGTTTAAAAATAAAATACATTTAGCTGAAAATGCCAAACCGAAAACAGGATCGTATAACTAAGTATACTAGACAAAAACATCGTTTTATTTTTCTAAAATAATTTTTACAATTACATAAATTTTATTTTTCTAAAATATTTTTTAAATAGGTACAGTAAAGTAATTTATAAAGGTATATATGAATATACCTGTATAAATTGTAATTAATTGATATTTTTCATTTTACAAACCTCGGAGATAGGTGGAGGAGGGGGATGGCTTTTTTCTCACATTTTCGATCATAAATTAAATATTACACATATAATAAAAATAAATCAAATTCAGTTTTAAAATGGACAAATGAAACCCTTTCATATGGTAGCCTGCTGTTTGGACTAATAGACAAATTTTGAAATTTTGTGTATCCTTTTTGGACATAACATATGTGTGTGCTAATAATATGTAAAATTATTCCAAATTTCAAATCGAGAGCATTAGTGATTGTTTAGATATATGCTGTGACAGACGAATTGTCGGACAAAGTCGTAACATAAAGGTTCCTTTTTACCTTTTTTGTACAGAACCCTAATAAGTACAAAAATAAATGAACTTTTTATAGTATTTTCTAAAATTGCTCATCAACTGAATTACAAAGATGACTCTATATTTAAATGTTTGGTCTTCTTGTCGTTGTCGATTAACAAGCCAGCCGATATGCGATGAGTCAACAATACCTACAGTTATTTATTTTATTTATTCAATAAGGTTCACCTATAACATTTTACATTATCTTATAAAACTGTCAATAGAAGGATATAGATTTAATTTAAATGTAACAGAGCAAGATGTTGCAAATTATGATTAAGTCGCACAGTTCTTCAAAGGCTAAAACACATGGCTATATGGGTGTGGTAAAAAAAATGTGAATAAATTCGTTCGAAGTAGAGAACAGATTTTCGGCAACACTGCATTATTTGCTTATTAGATTTAAAAAAAAAAGCAGATTTTATCATATGCTGTTCATTTTCACATATGGTTAGTTTTTTATGCAACTTAGAATGGCAAACAAGCTGACGGCCCACCTGATGGAAAGTGGTAACCGTTGCCTATAAACATGAGCAGCACCATGATCACAACAGAATATACTGTTATCATTGTTGAGGACTCAGGTGTTATTTTCTGTACCCTGTTAATTCACTGCCTTTCAAACCAAAACACAGCCATGCATGCAAACACAACTGCTTCACGGTAGAAACACGAATGGTTAGTGTAATACATAGCTGTTTTGAACGTTTAATTGTTAGGAGAACGAAGTTCTTGTATTTTAAGGAATTCAATTAAAATGAGAAATATTTTTTGTATGTTTTCACCAATATAAAGTTATAACGAATTTGTTTGTTACCTTTTGGTTGCTTAATAACTCAACCCATATTCACACAATTTTGGTCTTTTTATCTCCATCGCAATACACGTAGTATTTGCGATGAATAGAAAGACCTAGAAAACTACCTATTTAAATCAAAACAGCTCGATCACGCGGACGAAGTCGTGGATAAACAATATTTTCCTATAGAATGAAAAAAAAACACACAATAATGCATACATGATGCGATGGATGTGTGCAGGAAGTCACTAAGGTCTTTTAAAGAGCAATTTCCGTAGTAATATCTACGTATTAGCTTACTAGTAATCTTGAGTGAAGGAACAAATGTCGAACATACCCACTGAAGTACGAACATATCCTAATTCGATAAGCCGTCCTTGTTATAAGCTATGATGGCCCGTATTCGTAATTGTCATCCACTAGAACGTATACCTACACTATATATAATATAAATATACAACTCAATAGTTTCAATTTTATTCATAGGGAGAGTAAGGGCAATGATATTCCATATCTGATTATTGAAAATAAATAATTATTTGCTTAAACTGGATTGAATAAAATGCAGTTTAGTACCTAAACTATTTTGGATTGCTGATCTAAAGAGCCTAGTAGTGGCTTTTAGGATTTTTTTTTTATTAAATAACTGTAATGCCTGTCGCTATTTTTCACGCGAAACCTTCTAATTTTTTTTTATAATTTCCGTTTTTTTTTTTTCTTGCGTATTTTTTTTACCATAGTGCAAATCCTAATATAAGTAAAATGTATAAGTAAATAGTCCGTGTTCGTGTGTAAAATCCTAGTATAATTTGTTAAGTCCTATATATTTATTCCACTTGCCTAGTATAGAGTACTTGGTGCTATAAGTTTCAGAACCCCTGATTTAGAAAAACTTTGACTCTATCCGATATTAGAGGGAGTAACATTCACAGACTAGTTTAAAACATCTTTTAGTCAAATTTATGTTGCGAAGTATGTACTGTCGTGGCTTCTTCAACCGGTTTTTTGCTGGTCACTTATTGTAACATTAGACGGACCGTTCAAGTATCGTTGTGCAAAAAGCAACGCATACCGAATGAACTTTCGCACTGTAACTGACAGAACAATAAGTTTACCATGATAATGAAGAAGTAATCATTACATAATTCTAGTATTTTTACACCATGTTATATGCCTCGGGTCGAGTGTGTATTGAGAAACAATGTTGTGTCAACAACGCTTTTAATGACTATGCCAAGACATTATTACCCTGTGTCAATCAAGATTACAACTGAATGGTTCGCTTCTTACAAATACCTTAGCAGGTATAAATTTACACACTAGTATTTATAAATAATGTGATATTAAATAAATAGTATGAATTTATGTAAGATGTCACCTGATTTTTATTGAAGCCTACGCAAATACATAATATTATATAATAAAATTAATGTCAGGTTAATGCAATGTTGTCGCGTCATATCACAATATAATTACCAGAAACCGGTTCTACGAGTATAAAAAATGAAATGTGTTTGTTCACGATTATGGCTAAATCATTGGATGTAAATCTGATCATTAGCACAAGGCACGATGACACACATCGTTTGAGACCAATGATGAGGTCATTCATTTGGTTAACACAAGTGGTTTTGTAATAAACATAACAGGCAACTCACAATACAATATATCTAAATGTTAATTTTGCATTCTCCACTATGCAGCGTGCAAACCTTCATTTGGAGTATTTAGTTTTTTATATCAGATTTAACTACATGAATTTTATGATATTGTTGTGTATAAGAATTACATGCAAACCTACATTCTAGTAAATACATATTATAATATATAATGTATAATGAGCCCATAGATTTTCTGGATATATTGGGAACAATGCCTCCTACTAGTGAGCGCTAAGGCTTTCCATAGAGAGGGTAGTGAACGTATGTAAAAGCAAATAAGAGCGTAATATATGTTATATAATTAGTTATACAAATATTTATTTTTCTTATAAAGTTCGATTCTTAAAAAGTTGGATTTAAGAACGAATGTAGAACATTCGTTTACAAAAAATATTTCAAGAACATATTATCATTAAATTAACTACTGTTAAAACGCTTTATTATATTTAATAATTTGACTTAAACGATTAAGTGGATAAAATAGAGGGCAGGTAGTAAGTAATACAAGCTCAGAATTTTCTACAGGTACCTACATATTATCAAGACTAGGATTGTAGTTTGTACACCGCCTACACCAGCTTTCTAAGAGAAATGACAAATACACAGGTTTATACGATTACAACCTTCATTCAGAATGTGCTGATTTATTACTTTTATGGATATGTTACTCCATTGCAGCTTGGAGCTATTACAAAACAAACAATTATGGCGTTAACTTTCTATAGAGCAAGATAGGCTGATTAAATAACGAAAGCCTCAGAAAAACTCCATTTCATTTGTGGGAACACTATTTTTATTATAGATTTAAGAATAATTTCACGCATAATGTAACACAAGAAAATTGTAATTCACTTTACATTTCATACCTACTTAAGTCTCAAACAAACAATTTGCTGTTTACGTAAGAACAATGGTATGGCCAAGCCAATAAAACCGTCGATCGTATTAGTAGCAAAGCAGCAGAAAGTTTGATAAACGGATTTGAAGCAAGGTCGATAAGCAAGAGGTGTTGTTACTGAAAATATTGAACTATCCGATATTACTGTAGTATTTTATTATTTACTTCCCATTAAAGAGTAACACTATGCAGATTTTGATGCAAAATGAGACGTTGTTACTAGTATACAAGAAATGAAGTATTTTCTTTGTCAAAATTCTTAGTTTGTATTCCGTTAGATACTGGGGTTACGTCATTCTTCAAAGTATTTAGAATTATTTTGAATATATAAATCGGTCCTAGTTTATTATGTAATGCACATATTTTTCAATGATAATGATAGACAAGAAGCCTTCAACTACCGATTAGCTTACATGAGCATATTTATCTTCAAACTAACTGCGTGTCTGATGAGACTTATCGTTAACTTTTATATATTTCTCTATCTCCCTCTCTCTCTATTTAAATAAAAGTTGCTTCCTTTATGCATCATTTACATAACAGAAGAAATTTCTAAATACAATACTCAACCCACTATAGGTTAAGCCTGATCTCCATCAGTTAGCCAGTGCTCTAGTTCAATCTATTAGAAGATTACATAATTGTGTTACTTTCTAGTTGGGGTCGTTTTATCCTGATTAGGATTTTGTTACAAGTAGCGCTATATATATTAAAAGCGATTAGAAGCCATACATATTTCGGTACAATTTATTTAATTAAGTTAAGACACATTTATCCACGAAAGTACTTGTTATAGTACAAAGGTGCAATAAGCTCGATGGTTATGAAATTAAGCGTAGAGAAGGACATAGGCTAATTTTTATCTAAGTAAGTAGCTTATGTCTTTATCCTTGCTAGTAAAGTAAATAATCCCATTACAGTTTTTATTGTAATGCATAATCCATATTGTAAACACATCGGCAACGATGCTTTCCTATGGCAGACAAAGGTATAGGTGAAAAGTAAAAAGACTATAAATAATATGTCAAGCTATCACTTGTAAA